TACACCGCTGCATGCGATGGAACCACTGGGAAAAGCACTTTGCCCACTCGTCCTTAGGGGTCTCTTCAATGGCATCGCGATACGCAGCCACCGCTTCTTCAGCATTCATAAACCGCTTTCCTTTAAGTTTTTCTTTAATTTTTGGAAATAAATAAAAATCACAAGGCGCGAGGTCGGGGCTATACGGCGGGTGACCCAGTAATTCAACGTTTGATGTCGCCAAATAGTCGATCGTTCGCTTGGCGGTGTGCGACGAGGCGTTGTCGTGGTGAAGGAGGATCCTACTGCGAGGTCGTTTCTCTCGAACTTTTTCCAAGACAAGTGGCAAACAATTGGTAGTGTACCATTCTGCAGAAACTGTTTTTTGATCCTCTAACACAATTGTTGCAAAATGACCTATCCTTCCAAAGAACGAGGCCACCATTTTTTTTCCCGCACTTCGATCTCTCTTCACTTTAGTTGGCAACTCCTCGAAAGGAAACACCCACTGAGCAGATTGTCTTTTGGTTTTAGGATCATAACAGTAAATCCAGCTTTCGTCACCTGTTAGTATGTCGAACACAGCATTTGAGTCACCTCCGTTAAATCTTTCAATCATTTTACGACACCAATCCACACGATGGAGTTTTTGAGCCTCAGTCAAATTATGAGGTATCCACCGGGCGCAAAGCTTCCTGACCGCTAAATGTTCGTGGAGGATTTTGTGCACTTGACTCATACCGATGCCTAAGCTTGTCCGAATCTGTTGATAGGTCACTCTTTTGTCAGTCTCTATCATACGCCGCACAACACAGATGTTATCTTCAGTCGTCGCCGTAGAAGGCCGTCCCTCACGTAAATCATCAGTGAGATTAGTGCGACCACGTTTAAACTCATTAAACCAGTTGTAAACAGTCGCACGAGATGGGGCTTCATCGTGAAAGGCCAATCGTAGTCTATCATAACTTTCTTGTTGACTTAAATGACATCGAAAGTCATAAAAAATCATTGCACGAAAATTTTCTCGTGTTAAATTCATGATGACGTGACACAGACAATTTTCAATTTGCCGCCAAATCGTAAAACAAATGACAAATGAATGAAATATATACTCAGTAATATTGGCAAAGAGTTATATTTTCAAATTTTAGAATTATTTTTTTATTATATTGTTTATAAGTGGCCAGTTCTAAGAACTTTCAGTTTGACCCTCGTATATCTGCATAAATCTATGTATTTAACGTCTAAACTACATAAAAGATTTCTGCTTGGTTTCCTTTCTAAATTATAAGATTTGAAACGTTTCAATTTTTTTTGTCTATTGACTGTAAAAATAATGAAAAGGAAGCGGACAGCAATCACTTTAAAAATATGTTTGGTAGTTAATAAAAATTAAAAGATAATTTGTCATATTTTTGTTCAGTAATAATTATTTATATTTTTACTTCATCGTCAGCTCTTTTACGTACACACTGCAGGGGTTAATTTCGCCTTCCTTGTTGATGGTTAAGGAGGATGGGCCATGACCCTCCACGCTGGCCCAATTCGGGTTGGAGGGCATTAACGAAAAATGTAGCCGCGACCAATGGCTTAACGTGCCTTCCGAAGCACGGAGAAGTTCAGATAATCATTTTTTGGTTACCCATCCGGTGACCGACCCTTGTGACTGTTGCTAAACAACCAAAAATTGCGGGCCGCGGCGCTTATCCACTACGCCACCGAGCTACTCAATCAATAAACACAAATATATTTTTTCAATGTTTTTATTCTGTGTCTAAAACCAATGATTGTAAATAATTTTAAAGTTTTATGAATGTTTAACAGTTATTGCAGAGGTTATTTTAATGATAAATTTATTTGTGTACACGTATGATAAAGGGATCAATAAAGGGTAAATAAACTTTACACATTATCATTTCATTTTAATTTAAGACGCCGCCAAAATGTTTATTTTCTGGTTTGAACATCTTTTGGTGGATATTTTATAATTTATGTAGCAACAGATAAGCGCATTAAGAAAATCTATCGCGACCCCATTCCTAAATTACGTTTCTTACGTAATTAATATATTTGAACAAAGTGAAATCATCACATTTATTTGCAAAAAAAATATTTTTTAAATACAGAGATTTTTTAAACGAATCGAAGCTCGTCGATGCAGATTAGCGCCGGTTTGAGTCTATTTGGTGCGTGGCTAATTATAATAAATATATAGTTTTTTTTTAATCTAGTTCCCATTAATTAAGAGGTCTTTTTTACTTTGTATTTTTTGTTTACTTTGTTTCTCTTTTTTATTATTTGGGCTCTTTCTTTTGTCCTATCTTTACGGTGTTGTTCTTTTCATCTTTAGTTTTTTTTTATTCTTTTCTTTATGCGTTAGCCATGCATATTTTTGTATGCTGCTTATTCTATGTTAGTATCTTTACATTTTGACTTTTCACTTATATCTATGTACATTTTTTGTTAGACTATTTGTTAGACGTTTGCATTTTTACTTAAAACTAATATCATATATACTCTGCCGCTTGTTTATGTTTACATTTCAATCTTTATTACTTTTGTTTACCTTAGTTATCATTTCTCTGGCGTGCTTTATAAATATCTCCCTTCTCCCGTCTTCTATTATTTTATGGAGGTTTTGCTTACTGAGTGTGTGGTTTATGCTACTTTGTATAGTGTGCCTTATCATATTATATTTTGGACATTCTAATATAACGTGGAAAATGTCTTGTACTGCGTTAGGATCGCATTCGCAATATGGGGTGTCCTTGCACTTATATTTGTGGAGGTAGAACCGGCAACCTCCATGCCCGGTCAGTAATTGTGCTGTTAACCTTTCATCCCCTATCTTTCTTACTATCCCGAAGGCCCTCTCCGCGCTAGGGAAGAAGACCTTCGTTGTGGTCGCCGTGTTTTCGCTCCTATAGCGTCTAAACTTACTTTTGTCAAGGTGCTCAGGTGTCTCTTGATAAAAGAGATGTGACATCTGTCATAGTGCGATTTCCTTTTCAGTCCGAGAGCCGCCTCCTTCGCTAGCTGATCCGCTCTTTCGTTCTCAACCACCCTGACGTGGGCCCTGATCCAAAATAGGGAGACATAATAATTGTTCTCCCTAAGTTGTACCAGGTTGCCCTGTATCGCCTTGGTGATTAGGTGCGTTGAGTCCGGATCTTGCATGGACTGGATTGCGGATCTCGAATCGCTAAGCACGGCGACATCCTTCCACTCTTTCTTCATCCCTTGTTCCGTCGCCTGGAGGATGGAGCTCAGCCTGAAAGACCGTACAGAATGGCTCCAATTTGAACTTTTAGGACGCGACTTGACACTTTTTATCTTTTTGGCTTCTTCGGCCCACGCACTAGCTCCGTACAATATTGTCGGTTCGATTACCGCGACATAAATAGTTTTTATTATTTCAGGGTCTAAGCCCCATGTAGTTTTCGCTGTTTATGCAGTCCCTTTATAAATACCTATTGCTTTTTTTTGTTATGTATTTTATGTGTTGGTTAAATGTTAGTTTTTTTATCAAAGATTACCCCTAATATTTTTATTTCTTCTTCTTGTTCTATTTCTATGCCCCCCATTTTAAGTTTTTTTTTTTACTATCTCTAGTGCTCTGTCAGCCTTCGCTTCTATTTCTTTACCTGTTTTGCCGTTTATTTTTAATACTTCATCGTCTGCGAAGGCTTGACAGTAGCACTCAGCATCCGTGAGGTCGTTTAGTAAGGGGTCTAATATAGTGTTCCACAGGAGTGGTCCTCCTATGGAGCCCTGCACACACCACTTATTTGTTTGCTTAGTTATTTCTTTGCCTGCATACCTCACGGTTACTTTGTCTGTCATATAGCTTGTCATTATTTTTCTGAGGTTATAGGGGCAGTCTTTGTTTTTTAGTTACACATGTATTTGAGGCCACCAGGCATTGTCGAAGGCCCCCTCTATGTCCAGCGAGATCAGGGCCAGCAGTCCTATTGGCCGATAAGATTTAGGAATGGTGTAGTCTGTTTTTACTGTTTTTTTTTTCAGGATTATCACGGTGGCCTTCTTTCACGGAGCTGGAAAGTGGGAAAGCTCTAGGCGTTTATTATACAGGGTCAGGGCAATCTGTCTGCGGTTAGGCCGTCTCCTCCCGGCGCCTTCTTGGGGTTGGATGACCCCGCGGCGTATCATATCAAATCCGTTTCGTTCTAAAAATAAATTTCCAATAATATTAAAAATAAGACAAGCATTGTATAGGTGCCATCTTAAGAAGCTACTCATTACCCTCACATGGATACCGGGACACTGTGGTATTCCTGGGAACTAGACAGCTGATGCATGTGCTAAGCAAGCTGTTATAACTGGCTCTTTAAAATTATTCCAAACTTTTTCATCACGATCTCTTTGTGCTAGCACATGTATATTTAATGAGGTCATGGAATGTTGATTGGGAAAATACTAGAAATAGAGTGGGAAAGTATTATTTAGACATTCAGAGAACTATCCCCAGTACTCCCTGGTTCTTTAAGGAGAAGTTTTTAAGTTAAAAACTATTTCAATTATTTTTCGCCTGAGAATTGGACATGTGTGTTCCCCAGTTCGACTTGCCAAATTTAAAATTAAAAACAACCCCCTCTGCGATTGTGGCATTGAGGAAGGAACTACGGATCATATTTTATTTAATTGTCCAAATTTATCCATTTCGCTTTATGATTTGCTCCCATCAAAAGTTCGACGTCCAACTAATATAAAATGCCTTGAGTATGGAGAAAGAAACCTAGCCCATTCAAAATTTTATCTAAATTCCTTGCAATCAATAATAGTCTTAATTTATAAATATCTTTGTTTTCTATATACATTCTATTTGTATTTAATCTAATAATATTATCTTTAATAATGTAATCAGATAGACGCGCTCAGAGCGTTTTTTATTTTATTTAAATTTAAAATTGACATATTTTTATTGTTTCTTTACGTGTAAAGAACACAATTGTGACATTGGCGGAAATTATGTAAACGCAAATATGCCATGAATGAATTTAAAAAAGAAGAAGAAAAAGCTTGAAGTAAATGTCATAGAATTCTGTGATTGTGATTCAAAACAAAAGCACTCCAAAAGTGCAACTAATTTTATGAAGATACTTTACTAAGTAAAAACTTGCTTGAGGATTTGGTTTTATCATATTTTACTACCTATGTTGTAATGGGTTTTAAAGGCATTTGAGTAATAGTAGTTTCGTCCATGGAACAGGCCGATAAACGCATTTGAATATAATATGTCTAAAACCAAAGATAAATTGAAAACAGCAACAAAAAAGCAAAAAGCTATTCAATGTTCACAACAACCAAAACGTACTAATTGTAGGAAAACACTAAGTGACGACGATGGCATTACAAAGTCTAAACAACTAGCTCACAAAATAAAAACAAACCCACGGATTGGCATACCTAGAATACGCAGGATCGACAACAACGAAGAAAGAATATGCGGCAATGGCAAACCAATGCCATCACTAGCAGATCTTGAAAAAATGTTTAATGATTCTGACAATGAAGAAGAACTAAATGTTAATGATACCTTGAACATGAACACACCAATTGTGGATCCTAACCATTGCTCAACTCCAAAGAAAAAACCAATCACTGAAGATCAACTGAAATCACCGCGTACAATCAAAACAATTGCAGATAAAATGTTAGATTTTATTTCTTCTTTACCTGATGCAACAGTGCTTCTTGATGAAGTGCCTCCACCACCAGTGATAAAACAAAAGAAAAGAAAAAAGTCAGGTATACCTTATATTGTAGGTAATAAAGATAGACCTCGTGTGCCAACCAAAAAGACAACCAACTTTTGTAAAGGTGATGAAGATTATGGTATTAACATTAATGATATTCAATCTGAAGATGATTCTCCTAAACCCAGAGCGAAAAGATCAAAAACGGCTAAATATTCAAAATCAATCTTCAATGCTAAAAGTGAAGAAATAGCAGCATCTTTAAAAGAATATGATGGTGTACATAGTGATGATAGTTCTGATAGCAACAAGACTGTAGCCTATGAGTACTATTCCCCAAGTAACATGAGTAGACCACTATCATTCTCTCCATTGCCCAGTACATCAAAAGATAGTGAAACTATTTATAAAAATGATATACGCTTTAATGAAAGTCTGGTTGTAAACCAATCGACCTCTGAAGTAATTGATAATGATTTGCAAATCATCGACCAACCACCTGACACTATTTTAATAGACGAGTATACTGAAACAAGAAAACCAAACAGTATTCTGACATCAGAACTAATTGTAATTAATGATGACACACCCCCTCATACGCCTTTAGTTAATGATGAACCAACAAATCATTTTATCAAAGATGAAGACAGCTGTATTGAAATTATTGAAAATAGTAGTTCTCAAAATGTTGAACCTCCAATTCCAGTTGAGGACTATTATAGTTCATTAGATCTTAGTTTAAATATCAGCACCAACAATGATGATATGGAAGTTATAGATGTAGATGAAGTGATTGCAGAAAACAAAGCTATAATTGAAAAATACTGTAAACCTAAAGATCTTGATAGTATCACAATAATTGAACCACAGACAAATAATATTGAGACTGTACAAACAGAAAATAATGAATGTGTTGTTGTTGAATCTGTTATTAGTATAGAAGAGCAGGAATCTCTCCAAACACAAAATAATGAAAGTACTAAACCTGTTATTAGTACAGGTGAGCAGGAATCAAGTCCAAGATTAAATATGTCCCCTGTCGAATTTATATCCAGTACATCTGTTCAACACATACCCAATACACTTAGTACAGATAAAACTAATAATGAGGATGTCATTGAAAATGCTGTTTATAATAGGAACAGTAATACTGGTACAAGGTCAAACTCAAATTTATTGCTTGATGATCAGAATTTATTATCCATTGATCAGTCTTCAACATGTAATACCAATGGCCATCCACAAAATGCAATATGTCTCATTTCATTTCTCAAGTCTATGAGTGATATTGCCAAAAACTACATTGGTGGAACACCCAGACGGAGAAGCCGAAATAATGTATATACTGCAAATACAAGGCCTAATAATACACAATTGGATACCGAAAATAATTCATCTGGAATATCAAAAAGACTTGGAGATTGCCCTATATGTCTGGATAGTCTTGCTAATATTCCAGTCGCATCGACAATATGTGGTCATATTTTCTGTATGAAATGTATAAGTGCAGCTGTTAAATCCAGTGGCAGAAGATGTCCAACCTGTAGAAAGCCATTGAAGGGAAAAGGTTATCACCAACTGTTTCTCTAAAGATTTATATTAAATCAAAACATAATGAATACCTTGTGTATTAATTGACAATGTTAAAGTTATTGTATATAGTGTTGATTATTATTTTATGTGTCAGTTCTTAATCAGTCATACTTATAGCATACTACAGAAAGTATTGTATTCATGTAATTAAGATTTCATTGTTACAACATGTAAAATTATCTACCTCATTGCCTCTTTAATTGATAACTTAAATTAATAACTTAAAATATGTTAGGAGATATAGGGTATGCGTAAATAAGTGTTACCATAAGTGATCATTGATCAATGATAATCAGGCAGGTTAGCAGGTTTCATGTTGCACAAATAGAAGAATACATAGTTTGATTAAGTTTTAAACCTTTTTGTTTTTGCTTGTTAAACTAACTCATTTTGTGTACCAAGACTTATACGTAGATAAAGATATTTCTAAATATTTTTGTCAATATATGCTGGGCATAATGACAAGCAAAACTTTTAAAGTGGGATTTTTTGATTAATTTCTTTGTTATAAATAAAACCTTATCCCATAAGTATAGAGTTGAAAGCATAATTGCATTTGAGGCTTTATGGAAATGGGATAAACTTGATATTGTTTTTAAAAAAAAAAATTTAGTCATTTTACACTTTTCTTACATATATTTTTTTAAGTATTGCAAATATATTCATGATAATTTTAACTCATTTAAAATTTGCTTTAATTAAAAATGTAGTTACCCACTGTATTGTACTATCCCAATATCACAGGACAGGATATTGACATCAGCAAAGCTCAAAGAATCATTGACTTTGTAATCTTTGTTAATCCTATGCTTAGAATATACAAAGCAAAATAATAATAAAACTAGTTTTGATGACATAGAATAAGGTACTATATTTAAAAACTGAATTGTTAGACATTACTGTAGAAACAAGTATTGTACTCTCATGAATCAGTGACAAATTTATCCTAAAGCCACAGCAAGACCAGGCCTACAGTGACAATAATTTTATTTTATTTATTAATTATTAGCATATAACATTGTGCATCAAAAGCAATGATGGAATAGGTCTATCTTCACTTGTTTATCCAAGAGAGATCTGAGCTGAGATAAAAATGAGAATAATACAGTTAATTTCATTTCATTCCTTTTTTTTAAATAACTTGAATAAGTTAGCAGATAGTTAACATTTTTCAGAATTTTACTGTGTCTGTTATGGCAGGCACGTCTGATTTGATTAGCGATAAAACAATATATCATTTCATCATATTATAACTATTCCTATTAATTTACTTTTTGTGATATGTAACTAAATGACTTATTGTTAAGTTATAATTTCTGATACACTAAATATTGTTTTTAAGAATAAATGAAAAAGACCCCATTTTTATTTACCCTTTGGATACAGACTCCTAAAAAGTTCATCCTTATCATTAATATTTCAATACCTACATTTGATTTATTTTTAATTTCAAATAGCAGAAACAAAAAATAAAACATGATATTAAATGATTTATCCATTTTATTGTGAAACTTGCATAATTGGAACTTTATATAGGTAATGCAATATTTAATCTTATTTAAAATAATATAAAATTAATTTATGTCATGTTTCATACTGACTGGAAAGCAGAGGGAATGTGATAATAACTGCTTGTTTTTATTAGCCTGATACAAATAGCAACTTTCAGTATGGAGATCAAACATTAAAACAACAGCTGTTTTTTTATTATTATGAGGGTATCATATATTTCTTTTTTAATATATGAATTAATCCAACGATATTTTCTTTCGGATTATTAGTAAAAAAAATAAAATTCCTTTGACTCTGCTTTATGGTCGAGTGCTTGTTACAAGTGCCTCTAAGAAATTTAATAATTTCTCTTTGTTGAGTTACTTTTGTCCGCTTTCTGTGTGTTTGTGTTGTTTATTTGTATTTGTGACGTATTGGGGATCACTAGGTGAGTGTTGTAAAGCTTGTTTAAAATAGCATAAAGGCAATTACGGACGCCGATCCACCAGACCCTGGTGGCGGTACGGCTCATTCCCAAGATTTGTTTAGTTCTCAATATGAGGACAATCAAATTACATCAAATAGAAAACGCACTCAAGCTTCATCATCTAACCCCATTCCGGCAAAGAAAAGTTCATCTGCCCAAATTACTGCGTCAGCGCAAACCACCTACATTCTACCAGAATTTGCAGATAAAAGAAATAACTACGCAAATGATGACCTCGGTCCATTTATTGTTCACATCTCAAAAAGAGAAGAGGCTTCTCAGGGGACGGTTTTGCGACCCATTAATTTTGGAAGATTTCTTCATACCAACAATATAAAAAATATTATATTAGATGGTGTAAAGAGGGTAGGGCGGAATCGCATATCTGTCCAATTTAAATCAGCTGCAGACGCTAACTCCTTCATGGTCCATCCAGCCGTTAATGACAATGATTATTTAGTCTCAATTCCTTCTTTCAATATCTCTCGTATGGGTATTATTAGAGAGGTTCCAGTTGAGTGGTCCATGGAGGAATTAGTGAATAATGTTAATGTACCATTAGGGTACGGAAAGGTTTTCCGAGCAAGGCGCTTAAACAGGAAATCGGTGATAGGAGGCTCTACGCCAACATGGATCCCCACTCAAACAGTTGTGGTGACTTTTACAGGAAAAAAATTGCCAGAACACATTTATTGTTATTATACTTCCTTACCGGTTGAAATGTACAGACTCCCAGTAATACAATGCAATAACTGCTGCAGATTTGGCCATGTAAAGTCCCAATGTCGCTCAAAACCACGATGTTTTAATTGCGGTGACATGCATGAAGGAGAGACCTGTTTAAGCCAGGCTCCTCCTAAATGCATCCTGTGTTCTGGAAACCACCTAGCCACACATTTTTCTTGCCCAGAACACGATAGACAGAAATCTATAAAACTTGTGATGTCGCAAGAAAATGTATCTTATATGGAAGCTTCAGCTAGATTTGCACCAGTTCGCAAAACATTCGCAGATACCACTCGTGTTAATTCACCAGTGGTTCATCCCCCCTCCTCTCAAATGAATTCCCCTCCAAGGCCACCTACCACTGCATATAAAAAAACTATTCTGACTCCCCACCATCCCCCCTCCCCAGCTTCCAGTCCTGGCTATGACAGATTGACACACAATAATATTATTCGTTCACCTTCCTTTTCTCAACCAAATGGATGTGCTATTAATAGTAACATCTCTCCAAATATTGTGCCCAATGATAATCTAATAGAAATGTTATTTTTACAACTAACAACTTTAATTAATTTTATACAACGTTTCAATGATATTGAACTACCGTACAATATTCGACAAAAACTTACTGAGCTTTCCTCCTTTAACAACATTCACTCCAATACTTCAGTGGAACTGCAGGAGTATTAAATATAAAAAAGCATCATAAACTCCCACAGACCTGTGATTCTTGCCGTCCAGGAGACTTGGCTTGGACCGAGATCCATGTTCTAGATCCAGGGCTATGCATGCCTCCGGGATGACAGGAATGACGGCAAAGGTGGCTCCGCACTATTTATTTTAAGAAACATTAATTTTAATCCTATTGTTCTCCCTCCTCATGACTCTGACAATTTTAATATAGTGGCTGTCCGCGCCATGAACATTTCATTTATATACCTCACCCAAGTCTTCCTATTTTACTTCAAATATTTTCTATAATCAAGAACATTGAAAAGCCTATTGTGGTTCTAGGTGACTTTAATATCCATAATGAAGTGTGGGGTTGCCATACTTCTGACCCTCTCTCATCTACACTATTAGATCTCATTGATGACTTGAACCTTTGTATTTTAAATGATGGCTCGCCAACCCGCAGGGTTACCCCATCACAAAACCCAAAGAGTGCCGTTGACTTAACCCTGTGCTCAGCTAATCTGTGTTCTAGGCTTAATTGGCAAGTAATGCCTAATACTTATAGTAGCGATCATTTCCCCATCCTCTTATTTCTACCTGCACCCAGAAAGGAACCCCCAAAATATATAAATAGACAAAAATTTGTTTTATCTCGAGCAGATTGGAAAAAATATTCTGTCACATCAGATGAAAAAATCAACAATCTACCCTCTCTAAACTGAGAGGATGTAGATGCATATTACCAGCTTTTCAAAAATTCTATAGTGTCTGCTGCAGAAGAATGTATACCGATGCGTAAACCCCCACCGAGAAACCTTTCCTCCCCACCATGGTGGGACAAAGATTGTACAACAGCCTGTAAAAATCGCAAGAGCGCAGAAGCGATTTATGCCTCTTCAATGAGCCCAGAGAATTTTCTTAATTATAAAAGAGTTGCAGTAGAAACTGTTAAACTGTTAAGGCTCAAAAAAAAGGAAGGCTGGTCCAAATTTTGCTCAACTCTTTCACCAAAGACTCCCTCCACACTTGTATGGAAAAACATCAAAAGGTTTCGCGGGTCGATATCTAATATGTCCCATCACAACACTTCTACAGACCCATCTCCTTGGTTAATACCCTTTATCCAAAAAATTGCCCCTCCATCTGCCCCGTTATTGGAAGAGATTGCCAACCTCCTTCAACTTCAACAACATCCTCGTCAATGTTAGAGGCATCTTTTTCTTTAGAAGAGCTGTCCTTAGTGTTATCTGGCTTAGAGGATTCTTCCCCAGGAGTAGATGGAATTCCTTACTCCTTTGTCGCCAAAAGCGGAAAGGATACCAAGCTTTTCTTTTTAAATACAATCAATACAATCTTCAATAGAGGTACTCCACCTGATGAATGGAAGACACAAATTATTATCCCAATCTTAAAGACAGGCAAACCGAGTAACGACCCATCTAGTTATCGTCCTATCGCTCTCTCTAACACAATGTGTAAAATATTAGAACACCTCATCAAAAATCGATTGGAGTGGTATTTGGAGAACAATAATAGTCTTGCAAAAACACAGTTTGGTTTTCGGAAAGGATTAAGTACTATGGACAGTCTCAGTACCCTTGTCACCGACATCCGTATTGCTTTCTCCAAACGAAAATCAGTAGTAGGCGTATTCCTCGACGTTGCATCCGCCTACGATAATGTTCTTCTCCCGGTGCTCAGGCAGAAGATGCTACAGCTGAACATCCCTGAGAAGATACATAACTTCATTTTTAATAGCCTCTCAGAAAGATCAATTCTTATTAACTACCAAAATTCTAATTCCTCCCCTAGAAGGGTGTGGAAAGGCCTCCCCCCAGGGATCGGTCCTCAGTCCCTTATTATATAGTATTTACACTCATGATTTGGACCTCTCAGTTAACTCATTTTGTAATATTCTCCAATATGCAGATGATCTTGCTTTGTATTTAGAGGTCGATAATATTCAGGATGCAAGTAGCAGACTCAACTCTGCAATCTTCTACCTAAACAACTGGCTCTCAGATCACGGTTTATCCCTATCTATCTCCAAAAGCAGTGTGGTATGTTTTACTAGATCTAGGAGCATTCCGCAGTTAGATATCACCTGTGATGGTCAATCCCTCCCCATAGAAAACAAAGTAAAATTCTTGGGTATGTTTTTGGATACAAAAATGTCGGGTGTTCAACATATAAATTATATTACAAGGAAATGTGACAAAAATCTGAATATCCTCAGAGCTCTGTCAGGTGTCTGGTGGGGAGCCCACCCACTCACGCAAAGAATGCTATATAACTCTCTCATGAGAAGCCTATTAGATTATGGAGCCTTTCTCTTAGAACCATGCAGCAAAGTTTCTTTAAAATCTTTAGATAAAATTCAAGCTAAATGCCTCCGAATCATTCTTGGTGCCATGAAGTCATCCCCCATAAATGCTATGCAGGTGGAATGTGTAGAACCTCCCCTAGAACTCCGTCGCCAGTATTTGTCGGACAAATTTCTTTTTAAGGCCTATCAATGCTCATCACACCCTTTGATTGACAAGCTTCATCTATTACACCAGTTGGTCCCTTCGAATGAATACTGGACCCACAAAAATCTTCCTTGTTTATTTTTTAATTATAGAAACTTAATCCACCTCCCCTCTCCTGTTTACCAATCTAGACTAAATCCCCTATTTAAAACTCCATATCAGGCTTTAATTTACCAACCGAAAATAATATTAAATCTAAATATAGATAAAAATGCTGTGGATGCTCAAGCAAAATTTAACCAATTAATGACAGAGAAATGGGCTGATTGGCTTTCAATATATACTGACGCATCAAAATTATCAGATGATGAACATGTTGGTTCAGCGGTTTGGATCCCAAAATATAAAATTATATTAAACTTTAAATGTTCCTCGTCCTCTTCAGTTTTTTCAGGTGAAGCTATCGCCATATTAGAAGCTTTGAAATTTATACAATCCCATAAGCTCAATAGAGTAGTAATATTTTCAGACTCAAAAAGTTGCTTGCAGGCCATCGAATCTAATCAGTTTCGTTGCAGATTTAAATTTCAATATATTTTAAGAATTAAAACTATTTTGCATGAATGTCATCGACAAGATCTACAAATTGTCCTGGTGTGGGTCCCAGGGCACACAGGTATTAGCGGTAATGAGACAGCAGATGCATGCGCCAAGCAAGCTACAGTTGGTGGTTGTCTTTCTCACAGTGGCGTATACCCTAACGATTTAACCGCTATGGCAAGGAAGGATCTACTGTCTGTGTGGACTAAAGATTGGAAAAAGACCTCCTCATCAAAAGGACTTCATTACGCCAGCATTCAATCGGATATTCCGTGTACTCCATGGTTCAGCAAAATTCGTAATGTCAAAAAACAAGTAATTTCTACCATAGCCAGACTTAGATTGGGTCATGTATGCACTCCGGTATTTCTAGCCAAGATCAGGGTGAAGGACAGTTCCTTATGCGAATGTGGTCTCGACGAGGGTACCACAGATCATATATTTTTCAAATGCTCTAAAAATAGTTCATCCTTATACAACTCCCTCCCATTATTCGTCCCTCGTCCCACAAATTTTAAGTCCCTATTACCATTGGTGTACACTGATTTTGTAAACGTCCTGTGTTCGTACATAGATAGTAATAATATTAAACTGTAACAGCTAGATAAATAATGCTTCTTTACTAAGGCCCTAACAAGAATGCTTTGCCATTTTATTTGCCATTTAATCTTAAGTTGAGGTTTCAGGTACCTCAACTTAAGATTAAAAAAAAAACAATTTTTCCTCAAATTTTTATGTTTACTGTTTGTTTGCTTCCACCTCCCGCCCTTGTACTTGCATAACGCCCGGTTACATTACCAACAGAGTAGTGGATAACAAGCAGAGTCAAACCGAACAAATAAAAACACCATTGCTAATTGATACCTGATGCTGGCTAAATCATAGAAGAGCCAATAACGAAGAAATTGATTGATTGATTAAAATTCCTTTAATTTCTCAATGGCATGATAAGCAAAATACATATAAAGTGACTTCTATGTATTTTCACACTGTTACTTATGTTACTTCCATAAAATACATAAATCTTCCTATTATTATATTTGGAAACTCATATTTTTATATAACACAGACAATAAATATTTAAAAAATATTTGTAAAAAAAAAACAATAATATTAACAATGAAATACAACTTCAATCGATATTACTATATTGGGTTAAGTATATTTTGTTTTGAATCCAATGAAAATTTCCATGGGAATATTACATACCAATATTCCCGCAGATATTGGTATATAACACGCAATATATGCAGCAGACTTTTGAGTGAAACACATATTCTACTAAATATCATTTAAATCCACTCATAAATATTTAAATAAAAGTTTTATTATATTAAACTACAACAAAAAACAAATTAAGTAAAAAATAAAGTTTAATAAAAATCACTATTTCCTGTAATTTTTTTAGTTGGATTTCTGTAACTTTCATTGTCGCTATGATAAATAAAGTCAAAATTTGTAAAAAAAATCGTGTTAGTAATTTTGCATGAATAAATGAAGGTTTTTTGACCTGATGTTTTTTTTATACCTTCCGTAGCTAAAATGAGATGGATTCTTAAATATAGTCTCTTGTAATTGGCTCACAAACATGATTAAAAAAATTCCAGGCTTATATCGAATTATTTCCGTTTTTCTCGTATTTGTATCAAGCTATATGTTAAGTTCTGTTGCTTATAAGTATGTATGTAAAATTCAAGCCAATCACTAATAATAAGGATGGCACCACATATGCACTTAAATATATAACTCATGTATTTTGTGTATTCACTTTATCTTCATTACTAATATCAATACTCTCATCAGAATGAAGATGCTCTATAGAAGCAGACAATTGTTCTAAACTTTGTACCAGTTGTGCCATTTTGTCTCTTGAAGCTGAACTGTCAAAACTTTCATCTGTGGGCTTCTCCACATCTGCACAGAGCCGAAAATGTAGCCTAGCCAAGTGCTCTTGTTGATCTCTTATATTTATCATTTGCTCCATACTGCAGCCAGAGCTGAAAGCGCTTAATTTACCTGTATGAAAGTCGTCTAATAAAACTAATAAAGCTTTTTCCATATGTTTGACATCTGGAGCTTCTTTCGGAATATGCTTTGGTCTATTGTTGTAATTGGATCGCATCATCTCACGGTGAAGACGCTTTTCATTAACATAAGAAACCTTGGCAGAATCATTTAAGCTGTTATTCCCTGTACTATTAGGTACCAACCCTGGATTTTTTGAACTTAAGCTTGCTGCCTCACTAGACAATTTATTACTCGTCACAGGTGATGTTGCTGAATGTGATATTTTTTGATCTTCTTCTTCGCCCTCATTTTGCATTAGTTGTTGAGTTTCGTTAGCTTCTTCTAGGTCCAAACTCATGTAGCTTTGCGCTTAATAATATAAAATGCAGCTATCTACTTCACTTACGTAGGTACTCTTTGTATACGATTTTTATTCGTTTGTCTTCGACTGCAAGATTTCTTTTTAATATTTTTTCTTTCGGTTACTTCTATAAATTACGATTACTTCTAATAATACTACTACTTACATATCTAAGTTAATATTTTAGATGAAGTATTTTTAGTTTAGCAGAGGTGTTTGTCAATAAAATTATTCATTTATCTTTCATAATCTACGTTCATAATTACTTTAGAAAAAAACTGATGTATAATATTGTAATCTTTGAAACTGATTGTTTGATTGAGCATAGATATTTTTTTTTTGTTCAATTTTCCCATTCCTACAGGGGAAGGGGAAGGCAAAGGGTGCTTAGCCCATACAGCCTTTGAGCATAGATAAATACAAAATGATTAGTAGTAGTAGTATTATAATTCGTCCATGGGACAGACGAAGGAACTAAGCCATACAGCCAAATCTTGGGCTTGGGCCTATGAATCCGACACTGACAACCTGACGTTTTGTTAAAGCTACTATCTAAGGATATAATGATTTCGACTATGTAACCTAAATTATCGATACCGAAAGAAAAAAGGTGTCTATACAAACGAATCGGAATCGTATATTAATTGTATATATTTTAACTTCCAATGGCAAATAATTACGAGCGATTTATAGTTCCGAAAAGTTGCACGCTAAAATACTCCAATTTATTTATATGCTATGTTATATATCACTAATTGTACTATTTATTTACACACAAAATCCTCAAATTCGTTGGTATAGCTACTACCTTGACGTACACAGTTCGTAAAGATCCATCTTCGGTAAAATCGACAGAGATCTAAATCACTACTTTTTCAAAATTTTAAATAAAAATAAAATTTTAGGGCACAGACAATGCAATAGAGCCTTGTTTTTAAATAATAATTTTATATGTTGCCCTCTTCAAAATATATAGTAAGCTGATAGTTCCTACGAATCTGTATGCTTTTAGTAGCATATCTCACAGGAACTAATCTGAGTTTTTTTCATTGAAATCTTTTCTATTTTTGGTGAAAATAATAGTTAAAATTTAAATAGCTAAAATCGCGCAATAAATGCTGCTCTATGTAATGGCGCTGATCGTGACGTCACAGGCCAGTAAATATGAAAAACGCTGCTCTATGTAATGGCGCGATCGTGACGTCACAGGCCAGTAAAACGTAATTTGTACGAGACAGTATTATTTGCTGATGACACCTCTTTAGTATTTAAAGTTAAGAGGGGTAATGATTGTTTTGACGATGTAAATGATGCTATTGACAATGTTCTACAGTGGTTTGATAGTAATAATTTAAAGCTTAATTCAAATAAAACGAAATGCATAAAGTTTGCATTACCTAATGTGAGGCATGTTAATACACTTATAAATGTAAATAGTGAAAAAGTTGAGTTAGTGGAAACAACGAAACGACTGCAATGGGATCCTCATATTGATAATTTGTCAAGTAGACTGAGTTCAGCAGCGTTTGCCGTTAAGAAAATTAGACTCTTGACAAATGTTAAAACGGCAAGATTGGTATATTTTAGTTATTTTCATAGTGTAATGACGTATGGTCTATTATTGTGGGGTTCTGCGGCTAGCATTCAAGATATTTTTATTCTACAAAAGAGAGCTGTCCGCGCTATATATAATTTTACGGTCTAGAGAATCTCTCAGAGAAATATTTAAAGAAATAAATATTTTGACTGTTGCCTCTCAATACATCTATGAAAATATTATGTACGCAAGAAAACAATACGATTCCTTCACAAAAAAAAGTAGTGTTCATAATCTTAACACTACACTTCAGAAAACCAGAGGATCATTTCTGGGTAAATGCATTGCTATGTTCAATAAAGTTCCACAAAATGTAGTTGATCTACCCATAAATAAATTTAAAATTCATGTAAAGAACATACTTATGAGTAAAGGCTATTATAAGTTGATCATTATTTTAAGGATCGCAATGCATGGAATTAATAGCCTTCGCTTTGTTCTATAAAGACTGCTGTTCAACCTATTAGGCTGTATAACCTAATTATATGTTCAACCTATGTCCTACAGACTTTGAAAGTTGTATTTTTTATTGTGATGATACCTACATATTATTTTGGTAATGACATGATTTATGCAAATGTCATTACTTATGATAAAGAGCTGGTAAGTTTCTTTCGCTTGTTCTTCTTGTCAGCTAAAAGACGTCCTGAACAAGTAGTGGAAAAAATTTTTTTTTGACGATTCAAAAGTGCTTGTAATAGCCTACTTGAATAATGATATTTTCATTTAATTTCAATTCATTTGAAAGCGTTTTTCATAAAAAAGTTAAATATTTGAACCCATCAAATATTTAATATGAGCGCAAAGGCGCAACACTTTCTAATTTAAATTTATGATAAATCACATAACTGCTGTTTTGTAGCGTACAATAACTATCTCTGTTTTTCTCTATTTCATAAGACTTGATGTGCTAGTGTGCGCGGAAGGTTCTAGTCACCGCCTGAGGAATGTGAGCGGCGGGACGGGGAGAGGTAAATTAACGTCAAGCTGCTCAGTCTGCCGCAGGGCTCGGAAACGTTATTCCAAATAACGTTTTTAAAACGTTTCTTATGGTTCTTTGGGCAAGATTGCGTTCGAAACGAAAACGAAATGAGAACGTTTTAAAAAACCGGTTTAATCCGCAAGACGGTGCCGCGCGGGCTGTAAGGGCGGCGTACATTTATTTTATTACGTTATTTACAGTATGCGATGCAAAAAAACGCAAAATAAATGGTTAAAAACGTTTTATTAACCGAAAACAATATAATTCTGTTTTTTTCCAAAATCGTTTTTTATATCGTTCTGTTCGAACGAAACCGAAACAAAGTGTTTTTTAGGTATTTAAGATGAAAACGTTTCGAAAAATATACCGGTTTCCGACCCCTATAATATACCGTTCCTGTTTGCAATAGACATCTATTGCAAACAGGAACGTGAAACACCAAAACATCTCCGGTGTGAATGTGGACCACTGATCCACAAACGAAGCAAACATCTGGGACGACATATAATCAGCCCAGAAGATATAAAATCTCTAAAAGCCAGGAACATTATAGACTTTTTGAAGTCTACCGAGCTACAGGAGTTACTATAGATCTGGCGGTGAGTCACAATAGATCTTCAAGGTCGTAGTGACTACAGTTCCTTAGGGAACTGCATAACCCCTTACAACAATAAATAATAATGTTTTATAACAATTTAGCTTCAAATTATATAATTTTATAATTCCAGGGGCTGGTGGGCCGATATAAAGAACAATCACCCATACATCACAACATTGCTTTCTCAATTCGCTCCGCAAAAATGGCAAGTGTGACGACTTCTGTTAATTATACATTCATTTAAAAATAATTTTAAAAAATTGTCAATAACCTTGATAAACATTATAAAATAAAGCAAATTGTTATTATTATATCTCACTATCCCGCTATTACTAAATAGAGCAACTAAAAAAAAAAAATTTACAAGAGGTAGTTTATGAACGACAAGTACAATATTTTTATCTGTTTTTCCAACTGGGACAGAAACGTGATATTGGGCCATAGCCCATATATATGTAGCATTTTAAACTGTAGATATTATATTATAATTATTTTGGCGCCCCCTAACACTGATGCCCGGGGCACATGCCCCTACTTGCCCACCCCCTAGATCCGTTCCTGCTATTCAGAATAATAATAATAATAATAATAATAATAATAATCATTTAATCCTCACCATAATCATCCTTTGAATTACATGGGAATAACAATGTATCAGATAGCCGACTATGGTGGACTGACACCAGCACTAGGGTAAACCCCGAATCACAAGTAGTCAGTCCTCCACCTCACAAATACTCATTACAATTCACTAAAGTTACACTAAGTTACAGTACTTATTTATTTATAACAAAACTGTCAAAATAAGCTAAAGATTCAATAGTAATAACACATCATAAATAATATAGACAGTAAGAGTACAATAATTGATTAGGGGGGTAGTAATAAAAGTTTTAATAATATGTGTTAGTGCGGTGTTTATTCTATTATGGAGCAGGTGGTTGGTGTAAGTAAAAGTATGAATGAAAGAATGTGTAAACGCGTGCTTGCGTACGCTCACTAGAAACTTGTTGAGTAGTCCAAGTTAGAAGCGATTCACTGCTTACTTTATTTTATTGAATTTAATTTATTCATGAAGAAGATTTCAATAAGTTCTCAGTATTTTCATAACCCAATGTTAGAAGTTTCTTTAGTAGTACACGTTTCAAAGACATTCGATTCATTTTATATATATGATCTTTTTTATTCATAAGTTTGTATAAGAAAAGACCCATAAAAATTATTTGTTTCCTAGCAAAAATTGTTTTAAAGTAGGGTGTTTGAATGACCACACGACGCCTCTGCTGATCAATTTTGGTTAAATCAATGTATTTATGCTGCCTTAAAACAATGTTATATATGTACAATTGCCGAACTGTCAGAAGTCTGCATTCTTCATAAAGTGTTTGTGTGCAGAATCTTTTAGGCTTGTGAAGCATTACTTTAAGAACAGCCCTTTGAGCTCTTTCAAGCTCAATGAGGTGTGTGGAGGCAGCCCCTCCCCAGACGGGAATGCAGTACGATAAAATTGTTTGGCATAGGGATACATATACTTTCTTGACCATTTCTACGTCAGATACATCTCTTAATCGTTTAAAAATTGGAAGGAGTTTCCTTACCTTCCCTCTTAGTGACGAGATATGAGGTTGCCAAGTTAGATTTTTATCTATGATGATACCCAGATATTTTTGTGTGTCTATTTGATTCAGGACTATACAATTACAGCCACTAAAATTTTTTGACGAGAAGTATTCGCATGCTGCTCTGTGGGCTTTAATTTCGAATTGCGATGGAGGGTTTAATTTGTTATTGATACGGAAGCATATGTAATTTGTTTTTGATACATTTAAGGTCAATAGATTGCTATCCAGCCAATTCATGACCGCTCCGAGCCCAATTTCAGCAAACCTTTGTACTTCTGACCATGTCACTCCTCTAAAAATTAATGTTGTATCATCTGCAAAGGCTATGGAACATCCATTCTTCATTTGCAACTTACAAAGCTCATTAACGTATATAAGAAAGAGGGTTGGGCCAATTGTACTTCCCTGAGGAATTCCGTAGCAACTGTGAGATGTGTCGCTGTAAGTTTGATCAATTCTAACTACTTGGCCTCTGTTCGTAAGGTAATCACGAAACCATTCAAGAACAACACCTCGTATACCTAGACTTTCCATTCTTGATAAAAGTACAGGTATAGATACCGTATCGAAAGCCTTCTTCAGGTCAAGGAAGATGCCGACACAACATTGTTTCTGGTCAAGATATGCAGTGACTTTCGCAGAGAGAGAGGCAATAGCATCCTCTGTACTTTTATTTTTCCGGAAACCGAATTGGTTAGGTGCTAGCAGGTGCTGGCTTTCTAAGTAGTTCGTCAGTCTTATGTTAACTACTTTCTCTATTATTTTACTAACAGTGCTTAACAGCGAAATAGGTCGGTAGTTAGATGTCAGGTTTTTGTCGCCACTTTTATAAATGGGAATTACCACTGCCTGCTTAAAAATCTTAGGGAATAATCCGGTCGAGATGCTCAGGTTACATAGATGGGCAATCATAGTGCACAAGATGTAATGAGATTTTTTAAGGATAGCTGTGGAGATATTATCAATTCCATGGGCACTACTATTTCTTAGATTGCGAATTATTTTATCTATCTCAATGTAATCGGTAGGAGTCAAGTTCATCGAGTGACAGATTTCAGAATTGCGTATATTATTTGCAAGTAGCGATTCAGTCGTGTTAGTCCTTACCATAATTTCATTGGCTAGTTCTGCCCCAATTGTAGTAAAGAACTTATTAACAACATTTAAGGATGACTTCGAAGTGTCACTTATTTTTAGAAGATTTGTAGACTTATCAGAAGGTTTTTTGATATTACATACTTCTTTGATTGTTGCCCAAGTACCCTTATTATTGTTGTGATTTTTATTGAATTTGTCTCTAAAATATTGTTCTTTACATTGCTTTGCTATCAGATTGCACATATTGCGATATTTCAAATAGACATGTTTGAGTTCTAGATCATGAGGTCTTTTTCTAACTAATAGATGCATTTTGTCTCTCTTGTGAAAACTTTTCACAAGGCTTACAGTAATCCATGGTTTCATAGGACATCTCTTTTTGGTGAATTTTATCGTATTAGTATGTTGAAGGGTAAGATCCTGAATTGTTCTTGTGAGAACTATGGCAGCTTCGTCCGGGTCTTCAATTTCTAGAAAGTTATTCCAATTATGTTCTTTAAAGGCAATGTCTAGAGCTTCAAAGTTAATTTTTGTTCTAGACATGGTCTTAGTAAAGTTTGAGCTAAGATTGCGTGTATTAGTAAGTGACAATAAAATGGGACTGTGGTCAGTTATATCCGTCTCAAAAACAAAACATCGGTATTCGCTGTCAAGTTTACACATAAAATGATCCAAGCAAGTCTTACCATGAGTGGGAATGTTGACCGAGTTGTTTAAGCCGTGGGAGCCGATAACTTCTAAATAATCAGTAACGTTTTTACTGTTAGTATTTAGGGTATCTATGTTTATATCTCCAGTTACAATCAAATTCTGTGTTTTGATAGTAGTAAGATATTGATCCAGAGAATCTAAGAATTTATCAGGTTGTTTGAAACAGTCTGGTCTGTATATGCCCAGGATACTTATGTTATCTAATTCAACCATTAGACAGTTCGCCTCATCGATATCCAATTCATTCACTTTTGCATTGAAGTCTGTATTAACGTAGATGATAACTCCATCATTTTGGTTGTAACTTCTATTAGTAGAGAATACCGAATACCCGTCTATTAAGGGTGGTATGGTGTCTTGATCGGACCAACATTCGGTGAGTACCAGGACATGTAAGTTTATATTTAGTCTTGTTAAGAAAATAAGGAAATCATCCAGGTTTTTGTTTATACTTCTAATATTCATCGAAATAATGTTAAATATTTTTTGTGGTTTAGAAAAAGAACTTTTAAGTTCAGATTCAATATGTTTCGGGTTTTCTATAAGTTTACAAGAAATTTGGTTGAATGTGTCTATCTCATCAATTATGATATTACCGTCCATCGAGAAGAGGTGTGGTGAGACTTATTTTCGATGGGTTGCAATACATATTAGTTATGTAGGTAGTGGGCGTGCAGTTGCGTATATGATATGGTGTAAGATAAGTTAATATTACATCTGAAGAATTTATTTTAGTGGATTGTTTATTGATAAGGTTCATTATGTATCTCGAATTATGCAAATGATGTTCAGTGAGAGTTTGATGTGTATGTAAGTAGATAACAGTAGCCGATGTAGAATAATCAGGCGATATAGTATGGAATATGATTACTTTAACATATAGAAATAAGATATAACTTAGATTAAAGAAATATTTAGATAAAAACTGACAGACACTACGAACTAGTCATATGTTCCGTAACTGGTGCAGTTGAGCCTCAGACCTTACCAAAATATAGGGATCACCTTGTTTCTTGCGTAGATACACTAAGCCACTTGACGTCCAACAGAAGTCGTAGCCCATACTCTTACGGAATTCTCTAGCCAGGAAGAAGAGTCGCGATGCCATCGGGGTGAGATGTTCAGCTAAATAGATTGCAACTTTAGGCCCCTCAAGTCCAAGATGTTGGGAATTTAATTGATCGGTCTTGAACTTTATGGAATCAGCGTGAAACCTCTTTGCAGCCTTCAATATGTTTCCTTTAGTAAGAGTCGAGGAGAGTTCTGCAACGACCATCGAAGATGAATTGTCATGTTTGGTGGGAACTCGGTAGGCATCGCGCACTTCTGAGGCATCCAAAGATACACCTAGTGAGATCGTTAATTTATGGATTGCATTGAACAGAGATTCTTTGGTTTCTCCTCTCTGTTTAGGAAAGTTTCTTATCTGGAAGCTGGTTTTGCGGGAGAATCTTTCCATCAAGTCGCATTTGTCCTCAAGTCTAGAGATCCGTGAAGCCACTTCTTTACGTTCTTCATCGAGACGGCTGATAGCTGATTGTATTACCTTTAGTTGGTCGTTGACAAACTCAATGGATGTACCAATTTCAGTAGTCGTCAGATGCATGTTATTATTTTGGTTTTTTATATCTGACATATGTTGTTCCATAATGTTCATGCGCGAATTTTGTTGTTCTTGCAGTTCAGTCAGTATGTCCCGAAGCTCCTCCCTAATAATTCTGCGAATATCAATTCCTCCTATTGGGCTGTCTTCCGACACGCGTCGACGTTTACTATCGTGTTGTGTTGACTGCTTGAATTCTTCTAATGAAGAGGCGGTGCTCATCAATTTATCCACATCTGCATCTGACATGCTGTGGGATTTATTTAAAGTAGGCGACCGCATCACGTTAGGCATCCCGATTATGAAACTGGTTTAAACGACCAAACGCTAACGCCTATGAATAACGGCAAACGACCGCTTGATTTGCGATTCACTACTGGCAGTGAGTGCGACGGGTAGTAGCCCGCTGTCTCAACCGATTCTTATGGACCGTTCACTTGACACTGCTTGTGAATCTACCTGTAGTTATGTGCTCCTGGTACTTCGCCGCTGATAAAATTGAATTATTTCACAATATTTATTTTAGATTTCTTTTTTAAACTAATTTTTATAAGAACTTTTAGCACAGATTACACGTCCAAACGCTTGCGCGGTCCGAGGGGAGAGGGAGAGAATCATATAACAGCACTACATTATTAACCGTAATGCTTAAATCTATAAATAAATAATTATAAAATCAGAAAAATATGATTTAATACGTAATAATGACAAAATTATAATTACCATTGTAGTAACAATTACAATAAAAGACACAATGCTTCACTGAGATTTATAGACCAAGGCTACATTATAAAATTGTAATATCACATTATGTCACACTGTACATACTTAATTCAACTTAAATTTGAAAATCAAAAACATCATTAAAGTAATTGAAATTGTAATGATTATTCCTTATGAACTGACTAAGCACGAAGCTCATGTATAAAATAAAATAGCACGAGTAGTGCTCTGTGAACGGACGCCTGCGACGAGTTTGTAAACGCGCGCAGTGGGTAGCGTTTTTTAGTTGATATTCGTTACTTTTTTTGACAAATAGTATTAGCAAATAATAATCCATGTTACTACATCCAATACAACTGTACTCGCTGGAAATGGATACCAAAACTTAGCGAACGCCCTAAGATGCATAAGTAGTGTTCTACATATTAATATACAGATGTCTTCGCTGTTTCGTAATGTTTATTTATGGTTAAAAAAGTAGTCATAAATTGTAATTATCGGGAATTGAAAAAAATAATGATTTAGCAGAGAATTAGAATTCGTCACTACCTATACGGCAGAACTAGATTTATAAAGCAAGTGGTCTCATTAAATAAGTACAGTGTCTAGTGCATAAAACCTAACATAACAAATCTTAAACAAAAAACAAAGGGATAAGAAACTATCACAAATCACATTGATGAATTTGAACTTACATAACATTATGGGTAGGTGATGTTAACAAATGAATTACAAAAAAAATCACATTGATGACTGGTTAACTTCGATAACAATATAGATAGATCATCTTAACAAATGTCACACAAAAATATGAAGTCTCATCATTAATATTATTACATTTTAATATTTAAAGTTGAATTTCACTTGAAGAAGATATTTCACGTTCACCTGCGCCACATCGTACACGATAAATCTGAAAATGTATTGTTTAGGAAGTTATCATTTTCATTATCTACATAGTCGCATGCCAGAATAGCCGAAATAATATCGAACACCTAATTAGCATTCTCTCAGTGTTACAGCTTCACAGTACAAGCGTATCTGCTGAAAAACAAGATATTTTTTCCTAAATTTTCAAATAATATAATAATGTATTTAACCAGTTGTAATTTATATTTAGCTTTCAGCCCGCGACCTCACTCAATAAAACGGTTCTCAAAGAGTTTTTTAACCCCATTAGATGCTGAATTTTACAAAATCCTTTTTTAGTAAACCTCTTTTTATCATAATTATTTCAGCTCCATCTATCCAATTGTTTGAGCTGAGCGTTAACCAACTTCAGTCGAATCTGATAATTTGAGGTCCCGGGTTTCATTTCCAGTCAGATCAATAAAGAAAAATTTATATTTCTTACATTATCTCTAGTCTAGGTGTTGTTATCGCTGTTTCAGATTTCCATAATACTAGTATTTGCTTAAAGCTACTTCTTTAAGATCTGAGGAATATATCGACACTAGAAAATAAACATAGTTACCCGCAAATCCCAACATTTTTCTTTAAAACAGAAAAACTTTTTACTTGGTAAGAGTTATCATTTTCGTTACATGTACGTTCAGAAGACATTTTTCTCGAAAAATTAAATTCTGCTCTGAAAAAATATTTGGTTCTGCGAGTTCACTACGTGTTTGCTTTCCTTATTATTGACATAGGTAAATATCATTGCTTTTTTTTTTTTATGGGATAGGGGTCAGACGAGCTGACGGATCACCTGATGGTGAGTGATTTCCGCCGCCCATGGACACCTGCAACACCAGAGGAACTACAAGCGCGCTGCCGATTGTGATTAGTAAAGGATACTCGTTGTATAGCAGCGAGGTGTTAACGGGGTTGGTCTGTGGTGGGCCGAGAGGCACTAGTGTACCGTCTGGTGCCGTGTGGAACTGAGAGGGGTCCGGCTGAGTGCGGCCCACGCCCCATACTGAGTGCATACCTTTAGGCGGCTTGGACCAATTCTCAGCGCGAGTGCACTCTTTCCTGCGAGTACGTACACGTGCTCATATCAAAATAAAACGTCACAGGAAATTGGAGGGGCACTAAATACAGTACTGAATATAATATTTGACTATTTTGAAAAATCTTTTTAAATTTTTCTTCATTACATAATAAGCACATTACTATTTAGGGAAAATTTCCTGTATTACTGTGTCCATGCTCGACAATTTTCTCTATCACAAAACCATATTTGATTCACCTCTAATACCAAGTCCTAAAGTACAAAAATAGTTTGTGTAGTATTTTATAATTATTATCATTCTATACCCTGTCCCCCCTTTTTTTTATGCCTTATTACTTCCTTCCTTGCTGTCTTAAAGCTGTCCTCTACCACCTTCCCCCATCCGGGGACTGGGTCAGTATCTCGTAATGACCCAAATCACCGTTCCACAGATTAGAAAACACACCGTGAAAAAATATATACCATGTGTATTTAAGTTATCTTAAGGATCTATTGTAAAGTTTATGTAAATAAACAAATTATTATTAAGAAAGAAAAAAAGAAAAAAATCGTTTGAGACATATAAACAGTGAACGTTATTAAGATTTAAAAGAGGTTAAAATTGGATCTTACATATTTCCCAGAGCGACCTCGCACAGTAGCAACAGTCCGACGTTATTGTTAGCGTTGGTGTAGCAATAGTTGGCTGACTTGGACACCATGTCCGCAAAATAGATGCCTTTACCGAACATGTAACCTGTCACCGGAGCCTCAGGGGGCGCGATACGCAGGCCTACCGACAAAAAACATTCCAATTAATACAGTCTAAGTCAAAATATCTTTATTCTAATATAAATTATTAAAATTACTATTGAATCGTCCAACATATACTTTTTTTTATGGTAGGGAAAATGCTTTAAGCATACTTCGCCTTATAATACAACTCCATTGTTATAGCTATATTTATAATACAACAAACTCCACACAAATTGAAAAACAACTGTTTTTCTGGCGACTTCGCCAGCGTAAATTATATAGCACATGTCGGCCTCCTATGATGTAGTTACACGTAGATAAAAGAATTTTCATAATCGAATCAGTATTTGTGAAGATTACCAACAGAGTTAGAAATTTTACCTCTTCATAATATTAGTATAGGATAAGTAAGGGTAGGTGTAAATGTGACAGAAAATCTAGCGAAAGTATACACTTGAGTAAGCGACCGAATTTGAGTCATACCGACTTGGTACAATTATTTTCCATCCCAGTCGAGTCGATGCGTCTATCGCGACAGAAATCTTTATAATTGAAACTCAACTCTAAACTTACTCTCAAGAGTAAACCAAGTGTAATGAAAACTATGGTTAATAGGGAATATGCACATTTTTGGAAAATGTTTTTATATGATAATTTACATCGATATATAACTGTAAAGAAAATCCCGGCATCGAAAAACTAAAATTTTGTAACATTAATAATTGATGAAAATAAGTAATAGCTACGAGCAGTTTAAACACCGGAATTTTTGGCGCGCTCGTCGTGACGTCAAAGTACACGACTAGAGATATGACACTTTAAATCAATATGGATTTTGAGTGATCGATTATTATTCAATTACCCAAATCGATTAATAACTAATCGATTTTTTAAAGTATAATAGACTTTTTTAATAAATCATATAATTTACCAAATTGGTGAAATAAAAATAAAAGTCTAAAACATCATTTAAATTGTAATCAGTTGTTTATTTTGCGACATAATACATTGATGTTATTGCATCGATGTTAACTTTTTGTAACAATGACATCCCTATACGTGTACATTTTCGTCACATCCGCTCTGACAAGTAGCATGGCGTTTAAATATTTTGAAGTTACCGCATTTATTTTGCACTTTTTAATAATTATTTTCAAGACGAAAACGAACTAATTTTGAAAAATATTTAGATAGACTTTATTTTAAAGCAATAACGATTGTGATAAAATATATTTAACCCTTTTTTTAATCAGACGCATATTCCCTATTGTCAACGGAAAAAATTTAAATAGAACGATATTGACTAATAAAAGTATCGTTCATCACCAGCCTATAAATGTCACTGCTGCTGGGGTTCAGGCCTTCCTTATGGATGCATTCGAATGGAAAGAATTAATCATAACCCACCACACAGACCCAGTGTGGATTGGTGGGTGTTTATGAATGTAGATGCAGCCATGACCAACGGCTTAACGTGCCTTCCGAAGCACAGAGAAACTCGAGATAATAAACTTTGGTCATCCATCCTGTGACCAACTCTTGCGAAAGTTGCTTAACAACCGTATCGCAGACCGAGCGAGCTGACCACTGCGCCATCGAGCTCAATCAAAACCAAATTACAGATTATCGTAATAAAAACAAAATCAAATAATAAAAATTAAGTAAACAATACTGGCAACACCGATAGCATACCTTGCGATATGATGCCCGCAAAGTTTGTAGTACGCGAGCCGTGCCACAACAGACGACGGTTATGTAGCTTCTTGAACGGTTTGTATCTCTTATCCTCTCCTTCACGTACCACTTGGAACACCTACATATAAATTGGAATAAAAAAATGGACAATTGCGAGTTTAACTCGCGCACGAAGGTACCGTTATCTAAAAAAAATCACATTTATTGTATGGGAGAACAATCAGAAATTTTATTCTGTTTTTTAGTATCAATAGGGTGGTGTCCTACAAGTAAATAATACAAGTTTCTGTTATATGTTTGGAAACTATAAATCGTTTTAAATAATAAATAAAAAAACTTGGAAAATAGTACGCTTTGAAAACTTGAAAAAAAAGTAAGGAAAATATATTACAATAATTTCCTAAAATAAATATTTATAAAATAATAAAAAATAATTGTCAACTAGCCCATTGTGATAAAGCTCTTAAAAATCCCATAACTAGTACTGAAGTACATTGATTTCATTCCGGTAAAAAAGAAGTACGTAATATATGAAACTATGTAATGAATATGCGCTTAATTCTCTTCTGCATAAGAGCTTAAATATTTCCTTATCCTTTCCGACAGTATAAAGACTAACCTCTTGTATGTCAAGTGTGTAATTGGAATGTGTAGCGGCGTGTGTGTTCCGCAAATACTTCTCTATGATCTCGTACTCTGATGATTTTCGGTCAAGCGGAGCGATCTCCGCTTTTAGTTTTTTGTAATGAGCAGTCACTGGGCTATCCGAATCATCACCTAAAATTAATTAACACTATTATTTCTAACTTCATTTTAAAAGACAGATATCTTGAGCATTTTGTTTAGACATAATTATCTAATGAATTTGTTTTTTCTTTTTTCAATATTAACATAATTTAATGGCTTTTAAGACTACATTATTAAGTATACCTGTATCCAAAAGACTGTAAGCGATTTCTATTTCCAGTAAATTGTCTAACATTTCACACTTGGTTTTAATAAGGTTCTCATCTAGCAATGGCGGGTTATTGACACCAAAATTATGTGGAATCAATGTAAAGAATCTGAAAGGAAAATTAACAAATAAGAACATAAAGTGGCTTGCCACCATGAAAACTAGAGAATTTCTTGTTTCAGACAATAGGTACCTGTTGGTAGCGTCAACTATTTTGTTCTGATTAGCTCTTCCATCTTGAAAATCTTTCAGTAACTTGGATAATACTCCATAACCAGACTTGATTTGCTTCTTGGATAATTTTCCAAGAGGCATCTTTTCTGTATCGAGCTACAAAGAAAAATCATATAGATATTATGTTGACAAAATATATTTATGACAAGTGGCTTAATTGACTAATTCCAAAATCTATTACAATCCCTTTCAAAAATTGTATTTACTAGTAATGAAATTATGAAATATTTAAAGTTGCAATCGCTTTCGGAACGAATGATGATTTGAATTATCAAGTAACATAAAACTTAGTAACTTAAAGGAATATTAATGTGTAACACTTGCCTTAGAGCCAGTTGTACGAATGTCCATTAAAATCTTCATTAGGGGCTGTCCATTAATCACGTGATGTTTTTTTTGGCATTTTTAAACCTCCCCTCCTCCATAGTGATACATGGTGAGGTTTAAGACTACCCCCCCCCCCTCCCCATATATCACGTGTATTTTTAGTACTTACAATGAATCTTAATTTTCTAATTGTATTATAGACAATTAAAGAGTACAATAATGTCTAGAGGTAGACAGAAAGATTACAGGACTTGCAGGTTGTTGTTGATTGACAAAAATAATGAAAGGAATGCGAAAAACTTTATGAATATTATTATTTAATGAACGTTTGACGAAAAAATAATTTTATTACACTTATTTACGCCGCTTTTCGGTTGAGTATCGCGCGTTTGTCGAAAAAATAAATACATGTGATATGTTACTTCACCACCCCTCCCCCCTTGTGATATTTCGTGACATTTATATGGACCCCTCCCCCCCCTTTCGAGCCTCACATGATTAATGGACAGCCCCTTAATTAAAGCGATATTACCTATACAAATTTGACATTCATTAGAACACCTTAATGTACGATTGATATAACTGACAGTTAGACAATTAGAATTAACATGAAATTAACGATGATATCCTTTATTCAATCGCTATCACATGTCAAATAGTTATGTTATGAAGTTCGTTAATATCTTTCAAATGTCAAATTGAAAGGAATTGCAATAGATTTTAAAATTAGACCACAGGATATAAATTAAATTAATTACATAAAGTCGAGGCATACACTTAAAATAAACAAAACTCAAATGAGCTATTTTGACTGTTCTAATGTGGACTTTTTATTCAAATTAATGGCCCTACAAAAATCGCATCTCATTCCATAGAAATATGAATTATTACGATATTTGATCAATTTTGCGTTCAAAATTATAGTTCAATGGTTAGGGGTCGCTCGGATTGCAAACGGAGTTCCATGCATCAGGGTGCCTGGGATTGGTGATTTTTTATTACTATTTTAAGATTTTTTTGTATTTTTTCAAAGTTAAAATCTAAAAATTAATTTAATTTTCAAAAAATCCCGCATAATTGCCATTTCTATCATCGGCACTCGGAAACGAATATCGTTCAATGTATGCATACGGTTTAATTGTAACATAAACATTTCTGCTGATATTAGCAATTTTTTTTACGATTGAATTTATATTTGAAGATTAAAATTGCAAAAATGTGTAACAGAAATTTGGTTGATACACTGACTTACCTCAAACTCTAGCAGTACTTTCTTCATACTCTCCACATCAAATATCAACTGAATCAATTTTTGCAAAGGCAATGGAAGAGTGCAAGACTTATCTTCGCGCATAACTTTTTTCGTTGCCTCATCTTCTCCATAATCCACGTCGATTGGGTAATAGCGATCAGGCACCTGAAGTTGCGTAGTTATTGTAAAAATAAAACAAATATTGAAGAATAGTACCTAAATATTAACACTAACAAAGGTACTTATATCCAGCGAGTTTAATTGATGTTCGTACAACTCGAATTCGAAAAAATATTATAATAGCTTTTGGTTCTTGCTTTTTTATTATTTAATAAACTAGCTTGGTGACGTAATGGATAAGCGCCGCGGCTCGCGATCTTTTTTATTTTCATTACAACTGTTAAATATATACGCCATTAAAAGCCTAGAAATATCAAGAAACCGATTTGGCCATTTAAGTAAGTAATACATTATTCTTCAAATAGGTTGATTTCATTTGTTTCTACACTAACCTTCATGAAGTTATTGCGGCATTCCCATGGGTTTTCAGTTTTTTCCATATAAAGAGAGGTGAATCTATCGATGGCATCATCACATGACTTACACTCTTCCACCTTGTTGCCGCCGATGGTGGTACCTATGCGTCCCCACGAACGGAATAGCCAGTATCTGAGGTAATGATGAAAAATAATATTTAAAGACACATAAATAGTAATAATTAAGACAGGTATACATCAGTCTATGGCAGAGGTTGGCAACTTGCAAATCAAATTGCAGAGTTCAAGTTCCATTTACATAGTGTAATCGAGACATACTTGGGACACATTTGGATGGCCATATTATAATACGATTTAGATATATTGAAGTCGTTTATCTTCTATAAATACAGAAAATCGATTGCAGTTCGTTTGGTTCGCTAAACTCGAGAACGACTGGGCAGATTTAGCTGAACTTTCATAAAGGGCGGTCTACAGATGGATGATCAAACATTTATTATCTATAACTCTTGTATTCTTCGGCATAAATGTAAAGCAGTTGCTATATCAATAATTGTTAATTGATGGATGGATGTAATTAGGAAGTTTTTTGATATTAAAATAGTTATATTTAACGTAATATAGTTAAAATATAGATTAAAACTAACTGCTCCATAAAAAAATTACCAAGTAATAGATTATTTAAGATTACATATTTTCTCGCAAAACGTCTGTGATCTTCGGGTCGCCTGTGACGTCACGTCAATATGAAGAATGGCCGTCGTGACCGTCCACGCAGACCATGTACGAATTGGTGGGTGTTAGTAGATTAACGAGCATTTCTAAGTATAAAGAAGCTAAGAAAAATAATTTGGTCACCCATCCTATGACCGCCTTGTCAAAGATGCTTAACCTCCGCATCAACCACTGCGCCATCGAACTCTTTAGGTGGAATACTAAAAGTGTTAAATGTATCTTATTTAGTAATAGACAGTATAAAGTTCTCACTTCCTCTTGTTCTCATGCTCCAAAACTTGCAGCTTGTAATAAGAGTTTTTCTGTGCAACGACATCAGTCTTACTGAGCACCACTGTATATTTGGTGCCTTCTCCATCACGGTACACATGGGCGACGTCTTCCAAGCCAGAGTCGGGATCAACCGCCGTTCCACCTGAATAGCAAGGTATATACAGGGTCATTTTGCGGATGAGTGTAATTTTTTTCCCTAGTGTCGTACATCATGAGCTGTTCTGTGAATCATAGCGAAGCTAGTGCCGTTGTGGCGGTGAAATTTACAAAATGAACGGAACGGCGGCTTTTAGATCAGTCTTGGTTTTTTAAATCAAAATGATTAAACTTAAATCAAAGCAAGTACAAGTATATGGCTAATTTCACCAGTTTGCTGCGACAACTACTAAACATTTCCATAAAATACAACAGCCCCGGATGCACAATTTTAAGCATTAATGCTCCTGATAATAGGTGCTATCACTGGTCTGGTTATGGCACCGGTGCAGAGGCTGCATGGAGGCAGATGTAACAGCCACTCACATCCTGCTGGAATGAAACGACGAGGATACCTACTGAACAAAATATCTCGGCCCGACAGGTAACCTCCACGATGCCATCACAGACATGAAGGCCTTGGAAACATTTCTGGTGGAGCTAGGTGTGGCTGGAAGTTCATCCACAAGCAAAACACATGCAATTTCGAGTTGCGGAGACGCCCGTAGGAAGAAGAACATACATACGATCTTAATATCTGTCATATCCATATTGGCTCGCGAAGGCGGCGGCGGGCGATTTCGGCGACATATTTTCAATTGTCAGTCATTAGTAATCGACCAATAATTAATGAACTCACATATATCACCTACAGTCCACATTTTGACCCCATTGATCAACGTATATGGGCAACATTATATATGAGATCCTAATAAGACAAATATTAATAAACAATAATTCACTTACCTTTAAGCTTCAACTTCACAGACGATTTATTTGACTTTTCATACATGCTTCCCGATTTCGGAATAGATTTCCCGTCAACCACGTCTTGAGGCACCCGCGTCATTGGCTAAATATGAAGGTACGATTGTATATCAATCTTTTAAGTTCAAAATCATGAGAACGGTTATCTATCAAACGAGAAAAACTTTTATTATATCCAGCCTTTTGCTAGAGATGAAGTCATATAATAAAAAAATATCTAATTGAAATGGACGATTATATGTGCACATACCGCATTAAAAAGTTAAGCAGATTTAGTAGTGAATTTATTACATTAAATAATATAAAACCGTAAGAATTAAAGTGACTTACGTCAGAGCCCCACTCGGCGATATTGTGCTGCTTGATCAGTTGTAGCGTATTAGAAACGGTACCAGTTTGGGGGTCTATCAAATCGAAGAACGATTCATCCACAACCTACAACAGTTTCTAGTTATATATGGCAGTAAAAATATTACTCTTAAATATAATGAAGTAATATGCAGTATCCTGGTGAGAAATATGAGTTTTATGTAATTTTTTGTCATCTGACTTATACCCTAATTTGGTTTGTTTACATTTATTCTTCATCCGATTTGGCTGGACTAGATTTATGGTAATTTAAAAGAAAGGGAACTTTGACACATCACATCTGTTACCGATATTAACAAATTTACGATTCGTGCGAGATGACGAGTATTAGTTAATTAAGCAAATTACCTCAATGTCCTTTTCTTGTATCTGAGACATCTTCTCGGGCATCCGTTCTATGTCCCTGGCAGTAGAAACGACAGCGGCGAGCGTATCCGTGAGCGAATTTACCACTAAGCCACCAAGCTTTAAAATGCGCCGCTTCAAATCTTCTTTGGGCGTCTTCAACTTGCCATATATGAAGAACTGGAGATTCTTCAATGGTGGTATTGGAATGTCTTTTTTTATTCTACAAAAAAGAGTTAGAAGTTAAGAGTCATATTACATTTCAACGGTGATTTCTTCGCACAGTTGTGCGTGCGGTCGAACATAGCACGGTCATTTTGAGCATTACTTTTAATAATTTATGAGAGTAATTTACTGGCGTAGTTCTTTCTAAATAGTATTAAAATCAAAAACTGATAAAACAACATGCATATTGCCATGGGTGTAAAATTTACTGCCCCTATTTTATAATACGAGGGTCAAACTGAAAGTTCTTAGAAAATCAAAAACTGATTACATTAACCAGTTATTAGTTTTATTATATCTTTTCAAAATATTGTCCATTCACGTCAATACACCGCTGCATGCGATGGAACCACTGGGAAAAGCACTTTGCCCACTCGTCCTTAGGGGTCTCTTCAATGGCATCGCGATACGCAGCCACCGCTTCTTCAGCATTCATAAACCGCTTTCCTTTAAGTTTTTCTTTAATTTTTGGAAATAAATAAAAATCACAAGGCGCGAGGTCGGGGCTATACGGCGGGTGACCCAGTAATTCAACGTTTGATGTCGCCAAATAGTCGATCGTACGCTTGGCGGTGTGCGACGAGGCGTTGTCGTGGTGAAGGAGGATCCTACTGCGAGGTCGTTTCTCTCGAACTTTTTCCAAGACAAGTGGCAAACAATTGGTAGTGTACCATTCTGCAGAAACTGTTTTTTGATCCTCTAACACAATTGTTGCAAAATGACCTATCCTTCCAAAGAACGAGGCCACCATTTTTTTTCCCGCACTTCGATCTCTCTTCACTTTAGTTGGCAACTCCTCGAAAGAAAACACCCACTGAGCAGATTGTCTTTTGGTTTTAGGATCATAACAGTAAATCCAGCTTTCGTCACCTGTTAGTATGTCGAACACAGCATTTGAGTCACCTCCGTTAAATCTTTCAATCATTTTACGACACCAATCCACACGATGGAGTTTTTGAGCCTCAGTCAAATTATGAGGTATCCACCGGGCGCAAAGCTTCCTGACCGCTAAATGTTCGTGGAGGATTTTGTGCACTTGACTCATACCGATGCCTAAGCTTGTCCGAATCTGTTGATAGGTCACTCTTTTGTCAGTCTCTATCATACGCCGCACAACACAGATGTTATCTTCAGTCGTCGCCGTAGAAGGCCGTCCCTCACGTAAATCATCAGTGAGATTAGTGCGACCACGTTTAAACTCATTAAACCAGTTGTAAACAGTCGCACGAGATGGGGCTTCATCGTGAAAGGCCAATCGTAGTCTATCATAACTTTCTTGTTGACTTAAATGACATCGAAAGTCATAAAAAATCATTGCACGAAAATTTTCTCGTGTTAAATTCATGATGACGTGACACAGACAATTTTCAATTTGCCGCCAAATCGTAAAACAAATGACAAATGAATGAAATATATACTCAGTAATATTGGCAAAGAGTTATATTTTCAAATTTTAGAATTATTTTTTTATTATATTGTTTATAAGTGGCCAGTTCTAAGAACTTTCAGTTTGACCCTCGTATTGTTGCTTTCCGTATTTTTAAATATTTATTTTAATAGTCCAAATGGTTTTAGTTAAGATTATTTTTCTTTGAATAGCTCGGTGGCGCAGTGGAAAAGAAAAGCGGTCTGCGATCATTATTTTTAAGCAACTTTCGTAAGAGTCGATCACGGGATGGGTGACCAAAAAATTAGTACCACGAGCTACTCCGTGCTTCGGAAGGCACGTTAAGCCGTTGATCCCGGCTGAATTTGCAATCTTTAATGTTAAATATAAATAAAAAAAAATTGTTTGCGGTGAAGATGAAGCGGTTATAAATACTAGATATTTATATTGGTACATCGTACCCGACAATGAGATAGATAGGGACAGAGGATAGCAAAATGCCTCGTGACCGTAGAAACGTGTTTGAGAGGCTTCATGTAATTCTCTTATAATAGGGACCTTAAAATGCAACCTTCACAGCTGAGAAGCCAAATATTCACATTATCACCCCGACTGTCATATGTGTTTTGTTCTAAAGTTTTATAATGTTTTTGTCATATGAAATGCAAGCCGATAGAGAATTATTCAGAACCATTATTATTTTAGTTTAATTCAGTATAATGTACTTGTATTAAAAATAGTTGTCATTTGTTTAGAATAGTTTTAATCTTGAATAACCTACATACTTACGGTTTTTCAGGATCTTGTTTGAGATTCACTATAACCGGCGGAGGAGGCGCCGAGTGGAACAGGCGAACGTCGACTTTTGGCTTGTACTTATTGAATACAGAGCTTTTTTTAAAAGCTTTCGGAACTGCCATGGGCTTCCTCTTTGGATTTTGAGTTACAAAGGAACATTTGGTCCATTCACTGATATTACCTAAGTAATGAAACAGTTATCAGTATAATTTCCTACATGGCGAAAAAAATAAATATACACTGTTCTCTTAACTTATGTAATAATTATTATTTAATTGTCAGTTCATATGGATTTTCATAGAAAATAGTCAAGCCTAAGTTTTGATTACGGGTAAACGAAAATAAATACATATTACTTTTTCTGGAAGTGTTTAAACTGTTACTGATAACACACTTTTTTGCTTATTATATTGCTTAAAATTATTATGAAAAAACAAATATTATGTACATTTAAAAACATGTACATTATGTTAATGTCATTTTCTTACCTGTACACTTGTATCCAAACGTGTCCAAGACAAGCTGCCCTTGTTTACATTCTGGACAAGGTTCAAGAGCTCCAAATGCCATACAATCAGCTAAACGGTCCAAACACTGTAAGTACAGCAGCACATCAGGTTACCAAAAAATGTTAGTCGCAAACTTTATACTCAACTGCTAATATGTAAGGTTTTAAATTTATCATTTTGACATATTTTTCTGTACAATATTAATTCCAGTTCAAAATATAGAAAAAACTAAGATGTTGGCGTAAAGCTAGTGTTATGAATAGCTATTATATTTTGAATGCAGAGTAATGCAACATGATTTTTTAATTAAAACTCTATGTGAATAAGAAACAGCTGAAATGTAAACAAAAGTTCAAATGTCTCACAACTGCATTATTAAGACACTAGGCTTATACTTTAAAATACAAACAAAAGAAAGCAAACCTCATCACGGCCTGTTGGTATTTCCTGTGAATTCTCTTCAAGTAACTCCTGTATATCATTCTTACTCATTTCACTTAAAGCATTTCTATACTTAAAATACAACTTATTCTGCTTGTCCATGTTCTTCTCCTTCTTTTGCTCTTCTTTTAATTCTGCTGCATCTTTTGGTTCTTCTTTCAATTTCTTAACAGGTACTTCATCAGTTTTAAATGGTCTGAAAACGGAATGTAAAATTGTCTTTATTACAAATCAAAATCCAACTAAATCAACTTTAAAAAAAGATCATTGCTTAGTACAAACTTACTTGATTTCATCAATCACCATTTTCTGGTCTTCTTTAGATAATGTTTTGATGCCAGGTAGACTTTCGCCTCCAGCAAAATACAATAACTCTGCCCTTGCTTCATTGAAACACTTAACATGATGCCAAAGTGGCTGACCTCCATGCTTAGCACCTATCTCTGTGTCAAACACTACCTTACAAATGCGGACTTCATCCTAGAAAATAGCAATTAATTAATGACATTCTAAAATAGAAACAATAGAACTTATTACAAGTTGACAATGATTGTACATAATTAGATATGTAAGATAATCAAGTTCTTATATTTCAGCCTATTAATTTACCCACTGTTGGGGGCTTAGGCCTTCGCCATGGATGGAATTGAAACAAATTGAATAGGGAGAATGAGCCACGACTCATGGCTATTTTAACAAGCATTTATATAGCATGGGTATCTCTGACAGTTCTCTAAGCAGGGCATGCCTGGACACTGAAGAGACAAGCGCTCATGTGCTACTGGAATGCAGGGCTTTTCAAGACATAGGTCTATACATCTGGGTAGCCCACGGACATTAAAGGAGGCATGCGGCAAAGTTAAAGGACTTATGGGATTCCTGGAGGAGGTGGGGTAGCAGGACTGATGCAACCCATTGCGACAGGCCATTGCGAAAGTTGCTTAACAACCGTATTCCAGACAGAGAGCGCTAAGCACTGCGTTATAGAGCTGCATTGTGCATTATATTAATAATAAATACTTGTAGGTAGACTTACCTTGCAAATTTTAATATCACAATGTTTGCAAGTAGCTCTGCTACTTTTAGAGTACTCAACAGCAAAATCTCTTAGAGCACCTGTAGCTGGTGCTGCACTACTGGCAGCTCTTTTCGTACCTTTCCCCTTCTTACCTTTACTACCACTTCCTTCTGGTACCACAACACCTGAATTTTCTTCTGTAAAAACCCAGGTTCAGGGTGTTAATTTTATCACTGATAATTATAAAACACTACACAACTCATTAGGATTTGTTATTAAAAGGGGAATCATCTTCAAACAACTGTCAAATATGGTGTAGAATGTACAGTCGGCCAAGAAAGTGGTCTACCACCCTAAGGTTGAATTTCGCGTGTTACGTCAACTAACAACAAGGTTGATTTTCCGTAGCATTAATTTTTTGACACGTCAAGTACACGTCATTATTGCTATCTTCATCATTTTGACGTAACCTTTGACAGTAACTATCTATACCTATAATAAAAATGTAACAAGGTTACATTTGTAAGATATTTTGGAAAAAAAATATATGGACGGCCTTCATAAGACTAATAGAAGCCAAAATTTTTTTTTTCTGTCTGTCTGTTTGTATGTTTAAATACTTTAGAGTTAGAATATCGTAAATAAAGTCTTATAGTCTACAAATATCCTACATTAGAATGTAGATTAATTATATTTTAATACAAATAAAAAAAATCAGTAGGTAGTGAAATGCTATGCGTAAGAAGCTATGCGTGTTATAGGTCTGAATATACTGAGATAACGGATAACAGAAATGAATAGCGACGAAAAACATATTGCGCCGACCCATAGCTTAGTGCGAGACAAGGGCTAAAACTAGAAGAGATAGTGAAAATGCTAATTCTTTGGTTGTTAAAAAATATATACAATTCTTTTATAAAATTATAATTCTTAACATCTCGTGTAGCCGCCATCTGCCTCTATAACAGCTTGGAGACGTTCCCTCATCGAGCCCACCAGTCTTGAGCAGATATCAGACCCACGTGTTTCCTCCCAAACCTCATTGCAGTGCCCTTGTAGTGCTTCTGCTGTTCGTTCATTACGGTTACACCATCTCTGAACCATAAGACCCCACTTATTTTCAATAGGGTTGAGATCTGGCGATTTTGCAGGCCATGGTATCAAGTTTATTTCCGAATGTGCATCAAACCAAGCACGTGTTACCCTTGCTTTATGTAAGGGACAGTTATCCTGTAAATAATTAAATTGACGCATTTCATTTTCTGGATAAACGTTCCGGACGGATGGCAACATAGCATTTTGGAGAACATCAACATAATCTGATGCCGTTGCTCGTGGTGGCAAAAAGGTCTAGTCTCCAACACCATCAGCAGTCATCCATCCATACAAATTTACCGAGATACGACCCGATTCTCTATTTGGCACGACATGATTTTGCGTGAATCGTGTTTTATTGAATCGCCAAAGGTGTAGACGCCCGTGTTGACTGGATTTAAAAGTTTTCTCGTCACAGAAAACAGTGTTACTCCAATCAAAATCCAAATATTCTATGGCGAAATTTAATCTGGCCATTCTATGAGCGTCAGTCATATAAATTTTCTTTGCATAACGCCTGTGATGTAAGCCCATGTAATGTAAATGGTTTCTAATGGTTTGGAGAGTCACGTCAAATATGTCGGCAAAATAACGCGTTGGTATAAAGCCAGATTCCTCATAACTCCGTCTCATGAAGACTCGCTGAGTATCTGATATTTCAGGTCTACAACCGCTACGACTCCGAGCGTTCAAATTCCCCTCCTCGCTTTCTCGTCTTATCCAAAGAAGGACAGCTTGTCTCTATAATCAAAAATAAAATATGAACAGAAAAAATAAAAAAAAAATTCTACACTCGGACTTGGTCTGAGATTTTACATTAAACTCACGTCAGACATAATAATACTTACCGACACATTTAATTCTCTAGAAATCTCACTAATCAAATCAATTCAAACCATCATTGTGTAATGCGATTATTTGTGCTCTTTCGTTAATGGATAAATTTCGGGGCATTGTAGTGTAAATTAATTAGGAAAATACCTACGGAAAATGCCGAGAAAATATTTGACATGAATTGTCAAGTGATATATTCTTTTTCAGTAAAAGAGTTTTCGTAACAAAATAGTTTCCACTTTGAAGTGACCTACTTAAATTTTAAATTTATGAAATATTGTGAAGACTATTTATTGTTGCAAATTATTATCTAATGCATAGGCTGCAAAGGTCAAAATAACATTTGTGCTCTACGACAACACGTCAGCATTGTGCATCTCTTTTATTGTTTGTATGCAATTCTAAGATTTGCCTTTAGCAATGCTTTAAAGACACGGGAAATGTTGTCAAAACTGGTAGACCACTTTCTTGGCCGACCGTACCTACAAAAAAAATTAACCCCCTTAATAATAAAAAAATATTTTATTTATGTGCTAATATTTTCCTTTCAATTTGGTTCAATGTGATTTCACTATAATATAATTTTTACAAGTTAAAACAGCAAAAATAAAATTTTATTCAATAGGGTATTTGCCCTAATTTGAATAATTTGAAAACAAGTTGCATGTTGTAGTCATTCCTTTAGATAATAATGTAATAAAATTTATTTCTTAGAATCTGCAGACAGAAATAGAAAATGCAAAATTTTTAGGATTCCAATGAATTATGATTATTGTTGCAACCAATTACAGGTCCTACATGTGATGTCACACGTAAACAGGAAGCCGTCATGTCAAAACAGTTATATTAAAGATATAAAAAAATTGTATTAATAAATATAATTTTTGACTCATTTTTATAAACAAAACCAGAGTAAATACAAACACAAAACAATGTCATGTCTATAATATTATATATTTACTTCGTAACTAAATAGTTGATAAATAAGTTGTTGCCTTGACAGGCTCATGACATCACAAATACCATGTGAAAAATTATTTTCATCAAAAATAAAACACATTCCCATGAAATATAATGACAGTGTGTTTATAATGTATCAAACAACCATTTAAAATAGTTTTCAGAAAAGTGTCAAATACTAGGGTACATAAATCCCTTTCTGTATTTAAAAAAATGTTGCCCCACAGATAATTATCATTATAAAAATATTATTATATACTTAACACAGATGCCTTACAGACAAAATAACATAAAATTGTATAGGCCATCCATTTCACCTAAGATAGGGCATGATGGCAAACAATAGTCTATGAGAGAGTAATAGGGATGCATCTTTCCTTTAAGTCAGTATAGGTAATCATTTTTTGTAACCCAACCATACCTATTCTCGCCTTTACATTTTTCTGATCCTCTGATCGGAGTTTATTGAAATTTCCAATATCTGCATGAGTTGTAGGACGTTGTTTTTCAAAAAAGCAATCTTCATGGTACCAGTTAGGCTGCTTGCCATCATGAAATGCAGACTATAAAAAGAAAATAATGTTAGATCTGGATGATACTTTTGAAATATATTCATTCCAACAGCAACAGCAACAACACCATTATCCTTAAGATATTAAGTAACTAAAGAGCATGGAGTGGAAAATGCACTTCTACAGTTAAAAGTATTATTTCAATAATTTGTTTATAGCTAAGATACTAGAAACAATTATATCAGGCAATAGATAAACTATCAGATTAGTTTAACATGATTCAACTGGTATTGAAGTACTCTTCTAGAGTATATCGCCTGTTTTTCTTTAAATAATTTATTTGACAACTAATATAGGTTTACTTAATAATCATTGATGGTATTCTATATCTGTTGATCATCTATAAAATAAATCACTACATAGTATAAAATAAAGTTGCTTTCTCTGTCCCTATATCCCTAGGTATACTTTTTTTTATATAGACTTGTTCCGTTATACACGGAAATTTTGCCAACATCTCGTAGTGAGAGAGACACGTGACTCAAGAGACTGAACGGTAGTTATAATTAACCAATTTTTCCTTGAGATTGTTCTTTCTCTACTAAAAAAACAACACAATCACTATAACTACAATAATTTAAATACATAAAAGGACAACACAAAAGCAAATAACACTATAACTACGATATTTAAATACACAAAAGAGAATTTTGCAACACTTATTTTTATTATATTTTTTGATAAATTTGCAAACACGTAGAAGACCAGGTTTGTCAGAAATAGTAAGAAGAGAGTTGAGATAAACTGGACGGGGAGTTTTAGGTGGGAGTTGATTAATCATTAAAACTACGCAACGGATTTCGAGGCGGTTTTTTTCTCGTAGAAAGGATGATTCAAAAGGAAAGTTTTTAAGTATCATACAAGACCACAAGACACATCGCTGGCGGAAAGTTAGAACTGAATAAAATTCAACAAACCTGCACCATGCGAGCAATGCGTAGGGCTCCTTGATCTATTTTTTGTTTGCAGTTTTTACAAGACGCACGTCCTGATTTAGCATATTCTGCTAGATAAGGTAAATCAGTCATGGTTCAGACGTAAATTAAACTTATTAAAACTTTATATCACTTTCTTTTTCAATACTTCTTCTTCTTTTTCGAATATATTCTATATTGTCAACACTAGATCAACCGGCACAGACTTAGATCAACCGGTAAACACCACAGACAAAAAAGAAGATCACAGACCAGTCCGCGTAGTATGACAAACTCGAGAAACTCTTTGTCTACACTCATTCGTCAGTTTCTCGGGTCGAGAGTAAGATATAGAATAGGCGCATCCGAGAAAATTGACATTTGAGTGTAGACAAAACGTTCTCGAGTTTGTCATGCTTTTATGAGTATTACGCGATCTGTTTTTTATATAATAATTTAGTAAAGAGACAAGAGACGGTGAATCAATGATGCACTCACTATTTTAAATAGGTATATCAACTGATGACATTTGCGCCGAGCCGAAAGGCTGGACATTTTTATTTTTGTAGGTTTTACTTGTAGGACTTATATTCTCGTCCCAAATTTAACCTAAAAGAAAGAATGCTGAGGAACTTCTTTTGAACCCTCTCGATGGGATTCGAGTGAACTTCGTAGTGAGGGTTCCAAACAACCGAGGCATATTGCAATATGGTTCTTATTAAACTTCTTGTGACAGTTGTCACAAGAAGTTGTCACTCGTTCGAAAATGTTTGCTCCTTATAATTTTTTACCAGAAAAATAACTGATTTTCTAAAGCTGATTGTGCTGTGTTGTAACCAATTGAAAGCTGAATTAATTTCCTAGCAATAGCGTGTAATTGTACCGTGCATAACTTTCTTAGGTATGTAGAATATACTGGATGTACATCATAAATAATTTATTGTTTTATTAAGAGCCCAATCCAATTCATTCTACTACATTATGGTCTAGTAAATTACTTATTTCTTCCATTGACCACGTTTCCTCCCCACCCTAGCAGCCCGCTCATAACCGAACGATCGCCCTCGCTAGCGATATTCAGTAAGCTGTTATCGAGTGATATAGTCATACCAAGATCACAAGTCGACGACTGATGCGTGCTGATTGGTGTCTTAATATTGGAGCCATGACGACGAGTATTGACATTAGTACAAGTTGGACACATCCAAGACACAGGCGAACGAATATTAATTTAAGCAAAATCATCCCTGCCTATACTTAGACATTGCCGATGGTATTTTCCTGCACATTTCTTGCTTGTAAGTATGTCATCGCTATTGCTTAACTTCTTATTACATTGTGCGCTGCAATCCATATCTACCGTAAAGATTCTCATGCAACATAAAGACAGACGTGTGCCCTCATGCGAAAGCCGGTTAAGTTAAGATGACAATATGATAATAATTTTGATTACTACGTACTTCCCGAAAAATGAAGTCTCATTTTTACGAACATGTTATTGTCACCCTATTTGACTAAGACAAATAGCCTCTGTACTTGATATCTTGCTTGGCTCGCTTTTCAGCTGTACTCTTGCTTTTACGTCCCTAACTTTTAATATTAGTTAAAGCATATAATAAAATATTTAAATAAATATCCAACGTTTTATATTATTTTTTTATTAATCAAAGAAATGAAAACTTTTTCAGGACAATTAAAATTCGCCATTGTCATCAGTGTCAAAATTTCAGTGAACAATATGAATCTGAACAAAAATCATCATCACCAGCCCTTTTACGTCCCCACTGCAGGGGGCTCAGGCCTTCCTTATGGATAATTAAGGAGGATGGGCCATGATCCTCCACGCTGGCCCAATGCGGATTGGAGGGTATTAACGACTGCAAATGCAGCCGGGACCAACGGCTTAACGTGCCTTCCGAAACACGGAGTAGCTCGAGATAATAATTTTTTGGTCACCCATTCCGTGACCGACCCTTGCGAAAGTTGCTTAACGACTACGATCGCGGGCCGCGGCACTTATTCACTGCTCCACCGAGCTACTGAACAAAAATAAACACTATGAAATAAAGAATACCTTTATTCTTTATTCTTAGAACATCACCTGATGTTCTGCTTTATTGCTAAAAATCTGTTACTCTTGATAGTTCTCATCCATATTGGCACACCAAAGTGCTAAAAATAATTTTTTGTTGCTTTGACATAAGTTCCATAGTGCCTTGAATAACGAAATTTGACCGAATAGTCCGATTAACCTATTACAGATTCTATTGAGCTGATAAGACTTATAGACACTAGCGTAGATAGAGTTACTCTGTCTACGCTAGTGACCTATAAGTCTTATTGTTGGAAAGCAATGCGAACATCACTGTAAAAGTAAATATAGTTTATGGTTTAACTCTAGGAGTCTATGGAATCTTCGAGAACTGTGTTCGAGATTAAGATGGCGTCTTGTGAATAAATGTGGTTGCGTTGTAATTTTAATAAAAGGTTTTTTCTATAAAACATCTTTCCTTGCTTTGGTTCCAAAATATAACCCAATAGGTTATGGGCCCAGACAAGAAAAGTCGAGTGTGCGATTATATAGTAGAATAATCAAGTTTGATCGATTAAGTCGCGGTGCAACAAAGGACTCCTTCGTGGCAACGTGGTTCGAGAAAACTATAACATTTGATTGAGAAGTGTGCAAGATGTCGCATTCCGAAAATAAGACGACGATCCTACTGAACGGCCGCAACTGGCAGGCGTGGCGATTTCAAACACAAATTGTTCTTCGATCGAAAAAGCTTTTAGATATTGTTTTGGGCAAGGAAGAGAGGCCCACGGAAGAAGACAAAACACAAGAATCATGGGATGAGAGAGAAATAAAAGCCCAGAGGTAATAGTAACAAGGGTTGAAGAGTCAGTTATGAGATATTTAATTTCTTGTACCAGTAGTTCAGATATGTGGAAGAAGTTGATGACTATATATGAACCGTTTACAAATGTGGGCGTACACCTACTTCAACAGAGATTCTTCAATTTGGTTTTTGAAGAGCCAGTAGCAGCATTTATAGCAAATATAGAGGAATGCATGACCCAGCTTCAAGTAGTAGGTGAGGAAGTCTCGAAGAAAATGGTTATCACAAAAATCCTGATGTCTTTACCAGATAAATATAAACATTTTGTGTCTGCATGGGAGAGCTTGCCGGAGGAGAAACAAAACTTACAGGAGTTGACCGGGCGATTGTTGGTGGAGGAGGAGCGAAGTAAAAATAGTGTCAGCAGCAGTGCCAGTAAAGCGTCTCAAGATTCAGCATTGGTGGCGGTAATAAGTGGCAAAGTGTTAAGTGTTTTGAGTGTGGTAAAGTTGGCCATAAGATAAGTGAGTGTAGATTCAGAAAATGTTTTAATTGTCAAAGAAGGGGTCATTTAATTAAGGATTGTAAAATAGCTAAGAATAAGTTAAATGAAAAAGATAGATATAATGAGAAATATAAATCAAATGAGAAAAATAAATCTAAAGAGAAAAATAAGAATTCAAGTTCAGAATCTTTTGTTTGTCATACAACTAGACATCTGGAATGTAATTCATTTGACTCTAAATCTTTCTTTTTAGATTCAGGTGCTAGTGACACATGTGTTTTATTAAGGAATATTTTACAGAGTTTTGTAAATTAGACATTAAGAGATTTGTCACAATAGGAGATGGTACTAAGTTAGAGGTGTTGGGAGTAGGAAAGGTTAATGTTTGGGCCTTCAATGGCACTAATTATATTTTCCGTACATTAAATGATGTTTTGTATGTGACCTGACCTAAAAGTAAACTTATTCTCTTTGGCATCAGCTGTAAATAAAGGTCACACAATGTTATCAGATTCTAATGGATGTAAGTTTTATAAAAATGATTCAGTAACAGCAATAGCTGACAAGTGTAACAAAATGTATGTAATGAGATTTAAATTGAGTAATGTAGCTTTGTTAACTTTAACAGATTGGCATGTTAAGTTTGCACACCAAAATTATAAGTATGTAAAAGAGTTTTTAGATTCAAGAGGCATAAAAATATGAAGGGCAGACTGATCATTGCTTACCATGTATTCAGGGAAAACAACATAGGCTGCCTTTTAGTCAGAGTAATAGTAGGTCACTTAAACCAGGTGAACTCATACATATGGATCTATGTGGCCCAATGGAGGAAGTCTCTGTGGGTGGTTCTTCATATTTTGTATTGTTGAAAGATGACTATAGCAGCTCTTAGATTTGTTTATTTTATAAGGAATAAGTATGAAACTAAAGAGAAAATTGAGGAATTTATAGAGAAATTTGAAATGAGTTTACATGTAAAATAAAACGATTTCGTTCAGATAACGGAACAGAGTTTGTCAATAGAGCAGTTGAGATTTTATTTAAAAAGAAAGGTATAGTACATGAGTTAACAGTAAGTTACACACCTGAGCAAAATGGTAGAATTGAGCGCGAGATGCGTACAATTGTAGAATCTGCGAGAACATTAATTATTCAGTCTGGTTTATGTAAGGAACTTTGGGCTGAAGCTGTAAATGCAGCGGTATTTACAATAAATCGAACATGTAAAAGTAAAGTTTTGTGACAAAACACCATATGATTTGTTGTATAACAAGAGTTTTGATATTACATTGTTAAGAGAATTTGGTGCCACTGTAAGCACACATGTACCAAAACAGCATAGATCGAAGTGGGACCCAAAGGGAAATTTAGGAATTTTTGTGGGTTATGGTGATTACACAAAAGGATACAGGGTATGGTATCCAGACAAAAGAAAAGTAGAAATTCATAGGGATATTGTATTTGTAAAGGAGAACATTGAAATTAAAAAACATAACTCGAGCAGTACATTAGTAGAGGATGAAGGTGTAACAGAGAATAATGAATCAATTGAGAATATTAATGAACAGGAAGAGAATCAAGAAGAAAATAACGAGATTAAGATAGAAGAACACAAAGAAGTTCAGCAGCAAGAAGAAGTAAGAAACATTGAAGAAGATGTAGCATCAAGTGAAATAGACATGATGGAAGATTACCTTGATGAAGAATTCTTAGATGCAGAAGAAGATACTCTTAAAAATGAAGAAACGATTTCTAGAAGCAAAAGACAAGTAAAAAGGCCAGCATGGACTAAAGATTATGATTTAGCAATGATAGCACAAGAGGAGGAATTGACTTATGAAGAAGCAGTTAACGGAAAAGATAGAGAGAAATGGCTGAAAGCAATACAAGCAGAGCTAGAAGCATTATGTAAAAATGAAACATGGCAAGAGGTTACTTTGCCAGTCGGGAAGAAGTTGATAGATTCTAAGTGGGTTTTTAAAATTAAGAAAGAAGGTAATAAAAATATTTACAAAGCAAGACTAGTTGCGAGAGGCTTTAAGCAAGAAGATAAATTTGACCATTCAGAAATCTATTCTCCAGTGGTTAAATTACCTACACTGCGTATATTATTAGCAATAGCAAGTAAATACAATCTGGATATTCAACAGATGGATGTCAAGAGTGCATTTTTATATGGAAACATAGAGGAGGAGTGTTTATGCAAAAGCCAAAAGGGTTTATAAGAAGCCAATGTGATTACTGTTTATATTATAAAATGAATAAGAAGTTCTATGTTCTACTATATGTTGACGATTTAATTTTATTTGTGAAAACAAGCAAGAGATGAACAGATTAAAAGAAGCATTGCAGAGAAAATTTGAAATGAAAGACTTAGGGAGCAATAATCTAAAATATCTAGGCATAAATATCACTAAGAAGAAAGATTTCATTGAATTGGACCAAGAGCAGTACTTAAAAGATCTATTAAAGAAGTATAATATGGAAGAATGTAAATCTGTGTCAACAACCCATAGAACAAGGCTTAGTAATACATAAAGAAGAATCTTCAAATAAAGAATTATTAAAAGATGCAGACAGTTAATAGGATCTCTAATGTATGCTATGTTGGGAACACGTCCTGATCTATGTTATGCATTGAGCTACTTGAGTCGTTTCCAAAGTTGTGGTAATGAGAGCTTATGGAAAGCATTAAAGAGAGTTTTAAGATATATTAAGGGAACATTAGCATTAAAATTAATTTATAAAAATGGTGTAAATGTACAGTTAGAAGGATATACAGATGCTGATTGGGCAGGAGATCAAAATGATAGAAAATCTACATCAGGGTATGTCATGAAAGTGTTTGGTAATACAGTGTCTTGGTCGTCCAACAAGCAACAGTGTATATCTTTATCAAGTACAGAATCAGAATATGTTGCATTAGCAAGAGGTATTGCAGAGGGTTGTTGGATAATTAATTTATTAAAAGAAATAGGAGTTCATTCTAAAAGTTTTATTATTAATATTGATAATCAGTCTGCAATTCATGTTGCCAAGAACCCAGAATATCACAAGCGACTCAAACATATTGATATTAAGTATCATTTTGTAAGACAAAAGGTTGAAAACAAAATTGTATGTTTAAAGTATGTACCATCCGGTGAACAGATTGCTGATATTTGTACTAAGAGTTTAAGTAGAAATGTTTTTGTTAAGTTAAGAGAAATGTTGTTTTCATAAAGTTTTTTTTATTGAATGATGTTTACATTGAGGAAGGGTGTTGGAAAGCAATGCGAACATCACTGTAAAAGTAAATATAGTTTATGGTTTAACTCTAGGAGTCTATGGAATCTTCGAGAACTGTGTTCGAGATTAAGATGGCGTCTTGTGAATAAATGTGGTTGCGTTGTAATTTTAATAAAAGGTTTTTTCTATAAAAACATCTTTCCTTGCTTTGGTTCCAAAATATAACCCAATACTTATTAGCCTATTTTTCTGAAACGTAATTAGTAATTTCTCTGCTTTAATTATTAATGATTCTATGGTTTATTTAATCCAATTTTTGTCCTTTATTATAAAATCGCAGTTATTTTAATAAAACTAGTAAGACATGCCCTGTAATTCTGTAAAAATCCAAAACCGAATTCGAATTCGTTTAGGTGTCTGAATTTACTTCAAAAAGTGGCATCCGCTCAATCTTTCGTTTTACCAGATCATATATCCACGTGATTAGAATATGTGAGACACGTATAATCAACCAATTTAGTTTTGTATTTTTATACAAAAAATGAAACCACTAAATGAGGTGAACTCGGACACATGAGAGATTTCGAATTCTTGTTCAGATTTTTACGAAATTGCTCCCCCTGCACAGTTACTTATATAGACAAAAGCACCTAGAACTAGTCAGTCTAGTCAGGGCATAGAGTAGAGTATATCAGGATCAGAAAATAAAAAAAAAAGAAAACGAAACGAGACGAGGTGAGTCGGGACGTTTCTTAAATATTTATAAATAAATTGATAGTTTTTCTACCATGCAATTAACGTTACAATTATTTTCTTCATAAAATGAAAACGCCATTTCTTTAATCAATTATCTATGAATGTATAGTCAATCGCGGAATGTTATAAATTTAGTCTCCATTGTCCATTTTTTTCTGGCCACATCCTCAATTTATTGTGGCACATGTTTCGCTCGAATACCGACAAAAAAATAATAGCTTTCTCGTGCAGTGCATTGACTTAAGCTTGTACTATTTGCAGTTTCTGTATTCGACGAATTCCGTACCCGGTAACTGGATGAAAGCGGTGCTCTACTTGAGTGTTGATATTTTGGAACGCCAGACATTGAAATCGGCGAGCAAAGCTTTTTGCAAACATGACTGAGATCGTTCCGATTATTGACTCGGGTGTACGAAATAGGATAACGCGCTATCTACACACTGGCAATGAGGTTCCTAAGTATTTTCCAGGTTGTTGGTCTTCTCATAAATATTTTGAGCTTGACAGATTAACAGCTTTAAATGAAGTACTGGCAAATGGAATGAAGAATGTTGAAGTTGTCCACATAATTTTAAAGGTAAAATTTGTTTCACATCTACATTGATGCCTATTCTGTTGCACTACTCACAGAACTAAAAAGTATATTAGAGCTATGGGCTATGAACTTTAAAATGTTAAGTGTTACACAAAATCCTAATATATAATGGGCAGCAACCCTGCCTATTCCCTGTCCTTTTCTATATGTTGATTTTTTGACTACTTATAAAAAACTGCTCTGCGAAATAAAGTGTTCACAGCAATATTCTGTGTTGAGATAGAATTACATATTTAATGAATGAATGATTCTTTTGAAAAATTTCTAATAGACTTGACCAGGTCTTGAAATAGATTATAGGTTTTTTTATACATTTGCAACACTGTTCTTTTTGGACTAACTTGATTTAAATCAAGAAATTATATTGATATATATAGACACTTTACTTAATTATAATTCATCTTCTCATTCAATTCATTCGACAGTTTGACAATTCTCTGTATTAGTTTTTGTTGTTATTTATTTTTAAACAAAAATTATAAAAGCAAATAGCATATATCAAAAACAATACTATAGCAGTGTAAATGCAACTTTCATTAATTACATATAGTAATTGTTTTGGAATATACTTTTCAAGGCTTATAAAGATGGATGGTATACTCGATTCGAAACAATAGCATTTGCTCTATGCAAATGCTTGTTGTTGGGTTCCCCTGCAGTTAAAGAGGCTACTTATAAAGCAGCTGCTGAAGTATGCCGTACACCTGAACAGATGATGTTATTTAACAAATTTACCCGGTTGCTAAAAACAGGTTAGTTAGTTTTAGTACTTATCAATTTTGAGAAGTCATCATTACAAAACTTTATTGCAGTAATGATTTTTTAACTGATTCATTGTAGAGCCTACTTCAAAAAAACAACACAAAAACTTGGGCTATGACCAAAGATTTTTTATGACATAATTGACATGTTAGGCTCCATAGAAGTTGCTGACACACATACCATCATCTTTACAATTGTTCAAACTTCATTCAAGTTTAGATGCAATCTAACTGTAGTAGTGTTTGGTCAACACCTTAATTTTAAATCACTTAAATTAAAACATATAGTTACCTAACCCTGAAGTGGAAAGAAAATGACTATATTGTTGGATGTTTTAACCATTTGTGATATCAAATTGCATACAACTATTCTGTGCTTATACCTATCTAATTATTTGCATCATAGACAAACAATTTTTGGAGTTGTCATTAAAAAATAACATGCTTCTTATGTCATAATCACATATTAAACAAATGTAGGTGTCACAATTTTTTGTCATCATGCCATCTGCAGTGAATCATTTAATTATGTTACAAACTGTTGCAAAAAAAAAGTCGTTGCATGTTGTTATATTTTAACTTGACATTTTAATGTTTACTATTTTAGGCAATGGTCGTGGATGGTGTAAACATGTCAAGGACTGGTATACTCAAAGGGAACCAATGGAATTAGCAAAGGAAATGAGCAGGGTGAAAGCACGCCATGGTCGATCTCACAAGACACTCATTCGAAAGGCTCATATAAAGATTGATCCAAATGACTTTGGTAAATTTTGAATATATCAGCCAGTTGCACAAACATCCATTAAAATTTTCATTAGATTAAGGCGACATTACCCATACAAATTTGACATTCATTAAAACAAAGGTCATTAAACCTTAATGGATGTTTGTGCAACTGATGGTTTGACATTTATCTTCATACTTGTAAAAATACACTACTAAGGAATTGAGGAAAATCTTCATTGCAGATTAAATTGTTCATATTTGGCAGGAGAATTTTGTATTTTTTATTATTGTAGTTCTATTTAATTATTGTATCATCCTAATTATGTACCTAGAGATGTTGTATTGTGAAAATTGTTTAGCACCTTTTAACTGTTACACTAAAACTCACTATAATGTTGATATAATATCTTTTCTACCAAATTTTTCATTTCCTAGTTATAAGTAATGTTTATAATTATTTCTCTGTATTTGATATTAGATACTAGCTTTCGCCAGCGGCTTCGCCCGCGTTGACCCTAGGGAAATGTTTAGTGGGATAAAAAGTATCCTATTATCTAAGTTATCTAACAACCTATCTGTATACCAAATTTCATCAAATCCGTTCAGTAGTTTTGGCGTGATTGACGTACAAACATCTAAACATCCAAACAAAGAAACTTTCACATTTATAATATTAATAGGATAATAGGATTGTAAATTTATTTTAGCTCGAGATGCAGTCATTAAGTATGCTATCTTTGGCTTGAAACGTGCAAAGCAATTGTTAGGAGACAAACCTGAAGCTAAGGCAGTGTTAGAGTATATACAGAAAGTTGAAGACTTGCGCCACTGTGAAGATCCAGTTGCGGCAGCTGCCATTGCTGCTGAAAACCATTTCACACTAGATCACGTGCCTGGACACCTGCTGACTTCTCAAGATGTAAGTATAAAAGATAATTTAATATATGAGGTGGCATATTCCTACAGATCTGTTCATTCCTAATAACATCATGCAGAGAAACACCAAATCCTCTCCATTGCCTGCTGGGTGACCTTCAACTTTCTTATGGACCCATTGTGTCACGTTTCGCTTCCGTAAATGATGATATACACAGGTAGAAGATTTTCATCTTATTCATAAACATTTTAAGACCCACTCTTTGGGACGCAGTACTGAGATCTTCTAGCATGCTGTTCAGGTCCTCTCACCTAATACGGTCTTCGGTACTGTAGCCTCTTCCAAAACTAGCTTAAATGGGAGGTTGGAAGTCATCGAACCTATGAGCGCGACAGTTGTATTCTAATCATATTTAAGCGATATTTGATCATGGCGGTATAGTACTGTGACGCTCGGGACATATATGAATATTAACATTAAACATGCCCCTCGGTCTATAGCTAGTTATCACAACACTCACATTTTATCATAAATAAGCATGTTTTTTGAGTCAATACTAAAAAAATTGAATTACGTTTTTATTTTTATTTCACCTTATATTTGGTAAACTTATTAAAAAAGTCTATTATCCTTTGAAAGACTTTGTTGTTAATCAATTTGGGTAATCACTCAGAATCCATATTGATTTAAAATGTCGTATCTCTAGTCTTCTTCTTTGACGGCACGATAAAAGCGCCAAAAATTCCGGCGTTTAATTATTTACTTATTATTTATGTTCATAACATTATTTCCGAAACAATTAAAAATTATTCTGCTCTGAAGAACAATTTTGGTTTTGTGGATTACTACAACTTATAACAGGTCTGAATTGCTACATAGCTGTTTGGCTGTAGCTCTTGCTTGGTAATATCAGAGAAACAATTTAATGTAATGCTTAAAATCGAATAGTAAATGTTACATTACAGGTAACATTTACATCTCTGAAAGCATTGAACAACTTTTGCTCCACTCTTTTGATGTCAAAAAAAAGGATAAACACACTATCATTTCTATAACTAAAATACAAAAAATTTTATTTAATTGTTTATTATACAAATTAAAAATAATCTTATTAATTTTTCCATTCTAGGTTTGGAATGCTATTTTACCACAATTCACTCTGGAAGAACTTCTAAATCAGATTCAACGCATTCACAACATGGGCTTCCTTACTAGTGACTCTACTACTACAGCTATTCTCATTTCCCTGCTTAACAATCAGGATGTCATTAAAAAATCGAAAGTGCATCCCCTCGCGGTCTACATCACTTTCTGCAACTACAAAAAAAAGAGCAGGTTATTCATTAACTATTTATTACAGTGTATATGTCTTTAACAGTGTTTCCCAATCTGTGTCCCTTAGCATGACAAGTGTTATATTGTACTTTGAAAAATTATTTACCACTTTTTTATACAGATAGGTATTCTATTGCAATGATCCTTGAAATTATGCTTGATTTCCTTGGGGTCTGTGAAACAAAAAGTTAGGTATACTGGTCTATAACATACTGTTCTACCAGAGAACATTCGTTTCGGGCACTTAAAACGGTTGAATTATTTAAGTTTTTATCTATCAGATTTACAACATTTAATATGAGTATTCGTTCATTTATTTATAATTTTCACAGGCCTATGAAGCATGAGAAAGCTAAAGTTGCCGCTGAGAAGGAACAGCGTCGTCGCGCCCGCCAAATGTTCGATGCCACCACTGGACTTTGGGAGTGGATCGTCACCAGGAGACACCCGAAAGAAGTTAAACACTGGGGTAAATATGTATTAAGAAATTCTATAGAACTTTATTGCAATGGCAAACATGAGAATTAAGAATTATAGATATGATTAACCTAGTCATTATAAACAGGATTGCTCTCTTGTTTATAACGAGTTTACGATATATCGCCAGGTACGATATGAACGCGGAATAACTGAAGTGTGACGAATTTTATTGGCAAATATATCAATCTACCCTCCTTTTTATACTCTTACGTTCATAACCCATCAAATCAAATCTAATTATTTATTGGCCATATAACTCAGTAAGTTACATTCGGCAAGTCTTTTACAATAAATATTTCAAATTAATACCACTACCACTTCATTGTCTGTAGGCGGTTATCTCCGGAAATACTGATCCAATCAAGAATTCTTTCACCTCGGGAATCTGCATATAATCTATAATATACGCCGGCGAAGTCATGGGAAAATATATTGTCTAAAAATTTGTCAATTTTGTTAATCTAATATTCTTTTATATGATAACAGTCATATTAATACATTAGTTGTATGAACAGGCATTGATCAACCTCCAAACCCTGGTGTATTGGCTGCGTTGAATAAGCTTATTGATCATACTTGGCTTCTGACGCCGCCCACAAATGTACGCTACATGATCACCTTGGATATGAGACACCATATGTTTAAAGGTAATTTCATACGTAAATTATGCAATAGCAAAAAACTACTTATATACCTATAAAACATATCAAAGCTCTGAAAATCTGGAAACATACCTATATGAGATTTGGTATTTTAATTCATTGAAATACTTTCACGAGGTTCATAAGAATCCCATCTCACTTTTAAACTAGAAACTGAATAGAATTAATATTACCCAGATTGAGAGCCTAGCTAGAATTTGACTTATTAGTAGTATGGTAAGCATTGAGAAACAAACCATTTTCATATAATCGACAAGAATCTGAGAAAATGTCTGCTTATAGATTTTTATTTATCAAAATAATAATAAAGATTAGTGCACCCTTTATTTATACTGTGTCTTAAATCTTAAATTGGTCTCTTGTAAAACGCACACTAGTGTAATTAATGTTTGTTTAAAATTTCTTAGGTCGTCACTTCTGCAAGACTTATGTAGTGCCAAAGAAGGGCAAGAAAGTAAATATTGCAGCCAAAACACCTCAAACTGGCGGTGGCGACACAGATAACGAGAAGAAAAGCAAGAAACGTCTGTTAGCAGAGTGCTTCTACAACAGACACGTCACTCCTGGACACGCTGGTATGTTTGTTTGTCACTCTCTTTACTAATCAAGAGTTACAATATGATTTTTTGTTAGCATAGAATAGGCTTTGATGAAAATGAAACTACTTGAGTAATTTAAAAAATTCTTTCACCTATGGGGAGCTGCTTTACATGCCGCGCTTTCAGAATATGAGCATAAATCTGCTCATGTAACTGTACTTTATCATTATACTGTAATGTAACTGAATTGTTTTTATTTATTTGGGTATATCATTGTTCAGTTCTCGAATAATGATCCAGTGACAAGTGCATGAAGTTCAGTTAAATAACTTGTTATCAGGACCAGTCATTAATATATATTGAAAATATTAATGACTGGTTAATAATGGGATAAGTTTATTGTTGGTTCCTCGACGAACAGCTCCCACCATAAAGCAAATGGTAGTTTGTAATAGCTCTAACATTAAATATTTGTTTTAAATACAAAATAATCAATTTTTAATCCATAACTACTTAAGTTGTTTAAAAAAAATATATATTAGCACAACTTTAACTTACTAGAATATGTTTTAAATGAATAATAATTTGACGGTTTTGCATAACATGATGTGCTGTACACTGTACAAGTACTAAATTAGCTGTCCTATTAAACATTTTAAATGTAAAATTTAACTAGAAAACTTGCTGACAATCAAATGATGCCGTTCCAATAGGGATCAGGCCTGGGTAAAAAAAAATGGACTAAGCCATATAATAGTTTTTTTTTTATTCAATTTAAGAAGAAATGTCTTAGTCATTAGGCATTTATGTTGAGGAAAAGGGGGCTTGCTATGTTACAACTATGTAGAAAATGTACAACATCATGTAACATTTCAACTTAATGTATCGCCGTAATTTATTGATTACGTAAAAAATGAAAAAACTAAGCCTTTCAATAATCTATCTAGTTGCCGGCTGTTTTAACCAGTTAGCTGCAACATATGCGCACATTGTTGATTTTTGTTGCTCTATTCAACATTATATGTATTTTAAATATTGCAGCTATTATTCTGGCATTGCAAATTCTTAAACGCGAGAAAAACGTGAAACTAGCTGTGTTCTCTGAAGAAGGCATCGAAGTTGTATCAATCGAACGCAACTTCAGCAATATTGAAGAAGCAGAGTTTGTGCTGAGAGTAAGTAAATTAGTATATATTTTTGATTGAACAAGGGTATTATTCCAAGATTTGAAAAATCCTTTTATTATATTTCTATTAATTGATCACTCTACTTGTGTTCGGTAGTGGTGTTATTTGATTTGAAATTAATCCAACTAATAGGAATTAAAGGTAGCTCGGTGGCGTAGTGGAAAAGCGCCGCGGCCCGCGATCGTGGTCGTTAAGCAAGGGTCGGTCACGGAAAGGGTGACCAAAAAATTATAATTTCGAGCTACTCCGTGCTTCGGAAGGCACGGTAAGCCGTTGGTCCCGGCTGCATTAGCAGTCGTTAATACCCTCCAATCCGTATTGGGCCAGAGTGGAGGGTCATGGCCCATCCTCCTTAACCATCCATAAGGAAGGCCTGAGCCCCTGCAGTGGGGACGTAAAGAGAGCTGATGATGAATGTGTACAGATTTATTCATTCGTCCTATTCTGTTACAGAAAGCGAACCTTGGTCGCGTACAACTCGATGCTCCTATAGAATGGGCGAACAAGAACAATCACAAGGTGGACGTGTTCATAAACATGGTCGATCGCCCTACCCGCTTTATGGAATTGGAACAGAATAAGCGCGGGGGCCGCGGTGAGGGCGGAAGATATGGCCCGCCGCCTACCAACAATGACATACCCGATCATTGTCCAGTACGAGCTTTGGAGCGGTACAGGAATAAACAGAAATTGCCCAACAGCAAGTAAGTAAAAAAATTTTTTAGCTGACTTGAAAAAAGAAATAAGAGAGACCTGTATGTATAAAGTTAACTCGGGTTAGGTTGAACGGGTTTTGATGCGGTTTCCAGAAAAGAATTTTGAATGTTTTGATATTTTAATCGACTTGAAAGGTTTATAGTTTGTCGATATAAGTATCACTAAAAATAAAGAAAAAAATTTTTTTTTTCCAAGACGAACTGATTTCAGACTTAAAGGAAAATTGAGAAATAATACTTACTTAAAAGCGGTTATCATTTAATAACCTAGCTCCAACAAACTTCAATAGAAGTTTCTTTGAATAATTGAAGCGCTTAGATAAGTATTATTCCTCACATTTTAAAATTTAAAGTCTGCTCTATTCTTTTTATAATATGTCCATAGGTGTGTAACACTAAATGAATCGAGCAGCATTTTATTCAATATTGAGTTTATAAATGACTTTTCTTAATATTAACAAAAATTCTAGGTTGATCGTAATGTCTTTGGCTTCTCATCGCGTGGGCACCACCGACGGAACACACGAGGGTGTTCTGGACATCATTGGCGTGGATGAACACGTGCCCAAAATCATGGACGCTTTCGTTCTCGACCAGTTCAAATGAACCCATTCCGCCCAAGTACTACCCAGAGTCCCTAGATGTCAATTCCAATACTCGATTCACAGCCCAAGGAATATGTAGTGGTTTTATGATATTGTATACTTGACCTTTCGATATTGTCAACGTCGTCTATGATAAAAAATATTAAATGCCACAGAAGCCTTCTTTGAGATACCATAATAAAATTCATTACTAAATAGGCATATTGATAATTTTACTTATTTCCTTTATTAGCTGCAACTACCATCACCTCTCCAAGTCTTCCGAATTTCTATACCAACTTTGTAAAGTGTGATTTATTCTTTGTGCTGTGGATCAGCTCTCGGTTATTATATACTTTCGAAACATTTTTTTTTTATCAGTATTGAACTGTTTTGCGAATTATTATGAACCACGATGTGTTCCGGATCCTGTTATGACAAAGTCCTACTGATGAATTAAATATTTTAAAGGTAGAAATTTGGTCATGGTCACGATATTGAACTTCAAATGGTGTTTAGGGTAATATTTGTTAGGCTTAGGGTTTGCTTGAAATAGGGTTATTTCATGGCCTGCTTAATTTCGAATCCAGATCTCCGCTTAATTTTATGGATGTCGTTTGTTGAATAACACAATGAATTTTTTTTATACATGTTCTTATATACGTAAATATTTTTTAAATACAAAAATATAAAGTAGTAACCAATGTAAGGAACGATCTCTGGTATAGAATCGGGTAACCGAATGGTAATTTTAGGGTTTTTATAAATTAGGGTTGTTGAGTCTAAAATAAATTACAATTAAATGTTTCAATATGTCCAAAACAGCAGGGAACAATTTTTATCTTGCAAAACAATCTCATTAAAGGGTTTCTCAATGTAGTATAATGTGAATCCTCGAATATATCTCGAAAGAGATAAATAAATTTAATATTTCTATTTTTCATAACGTATAGCACTTTGTAACGGAATGTTATAAATTAAACCTGTATATAAACTAACTTTGACCACTATTTTATTTGGGGCTTTAATATTGAGAAACCCAGAAATTCAAATAATTGGTCATAAAAAATCATCAGATCTTTTTGGTTACTTCTCTAGTATGCTATTTATAGATCTATGTAACACAATAAATTTTTGTTATATTGTTGACTATTGAAAACGATTTCATTCATATTTTGATTTGAAGTCAATAACTTGTTTCGTGCTGCTTATTATAGATAAAGTAAGTACGAAGTGTGTATCTTTATGTAATTTTAAGTATTTATAGCTTGACACATTTTGATCAGGGTCGTTTTGGTTATACAAAAATTTGGCACCTGACGCTCACTCACTGCTATGTGTTCATTGTCTTAAAAAATACAATAAAATGTGGCTTTGTCTACACGTGACTAGAGGGAGATATTTCTTTTATTTTAACCTTGTAAAAGAATTTTTATCATAACCATATGTCAGAATTTCTTTGATGTTTGAACGCCAGTACTCGTGTAGTTGTTGAGTTTCAAATTTTATTTATTACTGTTTTGACTATCATTTTATAGGTAGTCTTTAGCGAGAAGTTGTGCATATTAAATGAACTTTTCTATTTGCCAAAGTGATGCATTTGTAATGTTATTCAGAGTACTGGCGGGCAAATAAAAAGATTTTTATTGTAGCAAATAATAATATAGCATATCTTTTTCGAATTTTATAGATAATGAAACCAGATTCATGTTCTTAGTTAAAAAAAAGCAATGTAACCAACATGTCCACATCACACATATTTATTACTTGTAATTAGTCGCCATCTCCACGAGCGAGAGAATCGCGTCGATATTATTGTCATGCCACGTATTTCTGTATACTCACTATGAACGCGTCTCCACGTGGCGATATGATGAGTGGTAATTTACGCACGTAACGTCTTCTTCTTTTTTAATTAATGGCTTATCTGCGCATTTCGCACAATTCTGCCAATTTCAAGTAAATTAATAAATTTTTACATGTAAAATGAAAATGAAATCGAAACGAATATGTCCGCGTAACGTCGTATCGTCGCTATAGGAGGCGTGCCCGTCGCGAGCGCACAGCGGGGACTCTGTCGAACGCAGCGTCATTAAGATTTTTAACAACATCCATAATAAAGAATTATTTTTGGCATCTAACTGAACTCTTTTAACAAATAAAATAACAACGCATCGTCAAGGAAATGAGGCGATTCCGAGGAGTCGTTGCGGACATGGTTGGCAGAATAATTGTTCGTTCGTGGATGACCCGCAATAGAAGCGCGATCTCGTCGCGATTCTCTCGCTAGTGGAGACTGCCCCTTTATGTATACAATGTAATAATAATAACGGGATGTAGTGGTGTGGTAGAATAAAATAAGCATGAATCAGTTTTCATACCATGCGTAGTAATAATAAGTATATCCGTTTCAGATTATTGGTTACCTTTGTACTGATTTGAACGGACTATCAGAATCTGTGATCACTTGGTACTCTCTTGCGATTAAGTATTTTTTATAACTGAAAATGTTGAAATTTTTCAAATCTTAGATAAAGTAAAGTGAAATGTTTAGCCATGCCTTTTACCGTTGTTTTGTTTACTTTAGATAATTCGTTTATTTTTAGTATTACTTTGTTCAATGCATGAATAATTTGTTAAACTTGATGCTTTTTATCACAATCTATATAATAATTACCACTGTTGTTGATTGTCATAGTTTCTTTCCGTATCAGTTCATTAACATAGATATGGATTTTTTTATGGCGTGTCATTCACTGTAACTTTTAATAAATAGCATTCTGTGATTTGGTGATGCCTTGGCAATTTAACCTAGTGATATTAAAAACCTTATTTTGGCTGAGTTTTAGTTTCATACATCATAATCACCTAAAAACAACAATCAGCCGAGTTTAGGTTTTAGGAATAAGTTTGTAATGTAGTTTAGTATTAATCAGTAATCATTAAACTAAGTTACAAAACGTTCTGTTGTTATATTGATGTACGAACTCTTTTTTTAAATTATTCTTAAGTTATAAATTTTCCATCAATCAAAAACAGGCTGGTGCAATTTTCAATCGAAAGTTGTTGAATCAATCCGTCCCATACAGTCAAGATCTATTCAAAACGCTTTAGCATTAGTTGTTAGTTTAATTATGTTTAACCCATTCACGGCAGCATATCAAAAGCACTACATAATAAAATGTAATAACATTTCTAAATGTACTTGCATATTTGTTTTTGCATTAATAAACTCTCGTCTTTCAAAATTGACTATCATTTATCAGTGTCCTTCAGGCTGGCAGCGCCGCAGCTAGAAAATTGCTAGAACTCTATTAACAATCTGGAAAATAGCGGCGATAAATGGCTAAAGTATTAGTGTCGTTTTAAATTATTAAACTAACAACTATTATTAAATAGTTTACTGACGTCGGTCTGTCTACGCCACACTATATTTTCTAAACTATAGCACTAGAAGCTCACTAGCATTATTTTAAAATGAATGTCAGTATAAATTCCAGTGGAGTACCGTGCCTTGGTGTAGCCCTGTATAAAATTTTTTGGGGGCAAATGGAGTGTATAATACCATAATATCCAAATTTCCTCAATTGATTTTGAACTCTATAGTCAACGTTTTAATGTTTATACTGGGAGGAACAAAATGACCGACACAGCCAAAATTTTTAAGTTAGGTTACATGCAAACGTTCATTTTATTTGACAAATATTTAAAAATAGAGGAGGTGTAAAATTTTTAAATTTCTAAGTGTTGACAGCCCTATAACGCGCATGCGCAATATCGATTGTGTGCAGATTACAACGAACCGCGAAATACATTAATTTAATTTAATTATTTACCGATATCTTAATGATAGTCGATGCTGATAATGTCCACTTTCTTTCTGAAGACTGAGCTAAGCACGCTCGTTTCAATGCCGCGCATGCACGCGCAAAACACATCACATTTCACACAAAACTAAACACAATCTTCACTAAACTAAACTTAACACTCAAGAAGAACACTAGTATCTTATTAACAAGAATTCAATTAAAAATGCACTAGAACAAAACAAAAAAGACGTTTCGCAGCGGTGCGTCGGCGGCGATGCGCAACAACACTCCAGCGCAAAAGGTCGGCGGCGACTGAGCGGCCGGAAAATACCGACAGAATAATGAAGCCGCATGGCGGCTGGCGGGTGGGTGGGGCTTTGATATCGAGGGACGAACTCGGTTCACATTTTTTTTATTCGTCGTTTGATATCACGCATTTTTTAATGTTCTTTTAAAATGCTATTTTAATAACAAATTCCTCAATGTTTTTAAAACAAAGTTCATTTGTGTTAATGATGAATCGCTGGAAGATTTGTGAGTTTATCGAGTTTTATTAACGATCCCGTTGTTAAAGGAGTATTACCCCATTCAAACAATTTTTTTGGAGAACTGCTCTTTTAAAATAACGTAGGTTAATGTTAGACTGATCTCTCTACAATAATTTAGGAAATTTTACACTCGGTTTCGTAATTGAGAATTTAAAGTTAAACGTCTCAAACTAACATCACTTAGTTTTCGTTTCCGATTTTAGTTTTTTGATGATCAGTTGATAGCAGTTTGATAAAACTAGGACTATTTGACTTGTGAAATTTAAAAAACTTAGGTTATTGAGAAAAAGCAGTAGAAATTTTCTACTTTTTTCAAATCAGAAACCGGCTGTTAGGCTGTAAATCGATTTAAGCATTTTGACTGCCTTGTTTATTGAATGTCTGGTTGAATTTGCATGAAAGCAGTCTTATAAATCACAAACTAGTTTATTTCGTTTTTAGAAATGAAGAAGTCAATGACCGATTAAAAACTTTTCCTTAGTACGTCCCAAAAACAGCTGACTCAGGGTTGAAAACACTCATTCGTTTTCAAAAACTTTGTGATTTAATATCTCCGAAACTATTTACCCTAGACATATAATTTTTTTACATCATATTAAAGACAAATAGCACTCTCCAGGGACCTCGGGAGTGACGGTCGTTCTGTTCCACCGAGTATAATAAAGTGGAGAAATTTGCCAGTTTTGATCATTTGCCATGCGGATGACTGAACCTGACATGCTATTGAATTAACCAACAACATGATACGACTCCATACTTCCCGTGCTACCCCGCACGACGTCCCGTCGTCGCCATGCGAGTTAATGCAAAATAGGCCGGATAGACAGACTTGTGATAGGATACGTTTCTCGCCTTCTCATTCCTTTCTTTCTTCCCGCCAAAAAGCCTTGGCGAAACTTCTCGGCGCGAGTCTGTACGGCTTATATGGAACTGTCCGCATCGCAATTTTACATAGCGCGAATAATTCTATCGAAATTTACAGAATACATTGAATCATATGAGAATTTTCGCAATTCGAAAAAAAACGCGTTAAACTACAGATTTTCGCGAGCGGTGGAAAAATGTTACATGGTTCGCCTCCCGTCTAGTCGGCGGCCGCCGCTATTGAATTTATAATGCTAATTCAAAATAAGCTTCTCTATGGGACAAATTTCAGGCAAAGAAATATTTCAAAAATAGTTCCCGAAATCAAACTAGATGTCGCTACTGTACTTTTTTTATTTCTCCATGACTACCCTTCCGGTTTTCTTTCACGTAAATAAATTAATTTTCAAAACTCAATAAACAACTCATATTTAATTTTTGCTTTTTCGTATTTTAATTGATATCTGAGTTTCGAACTTTGCTAATTTCAGTTTTTTAATATGTTAAGGTCGCCATCTAGTGGTGGTGCTTTTTAGTGCTTTCTTTTTATTTAAAAAACAAAGTAACAAATTTAAATTATTCTGTAGTTCATTGTATCATGAAAACTAGACAGTTGAAATTTTCACAAATACTAAAAACCAGAATAAAATAAATATTTAAGGGTGTTCCCATATAACAAACGGGATTTTTTTTTTGCTTGTTACCGGTACGGAATCTTACGTATGCGAGTCTGATTCGCATTTGGCCGGTTTTTTAAACGTTCGTCTCGACCGGGAGCTTAATAAAACTAAACTAAAAAAATTTAATTACAGTGTGTTATGTGTTATGTCATTACGAAATAAAATCCGCGCGAAAATATTTTGCGTGATTTGAAATCGCGATGCAGATAATCCCTAACTTTTGTAGATACATATGTGTCCTTACTACTTTGAAATTTATTATTTTTTGTTACGTTTGGTTGTTTTTGTTGAGTCCCTCTTAAGATATTTTTTATTATTAAGATAAGATTTATCATCTTTATCTTAGTTTTTTATATAAAACATTTTATTAAGTTTGAACTGATAACTTACTTGCACGTTGTACTTTACACAAACTTCATTCCAGCTAGTTATGAGAATGGACAAGCAACGTTAGACACAAAAATATCAGTTTTTTTTTTTACTGTGTAAAAGTAAATACTTATGAAATACAGTAAATAGTCGGTATTTATTTACTAAAAGACAGCATTTACTGTGACTCAGATTTAAGTTATAACTCAAATTTAAGTTGGCAGCACTGATCCTGTGTTCTATAGCTTACTTCATACAATACAGGTGAGATCTTGGTAGTCTGTGTCTGGGTCCTCGTTCAATGTCTCCTTGAGTATATTGCAGAATTATTCTGTGTGGAGTGGATGACGTAAGGGAAGAGGAAGAGGAATAAAAGTGTGACAAATTAAAAAAGAAAATATTTTTTTTATTAATTTGAAACAATGAGTGACGTGGATAAATGGATTGAGATTGCTAAAAGATGTAAATATCTTCCCGAAGATGATTTACGTGAGCTGTGCAATATTGTTTGTGATTTACTATTAGAAGAACCGAATGTGCAACCGGTTCAAACCCCTGTTACTGTTTGTGGCGACATACATGGACAGGTAAACTCAGAATTCATTTGATAATTATTAAATCAATTATAATTAGATTTAGAAATATCTATTTTACATTAAACAATTCTACTGTTGTAATGTAACACTTCAATTTCTAAAAGAAGACACTGATTAAATCTATTTACTTTTATAGATTTAAACTTACTGTTATAGTTTCATAATAATTAAAAAACCACCATAATGAAATGATTCTGTTCTAGTTCTATGATTTAGAAGAACTTTTCCACATCGGTGGTCAAGTACCACACACAAAATACATCTTCATGGGAGACTATGTGGACCGTGGTTATTACAGTTTAGAAACATTAACATTGCTTATGGCATTAAAGGCTAGGTATCCAGACAGGTAATTATGTGTCTAATTTTAGTATGCATGTATGACTACTTGGTGATTTGTTTTCATTTTTGATCAGAACAAATCTCATATAACATAATTAAAAAGCAATATAAATTTAAGATTCTCTAAGAAGTGAATGGCGGCATGTTTACAATTTTTGTATCAATAAAATTAGTATAAAGAATTTTATAAGCACCAGCATTTGTATTATTAAAAATCTGAAACATTGTATGTCTCAAAATCAAAATGCTTAAAAAGTCCACTATGTCCCTAGGACTCTTAAGATGGGATGAACTGATGAACACATGACCTTTTGCAATCCAGGCAACTTCTCTGACTACTAAGCTACTCAGGTCCTAACAGGACTGATGAATTTTTTCGAAAAGTGGGAAGACACAGCTTATTAACAATTCTTTGTTGTCTGTAATAAACTTTTAAAAAGCTAATTTCATATTGCAAGTTCTAGTGACCATTATTAATTAATGGTCAGTTTTCATCCATTGTTCTCTTTTATATAAGTGATTATTTATAGTTTAGTTATGCTGGTTGGAAATTGGATATTGAGCTTTTAGAGAGCACCCAGTAGTAGTATACAAAACTTGATGAGTTTATTGGAATTAGGAGCCCATAAAAAGAGTAATTACCACAGAAATCTATACAAAATGTTTTCATTGATTTGCAGACAATAGTAATACAATCATTGTGTAAAAATGATTTACTTCATATTTTGCATTAACAGAATTGATGAAAGGCGTGTTTCGTATTTTAATCATTGCCTAACTAGTTTAAAAAGGGGTTGAAGTTTTAATTTTTTTGGATGAAAACCGGTCAAAACAAATTGAAAGAAATTAATGGTAAAATAAACTTAGATCGCTAAATGCTTAAAAGTCCCAGATATAATGTGGGTATTAAACATCTAAAAATTATATATGATGCGTTTTCGCACAGTTGAATCAAGATTTAGATACAGCATATTGTGTAGCTTTTGTTCTACAGAAAAGAGCTATTAGAAAATGATTGGAATAAAACAGCAGAAATTTTGCCGAAGGCATTAAAAAAAAACTAGGTATCTCAACTGTACCTTGTTTATATATTTTGGTCATAATAACGATTTTTCAAAACATACATGAATATGAAAGCTCAGATGAAAGAGAGCAGAGAGAGAAAGGATTTTGCGGTAAACCCGAGACCTAACCTTCTCATTGATAAGCACTGTGTTGAGTACCAATCAATTAAACTTTTTAACAGGTTGCCTATGAATTAAAGGCATTAATTTATAAAAGTACTTTCAAAGCAAGTAAAAAGTACTTTTAGGCGTTTTTGGTGGACAAGTCCATTGATGAATTTGTTATTTGTCCTATATTAAATTTTGTAAATAATCATATTGGTTTAATTTAATTACTGCTGTTATAGTATTTTCTATAAACTATTATCATGTGATGTTAGATTTTATTGCTATAATATTAAGATTATTATTGTGAAGCTGTAACATTATTTAGCTATTATTTTTTGATATTAATTGAAATAATTGAATTAAGAAAATCTGCATTTTCACGTTAGAATTTAAATATAAAAACACTATTTGTTTGACTATTACAAGCTATAAAATTATTAAAAATAAACTATATTTGTGGAGTCAACATTATTTTTTGGGGACAAATTATTTGGTAGGACATTCACATACTTATGCTCGCAGTTGGCAACTTCACTAATTGGACGAAAACAGGCTTATCTACCATATAAAGATAATGCCCTGGTTTAAAAATATATTTATTGTTATATAATTGTTCTATATTGTTTTATTTCAGAATTGTCTTGTTACGAGGTAACCATGAAACATGTCAAATCACAAAAGTATATGGATTTTATGATGAATGTCTCAACAAATATGGAAATGCAAATGCTTGGAAAGACTGTTGTCGAGTGTTCGACCTTCTAACAGTTGCAGCTGTGAGTATATAATTTTTCTATCAACTAAGCTCAATGGAAATACATTCTGATAAATTATCAGATTAATGACAATAGTTTTAGGTGCTACATTGAATATCATTATTTAGTGGATCAAGTCAGCTAAAATTGTAAGATTTTAAGTAAAACTGGCACGTTTACTAATGCTATTAAATTAAAGTTAGCATGAAGTATTTATAAGAGTCAAATAAAATAACTTTAGTTTGTTTTTACCTATTATACAAGTTACTCTTTCTGAATATACAATTACATTATTGGTATAAGTGTAATTGTATATAAAATAGGTAGGGTAGATAAGCCTGTTTTTTCCAATTAGTGGAGTTACCAACTTTTAGCATAAAAATATGAATGTTCCGTCAAGTAATAGTGGTGACTCCAAATATAGTCAATTTTTAATAATTGGATAGTTTTTAGTAGTCAAATTAATAGTTTTTTATATTAAAATTTTAATGTGAAAATGCCGATTGAGCGGTTTACGCCAAAGGATTTAGTTTTGGTTCATCTGCTGTCCAGTTTTTGCCCAATTTTTACGCGCCTTTTAATCTCATTAGGTAATGATTTTATTAAAATATGAAACACATCTTTTAACAAATCATGTTAAAGAATGATTATGTAGATTTTAAAAAGATCTATACATTTTAGAGACAGCAAAGAATTCTTAATTAAACGTGCCTTCCAACTTTTCGATCACCTGGTCAAAACTGAATATTTTAATAAAAGGAACCCTTTATTCGACCTCCTCATTTTAATAGTTTGGTAATGAAATTGACGTTAAAATCTATTTTTTCCCTATAATAGAGGTCATAAACTAGCTGCAAAAACAATAAGTAAACCAAAATGATCTAACTATAAGTAGAAACTCACTTTCAAAGTATTGGCACCTTACTATTTTTGTGTTAATACCTATGACGCATGTGATACTGTCCGCTGCAACCCTCAATTTTTTATTAGTTTTGGTATAAATGTTCATTTAATCGTATTAATGTGTGTATATGAGGGTAATCAGTATACTCAGGATGGCAACCTGGTGTTGATTTTGGACACTTGAGAATACCAACATTACTGTTTTTGATCTTTTTACACAGGAGGTCCGTTGAATGATCGAAAATGGGAGGTGGACGGGAAACAGGCGTATCGACCCTACCATTTCAATATTTTATACACAACTTTATATAACTTGATACTTTATTTTCAGTTGATAGATGAAACAGTTTTGTGTGTACATGGTGGTCTTTCTCCTGAAATATCAATGTTAGACCAAATTCGTTGTATAGACAGGAATCAACAAATTCCTCATAAAGGAGCATTCTGTGATTTACTTTGGTCTGATCCTGCTGACCTTAAGATGTGGTAAGATGATAAAAATATAAAGATACAATAATAGACTATACTGAAATCTTAAAACAGTATTACTGATTATTTTAACCAAAGGAATCAACATTGCCAACTACTAATGAAAGGGGTGCATAAATCATATCACTGTTAGCAAATGAAATGAAAGAATGAAAAAATTTAAAATTGAAAATGCTATACTGAAAAGTATATTTTAATGAAAAATGTTAAAAAAACATCCTTTTTTTCCCTGCCGAGATGGGACTCGAACCCGAAAGGTCATTCGCAATTTTATACTGAGCTACCCAGGACCATAACAGGACTGATGAATTTTTCAAGCACTTGTTACTTTTTCGCTGCCACAGAGCATATTTTCATCAATGTTCAGGCAATCCACCCAAACAGCCGAAAGAAATATTTTTACAAATATTTAAACTTTCGATAAAGATGTAAATTTGTTCTAATTATTATATTTTATCAATTTTGCATTCACAATGCTATATTGAAAAATACTCTTAATGATAAAAAAATCTCAATAAATATTTTTATATAATTCAAATAAATTGGTGTGTTCAATTTTCAGGTCAGTGAGCCCTCGAGGTGCAGGATGGCTATTTGGTAGCTTTGTAACAGAACTTTTTATGGATTACAACAATCTAACTTTAATATGTCGAGCACATCAACTTGTGCATGAAGGTATTTAAAGTGATTTACTTTTACATAAAGATGAATTTACATAGTTGCGTTTGAACTGATTCATGTATTTTTGTTTTATGATGAACTGAAACTTTTTTATAAATAATTCTAAGGGAATCCTTTTTTTGAAACCAATGTTCGATATGTCATGAACTTTATAGTGCTACATCCTTTTATGTTCAAAATAAATTGATCCTACTCAATTTATTTTGAACATATCTGAACATAGATGATGCGACAGCTCATGATATAACGAATGTCGAATTTTAAAAGTACAGACCCAAGTTCATTTGAGTTCATTAGCTACCTAGCTTTAAATAATTTTTATGCGACATTTAATAATATTTCAGGTTACAAATATATGTTCGATAAGCGGCTGGTCACGGTATGGTCGGCGCCAAATTATTGCTATCGTTGTGGTAACGTTGCCTCTATATTGGAATTTCAAACTGTGAATGATAGAAATGCTAAACTATTTTATGCTGTCCCAGACAGCGAGCGAGAAGTCCCTCCACAGCACACTACACCTTATTTCCTATAAGTATTATTTGTACGCAAAAGTGATAGCAGAACAAACAGAAAGATGAAAAGTATTTCCAAATGTAATGTATAATGTATGTAATTATATGAATATTTTATACAATAAACTGTTGCAAATTTTCTGTCATTTAATTTCATTAGAACAAGAACAAGAACATAGTTTTGCCCCTAAAATAATTTCTATATACAGAAAAAAAAATAACGATGTCAAGTCAATTTTACATTGAGTCAGTAACTAAAGTCAGTCAACTGCCGAGTCAGTAAAACTTAAAGCTTATTCGACTATGCGGCAATGAATGTCTGTGGGATAATAAATCACAAAATTACAGAAATAAAGAAATGCGTGCAACAGCATTATATAATATTGCATGAAAAGGAAAGGCCCTACCGAGTTCAAAAATATTTTTTTGGCTGTTTTCGAGAATTCATTTTTCCGCACTGACTTTACAAATGTGTGTACGTCAAAAGAAATATTCTCGACTGAAGACAAACTACTGACTGCGTGTAAATAGTATGAGTCAGTTTTCGGCGCCAGCACTGACGACAGCTACTGACCCTGTGTAAATCTGCCTTCACGTTTTAAATCTCCATAATAAACCCTATGCAATAAGCTTTGATATAATCAAAGGCAATAAGCAATATAGTCTCCAAAAATTCATTATGGTGCGCATAGATTAAGCGAACAAATGCCAAACGTACATCCATCATGAAACTATCCATACACCTATACGGATTTTGATTGGTTTCGTTATTGAATTTTGGCGTTCGTGAACTCAAATTGAACGCATAAAAATAATGCGGCAAAGTATCCCTTTAATACGTATCACAGAAAAATTCTGGGTTTTCATTAGTGTCCATATATGAGCTTGGTATGGTGGGTTGACCTGTTTTTAAAGAACAGGTTAATGTATATTTGAAAAGATTTGAATTTTAAATAAAGTTACATACAGCAACACATCACGTTATTACAAAATGCTCTTTAATCGATTGGAACAGCTAACCTATCAACCGTTTTGTAATAATCTGACGTGTTGTCAACTATGCTTTTTACAAATTTTTGTCTGACGGTGACATTTGAGTGGTGTGAAATCCACAAGAGCAACGCCAATAATTAAAAAGAAGAATGTGTTGGTTGCTGACAAAACAGGGGTAATTACAGAGATATGTAATTTTGGATAAATGAGTATATCAAAAGCTAAAGTTTTAAGAACAACTGCCAAAATTATTTAACATTGAAAAAATGAGTGTCAACTGAGAATTCAAACTGCCTTTATAATTTCGCATTGTTTATTATAAATGAAAATGTTCTTTCAAGAGTTAAAACAATACTGTATTTATATGAAAATCATATCTGTATAGATAGCTATTTGTAACATACATTTAAAGTTCACAAATACTCTGATCAAGAAGATTAAAATTAACAAATAAGTTTTCTTATTAATCCCTATTGTAATCAAAAGTGTAATCAAAGTAAGATTGATCAAAACTTTGAACACGTACATAACCATCCTCGCCACCAGAGGCATAGCTCTTGCCATCAGGATGGAACGCCAAACTGTTGATAGGACCAAAATGACCTTTCACACGTCCAAATTCCTCTTCAAATACTAAATGGAAGAAACGAGCATCAAACTTTCCTTGTCTGGTTGAAGTTGTTGTTACTTCCATAGCATCTTGACCACCACCGAGAACAACATGATCCAAAATGGGGCTTAGCGCAGCAGAGTTTACCGGACGCTCTGTCTTGTACTCTTTGAGAAGTTCCATTGAACTCGTGTCAAATAGTTTGGCTGTTTGATCTTTCGATGCAGTGATAAACATAGTAGCATCACGGGAAAGTTGCATATCGTTGATCTGATGCGTGTGTTCTTTGATGGAATGCACTTTCTTACCTGTCTATTGAAATAAAAAGATAATATATAAATCTTTTTATACACTTATAATTTCTATATATTTGTGTTAAATTTCAAATTTTTAGGTTGTAGGGTTATAAAACATGCTAATCTAACCTAACCAATAGAATTAACTTTGTTTTTAACTGCAGATCATGTTTAAAATTTGGTTTACAACTGTCATCTAATAAGACTGGCAAAACACAAGGTTGGAAACACTTTATTATAGCCAAATGATCCATTGGAAAATACATATTATATTTTGTTATTATTAAAACAACAGATTCAAATATATATATATTTTTTAAATTTATATATTCAAGTTTTTTGTTAACTTACTCGCAGATCCCACTGAATTAGATCTCCAGCCTCATGACCTGTTATGATAGTTTCATCTAGAGTACCCCAAACCATGGAGGTCACTTTTGAATCTGTGATCTCCCATTTTAAAATGGGAGTTTGTGTGGAAATTGACTCATCAATTGTCCTTGTATCAATGATTGAAACCTGTAATATTTTTAAAATGATTAAAGCAATGTACTGTCAAGATGCTTGATGGTGCAGTAGTTCGAATATTTAGTCAATGATTGCAGAGGTTAAGTAACTTTGGTAAAGATCTGGCATTAGATGGGTAACCAAAAATTTATTAACTTAAGCTATTCCAGCTGCTACTGCAGACGCAAGCTAATTCTGTCCCTATGGAAGGTTTGATACTCGGTGACGGGGAAATTAATATCATAATGAGGAAAAAAGTATAGATAAAAAAACATATATTAACAAAGAAATCATATAAATGATGAATTTTAATACCTCACAAGGACGTCCCATGGCTTTGTCTGTGGTGTAGGCGGCTTGGTATGCACTGAAGCTGAAGTTACATGTTCTCACTGAAGAATTTGTCTTGATTGTAGCTATATTTTTACCAGTTTCTAAGTCCCACAGTCTGCAAACAAATAATATTTTCATCGCTACACTAGCTAAATAATAAATATGTATCATAGTATATCAATATCAAATTGTTTGTGACATTACATTTAATTTGTTAAAGATATGTTGTGTACTATATTTCTGTTAACATATAGTAATGATTAGTAATTATAACATTCTAGTATTAAAACTTGACAGAGTACATAAAGACCTATTGCATTGAACTATCTATTATTGGTATGTATCAATAATGTTTTTGAACAGAGTTGTTTACTATTAATATAGATAAGGTTACCTGCATGAACTGTCACCGCCTCCAGTGATTAGGTTGATAGTTTGCCAGTCTACATCGAGACACCACACTACTCCACCGTGGCCGTTGAAAGTACCAAGACGCTCGCCATTTAACGACCACCATACGTTAGGTTTAGAGTCTTTTGCCGCAGAGAACAACAAATCTCCTTCTCTGTTGTATTTAATTTGCGTGATGGCACGTTCGTGCCCTTGCAGCATAAGGGGTTTCTACAAAATATGAACAGCACAATGACGAATGATAAATACATTATTTCAGTAAAGAGGTTTGAAATTGTTCTGTTTAGATTAGTAATTATGAAAGTTTAAACATGTATGGGGTGGAATTTACTTACCATTTTTGAGTTTTATTGAAATTAATAAAGAATACAACTAAAATAATACGCGTGACATGTGGCGGTCGGCAATTTTTTTTGACAAAAGACCTTTTTTTTTAAATGTTAAAGCAAACGGATCATGCCCATACAATTTAATCCGCAAACCATTGTTTTCATTATAATGTTGGTATTCAAGATTCTAATACTTCTATAAAATTTTCATGCTAATTTAAAGATTCCAGAATACGGAGTTTTCGTTATTTAGGACCTCATTTGTCTCATTATCTGTCTACCGATTGCACATAGACTTAGTACTTATAACAGGACAGAGTATGAGGAAGTCTCTAAAAAAAAAAACATTAGTTTGATCAAACTAGATGTCGCTACGGTATATTCTTGATTTTTCCATGACAACTCTTCCGGTTTTCTTTCTTGTATAATAGTAAATTAATTTTCAAAACTCAATAAACAACTCATATTCTATTTGTTCTTTTTTGTATTTGTATTTATATCTAAGTTTCGAACTTTACAAATTTCAGTTTTTTAATATGTTAGGTAAAAGGAACGGAAATTACTGTCTTTAGTATATTCGTTTCCTGCAAAAATAAACTTTTGCTAGAGTTGCTATATAGTGGAGGTGCTATTTAGTGCTTTCTTATCTTTTTTTAATACTTCCTCATCTTCCGAGAGAGATATCAAGTACAGAGGCCCCTTTTATCCCTTTTTAATATTGTCGCCCTAGACAATAATATTTTAATAAAGTGAGATCAACGAGCGAAATCTCATGAATCGCGCTCCCTTATTATATATGTATGGAGAATCGCATATATAAAGAAAACCGGAAAAATCAACTTTTGCTAGAGTCGCCATCTAGTGGAGGTGCTTTTATAGTGCTTTAGTTTTTTTTTAATACTTTCTCATTGCCGTTGCTATAATCGTTTAGTTAGCAGGCACACCAATAATATGAAATATCTCAAATTCTATTAAAGCGAGTTAAATTAAAATTCGTGGTACAGAAGTCACTAATTTGTCACAATTATTGATATTGATATGTAATTCAAAGTAATACGAATCGTATTTTTATTGTGCCTGCTACCTAGACGTCTCGTTAGCAGGCGCACTAAGATGTTCCAATTCTCATAATTTTCAGTGTCACTAATTTTATGCTGTGTATCACTAATTGTACCTATCTCAATATGAATGCGATTTGCTCTAGATGATTTTTAGTGGTAAACTAAAAGAACCTTTTGTTTTTACAGATAAATCAGTACTTTAATAAATTATTTGAAACTAAAGAAAGTTATAGATTCTTGTCGAGCATTCAACATTTCGTAGGTCGCATCAACATGTGCGACATCTCTGTTATAAGTCTTAAAACAATTAGAGGTGAACAAGAAAACACATAAAATATTTGACATACATTTTATTTTCTTAAATTATTAACCATTGATTTCCAAGAGTATAACTAAAAAACAAATTAAAGTACAAACATGTTATGCATCGCTAACTAAACACAACTGTAGGTAACTTCTCTTGGCAAACCGTATGCATTCCATTGACTAACACGCGGCGCACCACAAACGAGTTAAAGTTCTTTACATACATAGCAAACGCGGATAACAAAAATTAGAACTGTCGTGATATTATTTTTCACTACGCAAGTAGCGATATTAAAACGACATCGCGATAATCCTATTCTTAGTTCACATGTACCCCAAAACTTGGTCGTTTATAAACAGCCTTAGATCCAACGAGAACAGTACTGCGATCAGCAACTAATTGTGATTCACTACAAGTAAATAAGAACCCTTAGGTTACAATAATACTTAACATATAAGTATGCTAGTTCGGAAAGCAATAAGTCTTGGTATTGAGCGAGCCCAACTAAATACGTGAATATAGCACACTCAACCACACAACTCCCTTGTAGCTATTTTAAGTGCATGTTATTGTTAAGTTAATTTGTGATGTGATATTTTTTATTAAATCTCCTTTCTCTATTTGCTGTTTTTTTCTCTCATTATTACTTTTAGTGGGTACAATGATGGATAGTATCATAGATAAAAATATAATAGAGATTAAAAGTTTAAAGTATGTAGGCATTTAATTATCTGTAAACAATATTTTTTTTTCGCATAAATAAAATCAACACGTTAAGCTTTACGTGTTTGTTTGTTGACTGTAACTAAAACTGTATTTGATAGGTAATTTTATGTACCTGAATAAAATAATTTGTAGAACAGATATCTAATAGAGTTCAAATATCTATCTGTTATTTGTAATTAAGTATTACATACAACAAACACTCTTCAACATTTCCAAATATATATTCTTTTACGGCGTTACACACGTATTCTTTTATAACTATTTTATTACAATGTCTAATGTACACATTTCAACCCTCTTTTACCCGAAATACATGAAACACTATTATTTTATACACAACAAACCTTATCTTACACTATGAATGTGAAAATATTTCGTCACGATATCTTATAGACGTAATTTTCTTATGGATTGTAAAGAAACTGTGAAATGCATTAAGTTTTTGTTACACACTTATACGTAATAATATATTATGTTTATTTACTAATATCAGTCAAAATATTTTCGCAGTATTAACTACTGACCGTTGGCTGAGCAGTTAGTGTCGCGTACATAAAGAGTTATACATTTTATAAGTAATAATAAAATTATTTTGACTTTTAGAGCTGTTCCGGTTTTATTTAAATTTGTAAGTTTACGAAAATATTTTTGATGAACTGAAGTAATTCTTCTGTTTTATATTTTGTACAAAGTGTATTTTTCATTGAATGATTTATTTCTTTATATTGTAGTGACAACTAAACTATGCTCGACGGTCAAGCTAGATCGTACACACTAATGAGATGATCGATTATAGTTCAAAGAAAACTGTAAGCAGAAGCAAATCATTGAACTATCACCATGTCTTATTGCATTCTGTACTATTTTCGTTACGTTTAAAGTGCAAAAGTTTCAAAATGTCACATTAAAAAGGCGAAAAAGCCTATGATCCTCAAGTAAAAATATCCAGAAGGGCAACGGAAAGCGAGTGGCCATTTTACATGTAACAGTTTTTTTTTTATTTACATGTCTAGCCTCTTTGGGCTACTCAAGTACTATACTAATTAGGTACTCGCCAGTAATGCGCCAATTTGATAGTTTAATTTAATTAACAACACTATCGTTTGTACAATGCCAATAACATCCTTAAAAATCTAAAATTCCCACTGATAGACTGCCGTTATTTTCGCCTTAACACTAAGCTACTAACAAAATAAGTGTCAATATTACTTACATTAGCATTTACATATTAGTAGAACGATGCACGTTTCGCGATTATAGTTATTTTTATTTACGATTTCCGTCATTAATTGTTTAAAAATCTATAAAGGCATCTTTACCTCAGACTTTAGATTTACCACCGTCGTCCTGATGGTGCATTTACAAACTAATTAATTACATTTAATTAAGTTAGATAGAAATGAATAAATTAATATAGTTATCGAATTGTCGTGTTCACCGACCCGTAAATGGTGAAATAAAAACATGGGCGGTGAGACCGATATTAAATGTGAATTGATACGTATCACATTCACATACTTATCACAAAATTTAACTAATAATTTCACCAACATCATTAACTTAACTAGACGTACGTAAATTATAACAAAATTAACTGACAAACTATTTAGGCATTTGATGGCAGTATCATAACTGGTTGTATTCAAACTAATTACTTACAATTTACAAACACATTAATAATTGCTAACTCTTAATTAATGGTAACAAGAAGAGGAACGGACGTGTGTCGCACATTCAGGTAACAGGATTCCGAAATTGTTAACCCTTTATTAGAGAAAAATGTTTATTTAAAGTATACAAAAAAAAATATATATGTGTGATTTATGTTTGACATAATTTAAATGAAGTACAATAAACGACTTTTGAAACCTATTTTTGATACTTCTTAAATGTTTTTTTAATCAAGCTTATTATATCGACATAATGTTTTGCTTGTAATTTTGTTTGTAAACTGGCCTTTTTGCTGGCGATTGATTCAAATTTGTCTAATAATACTTCAACATATTTTGAAATTAGAAATAGATTCATTACTAAATTAAATTATAAGTTTGCTAACGAACACACAGGTTATCTCTATTATAATGTTGACATCGAATTTAGACAACGCTAAGGCATACACCATTTGTTAACTAGAACCTAAGTCCCTAGAACGAACTTTTTGGTTGTATTACTTAATTTTAACAGAGCAAACGCCCTCCTACAGCTAATGGTAACTGTTCACCGTTGATGGAACGTTTATTACAATTTAATATTAACCTTTAATACGAGTTTATAACGATAACGGCAAACAACTTTAAAAAGTCAAGGCAGTGATTACTGACAGTATTAAGATCGGAATCTATTATCACTTAGGACCAATTGAGATGAGTTTCTTTTTTAAATATAAGTATTATTTGTATTATGACTTAGTATATTGTTTGATACCGAGTTATATGATAAGAAATGTTAACTATGATATAATTTAATGATGATTAATTATAATAGTTAGTATTAGTAGTTCGTATATTTATTTTATATGATGTGATATACTAACGTTATTTTATTGTGCTATCAGTGATGACATGTTCTAGAGATGATGGTATGGAAAATATTGAACAAGGTGTATGTTCCGCTTTTATAAAAATAATTGTAAGTATGATCAAGTTAGAAACTTTAACTGTCGATAAAATAAATTCTAGTCAGTGTTTATTTGTGAATTATGAAAAATAATCGTGTAGCCTAATATCTATTGTAAATATGTGGCGCTCAGTATCTTGCAAAATTTTTATTCCAAATTATTTATACGTTAGCACTAATAATCTTGAGATGATACAATCGTTTCATCTCAAGATTAAAACCAAACTCAAATGATATTTATTAAAATATTAATGAATGAAATTAATGATCTATGAAACATATAATTTTTTATAATACACTTTAATTGGATCGTCGAATAGAACGACAGATTGAGCGCGAAAATATGAACACATCAAAGGAAGCAAAGTATAACTTGAAGCACCTCAAGAACAGAATCTCGGTCGGTTAGAATAACATAGAGCATAGCATTTAAAAGAAACCATAGCACACGCTAGTGCAGACAGAACAGTCTACGGTTGCTTAAAGCTAATTAGAATGAGATGTGGTTCTATTTACATAGAAACATAGTAGTAACATGCGTAAGTGTTATGCGAAATATTGGTAATAAAAATGCATTAGTTGTGACTATTAAGAACCGAGCGAGACCACTATAAATTAGTGTATAAAAGATTAATAGTTGTATACAAGCAGTCTTGGTAAACACTGAGAGTAGGTACGTACTTAGTGCTACTTACTTACCTAATTTACAAACAAGTCATATAAAATTAAATTAGAAAGTTTCCTTCCGATCGAATTTAAACGCTAGTGGATACCTATACGATATAAAATGCAAACAAAAACAGCAATATTTCATTTACAAGAAACAATTCTGTCTAAAAACAACGTTTATTTTGTAAACTACGCTCTATATTTACAGAAATAATTATTATATTTATATATTATGCGATTTTTCGACTGACAAACATTAAATAGTAACATAATCATATATTTTATTCTATTTAACACTAATTAGTATACACTACCACGTATAAAACACGCATTCAAGTCCCTGATACTTAATCACTAGGTATTTTATAATAAATCAGTCTGTCAATTGGGACGTTTTAATTCCTCTACTAAACATTATACCAATACACTCATCGACTCAAAATGGGTATATAATACCGCACTGTCTTTCTTTACACTCGAACCCATCACTATTGCGCCGCGATCGAGTTTGATCAGGTTTACACTGAAGTCTGGAACACTCCATCAACATTCCGTATGCTCGTCTTTTAAATTCAAACTTGTGCCGCTCCAAATATACAGAGATGTAATCAGCTAATTTGAGTTCGCAGCATCGAATATAACCTCGTTGTTATCGTCAACTATGTGACGTTATTGTCGGGAGCCGAGCGTTAGGAATATTTGTACGAACTCTTGTGCTGGACTGGTGAACACAGCTTGGTGTGCGGTAATCATAAGACGAGGGTGCAGCGGGGTTGCGGGTGGGGGGCCAGTCTCTCGTACATCGAGAACTAGACACCCTGCTGCGCCATGTACTATCTGATCTCAGCAGAGTTCAATACGAAAGGTACGTAAAACATTTTGCTTTCGAGAAGGAGGTTCGCTGCGGCTTGGATCTGTAAAGACGAAAATGAACATCAGTTTTCAGTACTTTCTACTTCGAAACTGGTTCACGTTGCAAGGCAATAGAAAATTAACTTATTCTAGTTGGTTTCACTGATAACAAATGTCTTGGGCCTTTCGCTATCAGCTTTATTAGGGCAATAGTCGTGTCGCATTGTTATTATTTGTAATAATAGAAATGAAAGTAGGTAGAGATATGGTAGAGTTTTAACGACGAGCTTTTGTTCGTAATATTGGTCACGTGGAAATGTAATTAATTTCTGGATCATTGATTTAGTACTTACTGTGTTCATACTTTAAAGAAGAATCGTCAGCTTTAAATTCATATCTCTATATGTGAAGCCCAAAGTAAGTGTTCGAATATTTATGACTACGGCTAAAATAAAAATGAAATACACACTTCAGGTATTCTGGCAAAGAGTTCTTGGAGACGGCCAGGGTGGTGGGGCGCCGCGTGCTCGAGGTAACTCCGTAGCACCTGCACGTAGCGGTCCTGGATGCCTTCCAGTTCTACTTCTGCGAACAAGCAAGAAAGAATTCTTAGAAACAATTTAGTGAATGAAAATTAGGAAGTTGCTCCAATACATATTTAAATATTAATTACACTTCGTTTCGCTATAATTTTGCGTAATGGTCTGATTACGATTATTTAATGTAACTACTCAGCGCTAGATGGCGCTATAAGGCGGTGTTCAGCCATTGCCAAGAGGCGCGCGGTGCGGCGGTGACGTCACGCGCTCAGTAGGTCACTCCGATAGCGGGGCAACGACCGCGGCTAGCCGTTGACCTCCGCTCGAGCGCTCGCGTCCTCACTCACTATTGCTGTCCCGTTCGCACGAGCGCGCTTTTCCACGATATTGTACTTGCGGTCGGTTGGCTGTTATGCAGCATCTTTTAAATAGACAAGTACTAGTTTACCGCGATATTGCAGCGAGTATAGGTTTTGATTTATTGAAATTGATTTTATTTCTTTATATGAAGCCTCGACTGATGCTAATTTGAAATATCACGTAAAAAAACGAGATTCGACAAAGTGTAGCGTTTTATCTGTACGTTTTTCTGTTGCAGCCAACGGCGGCGCTGCGCAAAAGAGAAAGTTTCGCCTTCCGCGTTGCGCTTTCCGCTCTGAGAGTGAAATGGTGTCCCGTTACAACTGACGCAACTAGCTTTTCATTATTCGTGTTCATTAGTTGTGGAACTATCGCAGTAAATAATTTATTTTACACATTTACTCCGATTTACGCAGATTTTCTGTAAAAAATATATCGTTTTAGTTTTTATTTTATGAGTTACTGACAAATTTAATTGGGTTTTAGTTGTTATATGAATGAATGTCCGAAGTTGATACGCAATGATTGTTTACATTTGAACGTCAGATTACGGTCAATCCGTACCCAATGGTCATGTGGGACAGGAATGCGTATTTTCGGCTTAAATCCCTGACAATGGAAAGCAACAAAAATAATGAAAGATTTTCTAGTCTTTGTACTAATACATATGGGTGGAAGGAGAGGCACTGACGTTCCTTTATTTTAAAATTTTAAGAAATTATTCAGTATGCGGCCACTTATCCGCTGCGCACACATCTACATGACTAATAAATTCCAATTACTCAATGTTTACATGGTCATGTCAAATTGGTATGTGTATGTGTGCGTGCGTTGCGGACGCATTGCGCAAACGCTTTCCATTTCACTTGACGCGCAACTAGTGCCGTTAGATACTAGATCAAAATTCTAGGCAATATTGAATCTAGAATAATCTAAGAGGAAATTTAAAACATGTTTACATTATGATTATAATAGAGGCATTTTTGTTTTTATCTTATATAACTATATTGTTTAACAATTATACTATATTGTTTAGATTTTTTTTTGATAAATTAGTAATCTATTTATAAAAATGCAATTTGAATCGATGATTGAATAACATATTTTTTTAGTTTCTTACTTTACACTCTCTAGGCGCAGTTGCCAATTTAATGTAACGTCATATAGTCTATAGCACTCGGACAACTATGACGCTTCTAATGATACCTCATTTATCCAGTTACGATGAGTAGTTTCGAAGTTATAAGGGAACAGATGAACATTCTTACATACATATATACCGGCCAAAATCATAACCCTCCTTTTCGCTTTGCTGCTATTGTCGGGTAAAAACACAGACATTTTCAATATGTTTCCAACAAAAATATCATTAATAAAAAAAGTGTTTCAAAGGCGTCAATCCCTACCAAGAATAATTTATTCGGTTGCTTATTGAACAAGTATCGCAAGCTCATTTAATTCCAATAACCAGCTGCTTATTAATTTATGTAATTATCCGTTTTTGTTACTGTGCGTGTATTGTTTTTATAGTACTTGATGATGGAACAAGATGTATTTACATCTCGGCTTTATTTATGCATTTGCATAAATCAAGATTATGACAAGGTCACCATAATCATCTACATTATTCCACCATCATGATTCAAAGTACGTATTATTGAAATATATTGATGTATCTTCGACGAAGAATGTACGACTTAAAATATTGTGTGTAATATTTTCGTTTAAATAAATAAATAGTATTATAAATTTTTTTTTATATATTTCGGTCCAGTGAAATTACAACCCAATATTAAGGTTGCCGACGACGACGACAAAAAACCTTTTTATCGTTTTTGTATACTTTTAAAATTTTCTTTTGTATTTTGTTTTATTGTGTCATGATATAGAAAAAATTTCGTAACCCACAGCTTTTTATTTTGGAATTATAACCAATTAACATCAATTCAAATATCATTTTCGGACCATTTATAAAATTGTTTAAGCAGTATAAGAAAATAAGTGAAACAAACACTATTAATATAAATGAATTTTATTCTAACGTTGTTGTTATTGATTATTTCAATGCGTATAACGATGTCAGCGTTCACACTAAATATAGTTACGTTCGTACAATTTCAAAAGCAAATGTATGAACCTACTTTTATAGTTTGATAAGTCAGTAATAATAATGCGTGAGCGCAGTGAAAATAATTTTCAAACATGGCGTACGCGTTGACCCACTTACGTGCGATAACGCAGGATGTCATAGTTTCCTTAATACTAGAACAAGTTAGATAGCAGTATGGGTGATGTTGCCTGTTTTGAATAGATTTGAACGATCGACCCTTTACAATATATTTTTTAATGTACTATTCAATTTTAGTCTGTAATCGAATTAAGCCAAGATTATGAATTAAAAAAATGAAACCAGTATGTGAAATAATATTGATCAAATATATTTATTGGTCATTCACTTTAAATAGAAATTAGTCCGGTAAAAATTTATATGGTTTATAAATATTTACAAAATATTAAACTACTCATCTATGATCCCCCAAACCATTGCCAAAACTTAAGGTGCCCACAAGACTGCGAGCGTCTCCTCTTTAAATTACCAAACTAATTCTGATCACCAGACCTGTCAAAAAGTTTATTTTTTGTGCACATAATATTGGCTCATTAAAGTTGTAACTTTCCGAATAAGCTAACTGGATACTTGCAAAATTTGATTGTTATGTAATTAACTTCTTAACGCAATTGAATTTTCTTTAATAATATTTCTTTAAAAGTAACTTTAATACGTTTGCATCAAAGTAAAATATTGTTCGCAACGATGTCGAGAATATTCTTATGAAGGCAGTAATAGATTTCGTAACAAGTGGACTCTCGCCCTCGAATGTTACTCGTCGCATGTAACATAAATCATAATATTATTAAAGGCATTCTACAACACTAGCGTATGCTTGTCTTCAATCACATAGAATTGTCATTCTGAGTTATTTATTTGAGATATTGACTATTTAAAAAATACATCTCTTCACTTTATAAGTAGTAAAATATTTTTTATTAAGCCATTTTGTAAGAAGTCGGTTTAATTAAAGAAGCCGTTATAGCATAACCTACTTGGAGTTGTTTATATTCAGTTATTTACAAGTCATCATGTACACACTTATATTGAAAGGAGCCAATTGCATGCAGTTGTATGTGTAGGCATGTGTGACGGTTAACGTAATGTAACTGACCTATATCAGTGATGCAGCCCTTAATCCTGTTATTTCTAAGTACGTTGACATGTTCAAGTAACCGTGTGCTCCCTGTGGATTCTTCTAATGCACTCTAAAGTACATTAGAAATAGCTTTGGCATTCGCGAAGCAATTCTAAGAACTTCTCGGTGCGTTGGAAATGAATTGTGATTAGATGAAGTCGTGACTGCGTATACTCTATAAAACTTACTTTCAAATAGTCACCTATAATTGTCAAACCTAAACTAGTTTAGTTTTGAAATATTAAATGTAAATGCGTTTATATTTGACAAACAATAAACAAATGCAAAAACCTAAATCTGATATTTTTTTATGTTCTGTAACCATTATCGAAGAATATTTAACAAAAAAGCAATTTGTCTCAGAGTTGCCACAAACACCCAGATCAGAAATAAGCAACTATATAATCAATAGACATTGGTTACGCTGACGGGAATCAAACAGACGACCTTTACGTATACAAAAGCGAAACTTGAACACTCAATCTTGTACAATCAAATCGCGTTTCTAAACTTTTATTTAATAATATTGCTACATAAAATATTTAAGTATTTTTGACATCTAATTATATTAGCAATTTTTTGAAATTTGTTATCAAACATTCTTTTTCTATGTTTAATCAAGTTAAAATAATATTTTTGTGAAGATATTTTTAAAAATTAAATATGGTAAATTGATACTTTAATTATTTTTATATTATTAGTCAGCATTTTAATGTTTACTTTAATCGTTTTGAACAAACTGTAGGTATGTGAATTTAAATGAAATTTTATGCATGTAAGATATTGAGGAAAGTGAAGATATAGAAGATTTTATTTAAAGCGTTTACTATTTACAATGAAATTTTAATTTTAATTTAAATTTGCTACACCCTTACAGGGTGTCACATAAATTGTACATAATAATAACACCTGTTTTACTATGTGACATGCAATAAATTAATTATTATTATTATTATATTTTTTGCGTCCTTGTCTGTATTAAAAGATCATATACTGTCGAGACCAGCCACTTTAAAACTATAATAATCTATTTAAGCACAGAGGTCTATGACTGTCAAAGAACAGTCAAAGACCTCTGTGCAGATTAGGTATATTATAAGTAACAACCTTTTCATCTTCGATATAAACAGGTGAAAAGAAAAATAAAAGAGCGTGAATATGATTAATGTAGTAACGAACCAATATTAATTACGTTTTATTTATGATTTGATATTTTATTTATCTATAATGGAAATATTTGATTTTTTGTTTGCACCTAATAGATAAACTTCTAAAATTCTTTCACAAATGCTTTATGCCACATTATCAGCAAATAGGCTACATTTACTACATTATACACTACATTATCAGAAAAAAAATGCCACATTATCAGCAAATAGGCTACATTTACTACATTATCAGAAAAAAAATGGTGACATAATGATGGCGGTATCAGCTGGTTTATACTAAATAAAGTGGTCAATTTGGACTAAAAAGTGATGTCTTATATTATTTGCGGAAATAAAGTTTTAATGTTTGCACTATCAATAAAGAACGGCCTAATAGCCTGCCTGAAAGGTTATCCAATGTCGATAAACACAATTTTAAAAAGACCGTAGGAATAAACTATTTAGTTATGACGTCAATTTATTATTTTAACAATCACTGTTCTCATGACATTGTGACCGATGATTCATGAATGTGTGTAAGCTGTTGACCTTATTTTCATTAATTAAAAAAACAATAAGTGTTTGGTTATAATAATTACTAGTGCTGAATTAAGTCAGAGCGGGGCCTGTAGCTTATTTTATGAGCCTCGATTTCTAACTTTTCATTGTAAAAGTAACCGCTAATACAACTGTTCAGACCCAATTTAACTTACAATGCGAGTATCAAAGCGCGCTTTCTTGTTTTTGAGGTTTAATATCAAAATAAAGGTACGTTATGGTTATTGACTTTAAAAAAAATTAGGCATTCTTCCAATCACCTAATATATCTTTCGTGATGAATGACGATGAAAAAGTAATTTATTGGTCAGACCATAGCGAGGTTCCCAATTGCGTGGGGCCCGTTAACGCGCGGGCCTCCAAATGTGCAGGACTCCGCGCAGAGCATTTGCTACTTTTGCTACGTGGCTAATCGTAGATAAAATTATGTGCTTTTCTTAATGTTTTAGAGTTACATTTAATAAAAATTTAACTTAACCAGAAGTAATAATTGCACAGCAAAATGCATGAAAATAAAGTTATATGCGAAATAATATTTTCTCATTTTTTCAGCAAACTGAATTCAAATAAAGAAATTATAACTTTTGTGTATTAAACAACTTTTTGGTCGGCACCTGTTTTTTCAACTGATATACCATAATTATTTAAAAACTGCTCTAATATTTACATGGACAGATATAAATGGTTCCATGATCATTATGTAATTAACTTTACCACCATATTTGTTCTATCCTCAAATTAACTTAGTACAGTATATAATTTTCAACGTCTCACCTTGATTTAACAGTATGTAGACCTTGAGACAAACGTACTCCTCCATCCTGAGCTGGATGCGTCGGAACACACACGTGATCTGCGTCATTTTCTCCACCACCAGCCCGACGTCAAGTCGCAGCTGTTCCAACGTGATGGGTCTCCCCATCAATGATGTTAGGCAATTTTGTAACGTCCGCAGATTGGCATTAACCTGGTGAATGTTTTTTTCATTAAAATCATTTTTGCTTGAATGTTTCATGAGGAACCTTGAATATAGGGTATCGGATAATATAGCTTTTTTTGTACAAATGGGTTTACACTTGATCGCAACGTATTCCGATTAGAAATGGCATAATAAGCTTGCATAGAGCAAGTCTCTCCATTCTCGCCTTAAAGCAATCGGTTTTGGTGCACTTGGCACACACAAACTTTAGTAGAATGCAACACACAAAGTTTAGATAAGTTTAGTAGCTAAAACCATCGTGTTAGAGAAGCCTAAAGCAACGAATGTACCAGCAAGACTAAAGGCAATTACAGAAAATATTTTTTTATAGTGGTTAGCAATTGAATCTGATATCTCACAGATAGCGTTCAAACTAGTCGGGTTATGTGTTTATCGAAACACGGAACAACACAAAAAGTATAAAATCTATATTCCAAAAGTAGAACAGATAATTTGTCTGTACACTTACTTTCTCCAAAAATATTTTATGAATCATACTCAGAAGTGGACCAATTCAAAGAACAATATACGTATGCCTCTTCTATTAGACATAATGCTTACTATCCGGTTAGGTTAACCATTGAACTAAAATATTTTGAAACCGTGCGAATATTATGACATATTCTATAAATTATCCCCTTATTGGAACTTGCGTGTCAATAATAATTCATTCTCGCTTTGGACTGTTGCTTGTCGAGCTGTTAATCAGTCTTTCGTATTATAGATACCTACATGCGTTAAAGCTATGTAAACTAGGAATATATATTACGCTTGACAATTCAAAGTGCCTATAAATCATTTATTTAGGCTTACACATATTTGTGCAAAATTATTTCAAAATTTGGATTCTAACTCCACTTACTGCAATTGTCGACAAATCAAGTTAAATCATATTCAAAAGCAGCAAGCCACTCATCACTTATTTTGAGTTTGTTGTAGTAATTCTGATTGTTTGATTATTTACTATGAAGTTATAAAATACAAATTTATAAATGTACAATCCGTTTATTACGTAATATTCTATATGTAAGTGGAGGAAATGATCTAGACAATGAAATTGCTTTCTGCAACTACCGCTATTACAGCTGTTTGTATCGTGGTTTACGTAATCTATTCCAGCCAGGGTTCGTCTCTAGGTACACTTGCAAACAATTCATTATTTTATTAGATACACAAAAAACGACAAAAAGCAAACATCTTTAGTAATGGCTGATTTCTTATATTTTCACGCGCACTACTCATTAAATAAAATAACTTTAAACGGTTTTTGTATTGTATTTGCTTTCATTACCAAATTCTGTGTTCACTTAAGACTAAGGTGTCGATAGTATTTTTTTAATTAAGAGCAAATCTAAACGCACTGCAGCCGTTTAGAGTTGTTTTGTTTAATGTTTGGTAAGGCTTTTCTTTTTCATTCTATTGTCTAATTTATAAAGATTTTAGATGTGCTAGCACTTTACAATTTTAATTGTAAAGTAAAAAGTATTATAATTTTTACTGTTGACTATATAGAATTATGTGATAATTTCTATGCAATGCGTCGTAGCACCAGAAACGATCGACATTCTATATTTTATCATTAAAATTGTGCGGGTTATGCAGGTAGTGTGCCTACGACCGAATGCAGCTAGTCTGAGCGGACGACTTTCTACGGCAGTTGCGCAACCAATGCAACTCGCGTAACTGCACTCTAGCGCATGTGGCGGAAGTCTAGTGTGACCTGCCCCGAGTAACTACCCACACAATCTAGGGATTATCACCTACACAATCTACTAAAACATTACGTGAAAACAAAGAAAGTAGCTTCGATTAAAATGTGTATACTCTTACCTCTTGCATAAAATCATGTTCGTGGTCCGATGAAGGCGGCGCGTGAGCGTGCTTCCCATGCATCGCCTGGTACGCCGCCGTTGTTAGTACTGAGATCTCGTGCCACTTCTCCATTAATAATTTTGAATGTATTTCCATAGGTATCTCCATGATGAACGGTAACTTTTTCGTCCACGCCACCATCTTGTGGACGATTGAGTCACCGATCTTACAGAGTTTGTCGCCTATTTCTGACGTGTCATGTAATAGGTCTGGTAAGTGTCGGACAGTCGCAATATCCTCCATCGCGTCACAGTCTATCAACGCCCGGATCATGTGTAACGCTCGTTCCAGAGGTATAGCACGATCTCGGGATGATGATACGGCGCTTTCAAGCTGTGCTCTCAAATGTTGCACCTGTGAATAATTTTGTAATTAACATTGGATTATTAGTTATTTTTTCTATAATTAAGAGAGTAATCGATTCTTACCTCGCTAGGGTTGGTTAATGCAGTCTTAAGTATGGTTCCATTAACGAGGTGCGGTGGGAGCGGTGGTAAAGGTTCTTTTGGTTTTTCAGGCGGCGACGCTCGACTTGTTGCCGTTGCTGCTTTGCCTGCCTTTTTTTTCTTATATTTAACTTTGTATAGATTGTAGACAGCGCCACTGTTCCTACCACCAGGCATCCGATCTTCACGAACAGCTAGACAGTAAAGATAAAAGTTATGAAAACCAAGCACCAATTTATTATTATCTATATGTAAATAAGGTAAATTATCGTAGTCTAGTACAATAATAAGCTCATATTGATGTTCTAACTTTGTACAAATCTGTATAAAATTTGTGATTTGTTTTTAGAGAAACCTCAGAAAATATATGTTTTTTTATTTTCAATTTATATCCTTTATATCCATTCTTTTAAGAATATTAGATTGAAAAGATAAATAAAATAAATAAAAATAACAATTTACCTTGTAATACCATTCCCTGTTCAATACATTTTTTAAATCGGCAATATTGGCATCTATTTCTTTGTGCTTTCGTGATTTCACAGCCTCCATCAGCAACACACGTGTAAACTCGTCGGTTTTGTACAGTCCTTTTGAAAAAACCTTTACAACCTTCACACGTGATTATACCGTAATGTAGTCCTGTTGCTTTATCCTCACATATCATACAAATCATGGGTTGATCGTCTTCATCTCGCTCCGTTTCTGGTGCATAAGTTCGCATTTCAGGCCTCTGTAAATTGAGTGAGCTTGCCCCTGGTAGTGCGGATGCACCTGGCATGCTGCCGGCAGCAGCGCTTAAGTTCAAAGCATGAAGTTGTTGGTGCGCTGGTAACTGTGATACATCGCCCGCCCAAAGTAATTCCATATTTAAAGGCGGTCCTCGCGGTCGCCTTAACTCTCCACCCAAGTTAAGAAGCAATCTTGCTGCTGATTCTTCTGTACACGTACTAGGATCTGGTGTCGGCGGCGTTGGAGTATGCGATGCACTAGCAGCTGGTTCACTAGTAGCAGAGGAAGCAGGTAAAGTCCAAAACATCGTCCGAACACCACCCGATTCACCCATAATAACTGCTGGTGCACCTCGCCATTGCGTCGATCCCCTAGCACCGCCTTTAGGTTCCAATGGTTGAGGTGGAAAATGACCACCTATTAATTCTGGTTTGACACCGTTGATACAAGCGGTAGATGGCCACGGTCCAGGTGTGAGGGAAGAGTGGGAACTAGACGGCGGTGGGACCACCGAACGTGGTCTGTACGGCTGGGGTAGTTCAGGGGGTGTTCCTTCTGATTTGATGGTAGAAAGTTGCGAAGGAATGACCCCATCGTGCTTGTTCGCTAAAGAATTTTCCGTCTTGATGGGAGCTGGTGCTCCCTCGAACTTGATACAGGAATAAGGTGGCGCAGATCGGATGACGGTGGGGTGGCAGGCGGGAGATGGTGTAGGTGAGCCGCCGCCGTCAAATACGGGCGGCGGGTGTGGTGGCGTGCTGCACCCCGCGTCAGCCATGCGCGGCGACGGTGGCCCTGGGTCCGGCGACGACGTGCTGGTGTCAGCAGCTGACTCACCTTCGGGCAAATGAAATAGAATCATTGAAATAAGGTACATATATAGCTCAGTAAAAGAAAATTCTACACGGCGCAAGAGAAAACAGAAACTAGGTGAAAAGTCAATGACCGCGCAGCATAATCGTAGTTAGAACGTGCGGGGTGCGACGCAGGGACGCGACACTGCACTTCCCGACGTGGCCGACTAGATTAGTCGGTTGCGTCATTACATGAGCATCGCGGTGGCCCTTAGCTAATGTAGAGTGTTGAGATTTAATTTCGTGAATAGAAAATACATTCAATATGATAATTCTAATGTTATAATCTATTAGTTTATATAATGAACCGGAATAAATGGAAAATGTAGGAAGCGTGGTTACGGCTCGTTGTGGGCAAATGCGAGATGCGGCGCAGCCCGCGAGGTGAAAGTGAAAGCACCGCGTGCGCAGATGCGGCGCCCGGAAGCGTGCGCCGGCGCTCAGATATCACAAAGGGCGCTACGTCATACAGTTATATACTTGAGTTATAAAAATAAATGAATAAATACGTATATAACTTACAGTTTAGATAATGTAGATAATCATTTGCACAAATATCAAAAACTATATAAATTTATTTTTTAAGTGAAGTTATAATATTGTAATTCGACATAATGTTTGATAAACCTATTATTACAGAAAACTTTATCACAGGCACTTAATAAATCAGAAACTTTACCGACTTTTTATTACTAAATCCATAGGCGTAGTCTTTACCCTCTCACGTGATCCAGCCGGTTGACATTTTATCACTGTTGTAGTATATTAACGTGGAAATATTATTGACAAATATTAATAATCACATAATAATAATTGTTTGTAATCTCGCCAAGAATTGTCGTATCATTATTGAATTTAAAGGCGTCATTAAGAGTAGTTTCCACGGTCAAAGGCGCGAACGGTGCTCGTGAGCAAAATTTTGTTTACGGGAGGAAAAGTCGCGAAGAAAGTTTTCCAGAGGCGGCGGCGCGACGGCGGGCGGCGGGCGCGCGCAGTGAGCCCGACCTACCGCACGAGCGGCAGCCGCGCCCCGCTCCCCGCACAGTGCTTCCCGGTCCCTCCCTCCAGCCACTATTAGGTCACTCAGGCGGCCGTGCGTGCGAAATGCAACCGCACAATGACTAGTGCAACGCGTGCACCGCTCTCGCTTCGAGGACGATCTCTATTTCACTTCGCGTCCTTTGCCACATCACTGGTGGGGACCGATCTTTCTAAGCGCATGATGCAATAAGCACTAGGTAGGCACGGTCGCCGCCTAGTCGAATGTCCCGTTTGATCGTTCGATGTTATGTCAGTAACCAGAGACACGGAAAGTAAATTAACGACTATATGTCACACGCACGACGGACGTATGAATTACGTTCCATATAATTAAACTGTGGTACAAAAGATTTCTTAATAGCTTAATAGGCATTTGTTTATAATCAGCAGTCTGTTAATAAAAAGCGATTTGCATAAAAAGCCTCGAGCTAAGACAGAGAACAATAAAATGGATTACGTAATTTGCAACTCTTTTATTTTGAAGCAGCAGGCGATCGCAATCTTTTATTCGAGGGCCGCAAGCGCGAAGGTCGCGCTCGATCATTGACCCGGTGTAAATAGGTCACACCCTCACCCTGTTGGTACCCGCTACCGAAATGGCGCCACGTGTAGCTAGGCCTGGCCCATTAAAATGACGTCATGTCTTTACTCCATGATATGAGACTCTATAACTGCGAGAGTTGAAGGACGACAATATCTAAATTTTTGAATTAATTTTCCTCAAAATTATTGTGCATTTTTTTTCCATTTACAAAAAAGCGGTATTTGTACTATTATCTGAATTAATTTCTTATCAACCTACATTTGTATGCAATTTACTGCAAATGATGTTGCGATAACACTGCATTACTCTATCATGAAATTTTCATTAACATATGTAATATTGATATAGTTTGATAGTGATTGCAGTAATTTTTGAAGTTATTTTTAGCCAAAAGCGTTTTTTTTTTAATGATTAGGAATAATATAAAAAGAGACGCTTTCTCTAACTATCTTGACCTTTTTGGGACACGGATAAGGAGAATATTCGGTGAAGAAAGTTCGTGGGAATAAAGTAATAAGTAATCTGCTATAGTTTTTTTTTGTTATTCCAGCGAAATAAAATTTAACACCGAAAGCTAATTTTCATATACTACATATTTCAATAACTAAAAAGTTATTGTTTAAAACTATCATTAAAAGCAACTAACAAAATTACGGTTACTAATCAAAACTATATCTATTTCCAAAAAACACAATAGCATCCCATTTTTCATGTCTAATAAGACAAATATGTTTTTATAAACTTTCTGTTTCATCTATATCAAAAAAAATTTCATACAATTTCCAAATTAGCAGTTTAGCTTTGGTATTTCAATTTTCCTGAATTCGAGAGTTTCGCTTCGGGATCATTAAAAAAGCAGTATATACGTCAAGTACGTCACAATAACGGTGAGATTGTTGCGTCACGCGAGCGTCACAATATGCGTGACTCCACGCCACTGCACACGAAACTGCTATCTAGATTAAACTGACACCAAATGAAGTATGTGATAAATATAGACATGACATTTATTTTTAGATAATTAAACTGATAATTTCAAAATCACTTCAAGGCTTAGAAGTAGCAGCAGCCTTAGCACTATCATTTTCAAGAGAGAATAACCTAAATTATCATTTTGATTATGAGAAAATTTAAGAAAAATATAGACAACTCCACGTTTTGTGTTGCGTTTATTACGCCAGGCGTTCCGTTTGTGTCAGAGCATCTTTCTCATCGCGCTCATGATTTATTCATAAGGCCACAATCGCAATAATTACGGCACTATTTATTACTTTCACCTCTCGCCGGCTTTACGTAAACTTTCTTTATCATCATGACTTCACGCTGCGTCATCGTTGCGTAATATCGCGCGCGACTTTTTGTTTTGCGATTTTATTGTGATAAAGAAAAGAATACCTAATCAAATATATACTATTAACAAGTTATCCGGTGTTAACCTGAAAGAAAGCGAAACAATTACGTAGGATGCGCCGTAGTTCACATACCGTGTGAGTCGTAAAAGTCGTCAAAGGCAATGAGTTTTATTTTGGATTTAATTGTAGCGACCGGCTGGCAATTTGCCACTATTTGACCCGATGAGTGACAAAGGTCAGTGCACTATTTCAATGGTGATCAATCATTAAATAACTTTAGTTTGTACATAGCTGTTTTTTAAATATCTAAGCAGAATTATAATTTATAGCTGGCCAATGTACTCGAAAATAGTTTAATTATATTGTTTACCTGTCTTCTTTCTTTCTAACAAAGTTTAGATTTAGCTTGTACAAACTATTTACTTATTTAACCAATTCATTTAAATATTTAGCAGTTATTAATTCTATAAAAATGTTAAATAACCTGAGAAAATCTTATTAATCTTAATTTAAGATATTTTTTTTTTTTACTTAAATGTTCATATACATGGGTACGTGTCTTGAGTAATAGTAAACATATATTTTTACAATTTAAACGTAATAGCAGAAAACAGCCATTCTTAACCGAACCACCGCACCGGTTCCGTTTTCGGTACAGTTCTTTTTAATCTGCACTAAAATGTTGAGTGAAAGTGAGTGAGCTCGTTCTCGAGACCAGTTGCTGCTTTCTCACGATATATTACGATCCCGTCTGTTATTCAACTTTCGGCAGATGATTTTCATTATCAAATAAGCACTGATTCTTTATTACATAATACGAAATTTATGTTTTACATGTTTCATTTGAATATATGTTTAGGATTTTCGTATTTACATCGTTGTGTGCGTTGTTGTTTTAGTTCCAGCGAAACACGTGGAATGTTTAAATTATATACATAGTATAAAATAAAGTAGTTTCCTTCTGTTTGTATGCTGAGATCTTTAGAAGTACATAACGGATTTGAATGCTGTTTTCAACAACAGATGAAGTGATTCAAAAGTAATATTTATATATAGACAATGCGTGCGAAACCGCTGATTGATAGCTAGGATTTTATATAAAGTACGTATATAAAAAAATCACGAATTAGTAATTATCGTAAAAACTTTAAAAAAATTGCATAATTAGCAAAACAATGAATGTATATTTTTAATCTCTATGAAAAGGTAACGATTTTTAATAACAAAGTTATTTTAAGACTCAGTCATGTGTCAGGTAAACATTCCAATGAAATCGAAACTATACTGACGAAGAATAATTCCTTGTCTATATTGAAAGCGATAGTGCTTCGTGAGTGGCTTTCGAAAGCCTCAGGCACGCCTCGTCGAATGACAATAAGCTTTGAATATAAACCATCATTGACTTTGAAGTTTGTAAGTATTTATTGCGGCCCGAAGCATGGAGAGCACATTAAGTCATAAATCATGACCGAACTAATTTTGTATATTGAATGAATCGATATTAAGCTTAAGTTATTAAGAATGCGTGAATGATATATATAGATAGTATAAATAAAATAATTCATAATAAATCCCAAAAATGTTATTCTACTAGTATTTATATTTCTAAAGTTGATTTTACAAAATTTCGCTGTATGATAAACTTTTTGATTGAAATATCTTGTCCAGTCTTATATTTAAGGGAGAATGGGCCATAACATATCACGTGGGCCAAATGCGGATTGGTGGGTGTTAATATCTGCATATAGATTGGGCATAACGGCTAAAATGTCTTTCGGACCGATAGAAAATTTTGGTCACTTATCCTATGGCTAGTCTTTGCGAAAGCTACTTAACTTCCGCATCTCAGATCTAACGCGTTAACCAAACATCGAGTCCCATCGAGCTCCTCTGCCACCTTAGCAGGAAGAATTGGTTCATTTGGTCTAGTTGTTTTAAATATCACAAAATTTAAATTATTATAAATTATTTAATTTTAGTCGAAAGAACTCTATAAAAGTGTTTTATAGACAAGACGGTGATTACGCATACTTGACTGCGCTTTCGTTTCGCTCTACTTCGTTTTGGTTTTATCAAAAAAAGATTTTCAAAATTGGAATGTTTGAGATAATAATTTATTTTACTCACCATCGCTACTACATCTGGAGTCAACTTTCCGCCTCTTTAGCTTGAGGTCTTGGAACAGACTCATGTTGTCCAGGTCACACGGGCCGCGGCTGAGTGTCATTATTCCTGTAGACAAAGATATTAAACGTAATCAATGAAACAAACAAAAAACTACAATGTGGCTAAAGAGCCAATTGAGATTGTATAAAAACTATTAAGAAAAAACAACAAAATTTACCAAATACATTCAACATGAGTTATGAATAAAAAAATCGTTTACGTCATATGTATACTCTGTTAAATAAAATTTAAAGTCACATATATTAAATAGAATTTGCTCTTACAATCTATTTCTTTCTTGAAATTGGCATAAAAAGTAGCTTTATGATAAAATTATATTTGCAAACATGAATGAAGTTCATGACCAAGAACGACTTTAAAATAAACAAAACCATTGCGTACATTTTAATGGTTGGCTGATCTCATAATTTTTACACCGACTCGGCTGCTTTGACTAACATTAAGAAGAACTTAACGAAAACTTATTCCTGATTATCATATTTTTTTTGTCTATCAGTATAAAAACGATAAGTGAAAGTAAAATATTCAAAATAAGTATTTTTTATAAAAATCGGTGAATATGTATCAAAAGAGTTTAAATTTCAAGAAGGCTAAAGATCTATCTATACCAGATTGTGCCTTATGGCGCTCACTTTCTGTAAATCTCGAAACCACAGAAATATTTATTACTCGCAATAGATCAGGGGTTGTACTCTGATCAATTTTACGTGTGTAGTCCTACTTTAGAATATTAAAAATTCTTAAATTAAAGCAAGACAGATGATGAAATAGTTCATAATATATCGAATTACAATTTAAAGAGTTAATGCCCAGGTTTAAAGATAGATAGATACATAAACTTACGATATCCCGGTGTCATTTTAGGCCGCTCTACGTAATATGGCCCAGAAATAATAGGGCAGCTTCCATGCATGTTTGGTTAATTTTTTTCCTTACTTTGGCGACCGCACTTGATATTTCAATGTCAGCACGTTTCATGGCATTGAGCGTACTACTACGCGTCTCACGCGCTCCGTTGTTTATATTGTACTTTTTGCATTTTTCAGTCGGCTAAAGATTTATAGTACTGATAACGGAGTGGTAAAAATTACATTTCAGCGTGTACGTCAGCTCAGTCATGCATGCGTGTTAGCAGAATATATTTTTGCGATTATGTGAACGAGCTTATGACGTGTCTTGTTATGCTTTTGTAGCGGTGATTTATATTAACGTGTATGTTGTAACATACGAGAATAACGGTATGGCTGTATGTATGAGACTACCTAGGATTTTTCAGTATTCAAGCGGTTATAAGTATTTGTTTGAATCCTGGTTTGAGGCGTATTTTTCAAATACTATGAACACCAAATAATATGATTTTTGAATTATGCAAAACCATTTTTTTTTATAAAACATGCAGTATTTCTATATTGTTTAAGTATTTAAAAAAAGGTCATGAAAGTTTATTGTAATTTGTTGTATGCTATGTTGGGCTTCCGATTTTTTAACGTCGTTCTGGATTTAATTTTTCAGTACAAAACTTTTTTTAGGATCATCAGAGAATTTCAATGTAGGTGACACAAATCCCGGCGGTGAATTTTAAAGAGCTTCTAAAAAATTGGCCAAGTGCAAGCAGGATTCGCCCATCGAAGATTCAGTATTAAAATATTTAAGGTCATAAACTATGATGTCAATACTACTTTAATGTCGAAATACGCGGCATAAATGGACTTTATTTGACTGATTATGACCAAAAGACCAACAGTTTTACTATTGTCATAGTATAGAAGTCAAATCCTATTTCGAAAAGTTAACAACAGCGGCGCGCATTACAGGGCGATGAGTTTCAAAATACGCTATGTATTTCCGTGTTTGATTTTCTGTTTTATTTGTCATCTAGGTATTTGTGGTTACAAGATTGGTCAGCAATAAGCATAAACCATAACGACACACGTGGTTATGGTTTATGGTCCGGCTTATCCATATGTTTCTATCTATAGGTAAGGTCTGTGCCCCAAGATCCTATTAATAGGCTGACTATAATAATGAGTTTGTCAACAAATGTTCTATTAATATTTTAGCATAGTTTAAGTTTAATTAAATGGTTCATACATTGACAGGCAGTGTATAAATGGCCGTGTTACATTGTTGTGTACTTATAAATAACAACTACGTCACGCGCCGGTCAGTGATGTGTTTTCGTCAAAATTACCGATATAGGATCATTCATACATCGTAATCGTGTATCTCGGTTCTTGAACTCTAAAAATGTTTACTTAGTTTAAAGTTTGTCCGATACAATATAAGCCATTTATTGAGCATTAGAAAATCTATAGTATTAGTTCCAGCGTTATATAAGAAAGATATTAGTAAAATTTAATGTCTTCTAATTTTACTTTTTTTTTCTAAGGTACATAACATCACATCATATATATACATCTGATTCTAATATTAAATAGCTAAAGTATTATGTAGTATCTGTGGCAATGAAGGTAACACAACACACAGACCCGAGAAAATATATAAAAGTCCATTCTCTATACTCGACCGGGATCGAATCCCGGACCTCAACGTACGAGCCGTACGAGCCACTTAGCCAATGAGCTCCTCATCGATTTGCAACTCCAAAAGTATCGAGTTGGAATGGAAAGTATAAACTACATGACATAGATTGAATTAAGAGTATATCGACAAAATAAACGGAGAATACGGTTGTCGTAAAATATGGTTTTATGTAATATTCAACACTACGTGTTAGCTGATAAGGATTCGATAAATTTTTACGTCATTCCCATAGCTACGTACGATATCCAATACATTACAGTTTTTCTTACGCACGTAGTGCTCATATCAGGATTTTATTACTTTTCCATTTAATAGCACTGTTGAATGGAGTTGTTGTTAACTTTGAAACGAAATTCTAAAATTAGTATCACTTCTACTGCTACTTTACGATATAACTTCATAAGTTATTTGATTAGAATATCAAATTTGATTAGCAAATAAGTTGGCTTTCGCTTAGCGTAACTATTAATAGTAATTATAATATTACACTAGCAATTATCTGAAATGACATTGATTGGGTAATGACATAGTTTATGTAAATGGCGTTGATAATGGTCACAGCTAATAAGTTTATACATCATAATATTAGTATATTTAAGTTTATTTATCACATGTCCATCTATGGTATTCTGATCACCGAACTCAGCGCAATCATGTCATAGAGCTTCAGTGAAATAAAATACTTTTATTTGATTTAACTTTTAAATTGAATGTGATGCGCTCGTCGTCGAGTTCTAGACTGTATTTATAACTGAATAGCACTGCTGCTTAGGTGGCAGGTGAAAAATTATTGACGGAATAAGTATTCAGCTAATTTGAATAAAGGTAATTATTTTTAATATACATTATATCCCGGAAAAAGTTTCTATATCTGCATTACGAATCTGAAATGACAGACAATATTTTAAACACAGAAATTCAATTGAATTTATATACATAGGATATGATTAGAGATCAATATTCAATTACTCAATTTTCTTAATGGTCATCGAGTATCCAAAATAGATGTCGAATCAAGAGAAATCTCAAATGTTGTTTTGTCAACAAAGACAAACGAACTCTGCGGAGTGTCTAAAATAAACCAGACTGAGTCAAAGACCTTGATAATGGCGTTTACATTGAGCCAATAAATTATTCGCGGTCGGATTTGAATCGTTCCGACGTCTCGCACAATTTTTAAAGGTCCTTGTTTTCTATCAAACTTCCGTGTTTACGGAATGAAGACTTGTAGGTTAACCTAGACCCACCTATTATTTTAAATATCGCGGATAGAACATATTTGAAGCTAACATATTAAAATCTCAATAGTTTGATATAAATATAAAAGGTGGTCTCTAATACAACGCGTCGATATTATTAGGTTCTTAAAGAAATGATTTAGGAATCATCTATATAAACTACTATACATAAAAAATGAATATTCAATCTCTTATTATTTTATTAAAGACTTAACGATACTTTTTATTTTGTTGAAATATTATTTTGTTAAAAAGTAGTTGTGTGAAACTTTGCTATTAAATCACTTTCGACAGTTAGACATTGACAGTAGCCACATTATTCATTTAATATTGTCAAGTATTCTTTTTAATTATGTGTTCCCGTGACTCATAGAAAATACACTCACTACCAGCGAGACGAGTACTTGAGAATGATTCGTTTGTGGCTCGGATAATAGCTCAATTAGTAGAGAAGATGTAACTTCTTTGTTGATTTAAATTTGTACATTTATATTCACAGCACGTCTATCAAAATCGGACAGCGACTGACAAATTAAGGGACAATGTACGCTACGTCCTACGTGGAGCGGAAGTGTACGCGTGTATCAAGGGCCTGTCATCGCACAACTACTTAAGTGGTATGAGGGTTATATGACAATGTCGATTGTGTTAACAATGCGTAGAAATGTCAACAACAACAACTGGAAAGAATTAAAGTTTTTAGCATTTGTAGCAATTGAAGTTCAAGTCATATCTGGATTAAATAATTAATTGAGATGTAAATGTTGTAATAGTTAATAATGTGTAAGATTATTCCCCTAAAATGTATTATACAAATCTTTGTGTACCGTTCGGATATTTTTGCAATATTTACAATAAAAACTTATTTAATTAAATTCATGCGATAATTTAAAATGACCTTATTAAAATCAGTGATTTAAATAATTTATAATCCACACGAAACACCTACATGAAAAAAAAACAACTCTTGGTTTAGGAAATGGAATATTAAATGATAACAACCCAGTGTAAGATGGACTCTACATTTGACTACTGTTGACTGCTAGCAGGTTTTTCTTAATATTTGTCTGTGTCGGAAGTAGAGGGTTCCGGATGCAATGTCAATGTCACCAGTAAGGTTGCACACCCAAATCAGATTTTACGCCAATGACCGTCTGATTACATGATTGTAATATTCCAGAAGGATTGCATCAACGTAACAATTCGTAGCCAAGTGAGTACATACCGAATTCAAGGTGTTACCATCTCTGAGGTCGGATTCGAT